CTAAACTGAAAAGCATCGGGACTGCTTCTTTCTGCACAGTTTGAAGTATTTTGATTTCCTGTGGTCTTGGGGCTCCTGCTTGTCCCTGGGGTTCCCAGCAGTTGGTTTTCGGGTGTTTGTGGAAGCCCGGAGGGGTGCCTGCTGAATCCCTTGGACAGCTCCCTGTCTGACAGCTTCCTTCCAGGTAAAGAAAAAGTCGCCAACTGGATTTGCTTTTTACATCAATTTTTTCCCTTTTCTTCCCCCTCCCCCCCGTTCACTGCGTAAAAGCCCACTTGTAGGTTCACTTTTGAGCAAACAAAATCTCATCTAAAACAGTGCACGTTAAGATTTCACCGCTACTTGCTTTTGAGTCTGAGATCTGTAAGTGTTTCCTCCCAGTTGTGCCTGAGCCGTTTGGCACTCTGAAGAGTGATGGCTATTTGGAGCACTCTGAAGTATATCCTCTCAACAGTGAGAATGTGTCCAAACTTCTAGGCAACAGGAGACCTGAGATCACTGTTGAAATTGTGTGTTTTTAAAATCCGCTCTAGCTCTTTTTCCGCCCACCAAATTAGAAACATGTGGATGTGTTTCTGCAATTTTTGCTCCTTGGCAGGTGATGGCAGCAGGCCCGTGAGTGGAGGCCCCATGCGGAGTGCTTGGTCTCTGCCCGGCTTGTGGGTTGATCCTCTGTGGCCAGCTCAGGTGCTCTTCACCTGCTTGCTCCCCCTGGACAAGGCCATGGCCTTGACCTGGCCTGCCGACCGCTAGGTGGAACTTGGCTTTCTAGCCACAGACTTTTAGGTCTTCAAAGTCATAAAAACCATTCATGCACTTTTATATTTAAAATTACAAACTTAAACAGCTATTTAGAAAATAAAGTAAAAATGCATAATTTATTGCCTTTAAATTTTATTTCCAACTTTGATGATGTTAGTTCTTTATTCATTTTGACAGTTTTGCTGTTACATTTTGCTGGATTTGATGCATATTATTACTTAATCCTTTAGGTTTTAGATACAGATTCTAGGCCAAAATTGTCTAAAGCAAAATTTACTAAATAGAAGTAATTAAGCCAAAATAGAATGCTTAGGATAACACAGTAACTTGTATTTCAAAAAAAAAAAAAATTCTGTTCATGAAACACACTGTGATTCTTTTCTAGAAAAGATATCTTTCTATGTGGACTCAACTAAGAGTATCCAAAGGTCATATATATCATAAAAATAACAAATTGAAAATTAAGATGAATTGAGCATGAAGACCTGAGTAACTGTCGCCTTGCATTCAAGTGCCTGCCCTTCCTAACAGAGCAGAACTAGGATGATGAAAGGTGTTGTCTCTCCATGCTTACTGTGAATATTCTAGACTTGCCTTTATTTCTTGAACAACTGAAGGAAAATTGACTTTTTTTTTTTTTTGAAGATTTGATTTTTTGAAAGCAGAATAGAGAGGACGAGGCCGAGGTAGGAGAGTCCTTTAGTCCCCTGGCTCATTCCTCCAATGCCCTGGCAGCCAGGAGCCAGGGGCTTTACCCAGGTCTCCCACCTAAGTGCAGCGGTCGGAGTGTTTGGGCCATCTATGGCTGCTTTTCCCAGGTGTATTGGCAGGCAGCTAGATCAGAAGTGGAGCAGCTGGGATGTGAAGTGTTGTAGATGGCATCTTAACCCACTGAACCATGGCGCTGACCCCTTTTCAGCAATATTTTTAAAAAAAATTTTTTTTGAAAGGCAACATTAGAGAGACAGGGAGAAAGAGAATGCTGGTTCATTCTCAGAATGATCACAACAGCCAGAGCTGAGCTGATCCAAAGCCAGGAGCTTCATTTAGGTCTCCCACATGGGTCCAGGAGCCCAAGCATGTGGATCATCTTCCAATGCCTTCCCAGGTGCATGGGCAAGAAGCTGGATCAGAGTGGAACAACTGGGACTGAAGCCAGTGTTCGTATTACACTGTGGTGTTGCAGGCAGAGGCTTAGTCTACTTTGCCACAGCACTGGCCTTCAGTAATGTTTCTAAACTGCTTTATCATTACACATTTTTCATTTAGCTTCTTTTAATTTCTTAAATTTATTTTTGTTGGAAAATAAGTTTACAGGATGAGAGAGACACACAGAAAAAAAGATCTTCTGTCCACTGATTCTCTCCCCAAGTAGCCACAATGGTGAGTGCTAAGCCAATGCAAAGCCAGGAGCCAGGAGCTTCTTCTAGGTCTCCTGCATGGGTGTAAGGTCCCAAGGCTTTGGGCCATCTTGTATTACTTTCTCAGGCTACAAGCAGGGAGCTGGGTGGGAAGTGGAGCTGCCAGGATATGAACCAGTACCCACATGGGATCCTGGGTGTGCAGAACGAGGACTTTAGCCACTAGGCTACCTAGCCAGGCCTCACATTTTTCATTTAAATATGGGGTTTTGCTTTCTTGCTTATTGAGTGGGTCCTACTCATAGTTCCACTAGGGAAATCAACTGTTCTTGTTGATATGGTGACCCTACCTTCTTTCACTTTGATTATTGCAATAACCTCATGAAACATTCTACTTCCTCTCTTGCTCCCTTCTGAGAGAGAAATTATTATAGACACACGTATTCTTCGTTGGACAATGTAAGGCCAGCTGTCTCCAGCAGCTTTTCACTGCACTTCAGTATTACCAAGTACTTGCGCCTGGGTCACAGGACTCTTACACTCCAGCCTATCTTTACCCTCCCTTCAGCTCCCTGTGTCTTTGGCAGTGAGGTCAGTTTCTGCCTGTTTTGATCTTCCATGCCCCCTGCATGCTGCTGCTGCTGCTGCTGCTTGCTTTAATTCTCAGATTCTCACTTACCTTCCTGGAAAGGCTTTTCCTGACCTTTCAAGCCAAGACTACACATACGCAGGTGCACCATGGCCCCTCCTCCCAGCACCTTGTAAGCGGATGTTGAGCTTTCCTTCCTGTCGGTGAGCTCCTTGAGGTCAGGGCCACATCTTTCACATTTTATACAAGGACAGTTGAACATGTTTGTGGAAAATAGAACAAAGATGAATTTATTAGGGTGTCGAACATTTTTGAAGCTCATTCAAATGAGCAGTCTTCAAGAAGTCCATGGGAAATATTAGTTATGAAAAAATGATGCATGGATTTCAGAAATTTTGTAATAAACTAGTATTTCAGTTCCATTTCTTGTGAACATTCTGAAGTTCCTTTGTGCCTTGAAAATCAAAGGCTCTGTTGGTTGAGTGTTGATGTTAGGAGTTTGGGATATTGGTTTCATGTCCACAAAATACCATTTTCCTAGCAGAAAATCCTGTTTGTACTGTCTTAATAAAATTTTCTTTTTTACAACAGATTTGTAAATGTTATTAAAGTAATTGGGAATTTTAAGTAGCTTTTAGAATTAACTATATTGTTTTAGTAAAGCTAAGATGTGCTTTAATGGATAAGCCCTCTTTTTAAGTTATTTAAATTATATTCTGATATGTGAGAATTTTAAAGTCTTTTTAATTGTGGTAATAATTTGCTTTTTACAGAAAAATAGAAAGGATAATATAAACACATTTATATTATAAAATATATAATATTATAAAGACCTTCCTTTCCTGTTTGCTGATTTTACTCCCTAGGGGATAGTTACTGCGGTCAGTTTTGTTTGTATGTATCACCTGTTTCCAAGGATGCTACAGACAGTTTTCCATATTAGCAGCTGGGAGGTTCTGATGGGCTTGGGGGTGACAGCTGTGAGAGGGCACTGCTGTGACCATCCGCTCTACGTGGGTTTTCCCATTTTGTGTGCTTCTGGAAGATACTGTCCTGCAATAACATTGCTAGGTGGAAGAGCATACCTGGTTCAGATTCTGATAGATGCTTCCAACTTGCCTTCCTAAAGAGTTGTAGAAGTTAGTTTGTTAAGTAACACTGGTGGGGCGGGGGATTATTAGAAGGGTTGATTATAAACAATTTGACAAATATAGAAAAGTACCCCCTCAAAACCACTTATTTCATCATGTAAAATTAATCTCTTAAATCCTGCAGTCTTATTCCTTTGTTCATTTTTTTTTTTTACATTTAGAATCTACCTATCTAAACTACTTTGCAAGTTGCTGCTTTCAAATAGCATTGTAATAATGTGACTTTAAAATATTTATGTAATTCTGTTTAGTTATATGGTGATTCATTTAACTGTGTCTCCATTTTTGGGCGAATTGCATCGTATCTCTTTTCTCTTAAAAGTCACTGGTAACTTAAGATACATATGCATGTGTCCTGAGTAAACACACTCTCTTTTTACCTCTCGATGTTCTTTCACTGCACATTCTTCGAAATGGCTTTGCTGGGTTGGAGGATGAAAATGTAAGATTGCATACATATTGCTAAATTGCTGTCCAGAAAAGTTCCAAGACTGCCTGCCTAGCAAGGTCAGTGTGCCTGTTTGAGCAGTAGTCTGACAGGTGGAGCAGCACTGATCACACCACAAACCTAATTAGCTCTTCTGATTAAGAAACAGGCGAGAGGGCCATAGTGTGGGAAGAAAAGTGACGTTAAGACATAGCATTGAGGCAGTCATTGTGGTACAGCGAGGTAAGCCAGCACTTGGGACACCAGCATCCTATATTGGGCTGCCAGGGATCAAGTCCCGGCTCCTTCACTTCCAGTCCGGCTTTGTGCTGATGCTTCTCGGGACAGCGGATGACTGTCCGTGTACCTGAGTTCCTGCCACCCACATGAGAGGCCCCAGTGGAGTACCTGGCTCCTGACATTAGATCAGCCTGGCCAAACTCTGGCTATTGAAGGCGTTTCAGGGAGTGAACCAGCATACAGAAGGCCTCTCTTTCTTTGCCTTGCCTTCCCTGTCACTCTAACTTTCAGCTAAGTGAATAAATAAATCTTGAAAAGGACATAGCATCTTATGCTATGTAAGTTGTATTCTTACTCCTTACATTGTTTTAAATAAGTGTCTCTCATTTGTATTGTTTTGTTTTGACTCTATTGTCGCTGTTCTTGGTTTACTGCTGTTTTATTCTATTCACCTGTACCTTTCTACCTAGAGACCAAATGAAAGGGTTGACACTGTATCAGAAAAACCAAGAGAAGATCCAGTATTAAAAGAAGAAGCCCCAGTGAGTTGCTTTATTGAATATTGTCTAACCAGATATGGGATCAGAAGGCGAAAGCAGAGTGACTTAATGCTGCACGTTGTGGTATTTCACAGTTGTGTACTTGCTTATTTCAAAAGTTATACTGAAATAAACCCTGGAGCTTGGTATAAGAGGTAGATATTTCCAGTGAATTACTTTCCTTTTTAAAACTACGGCTATTTTAAAAAGTTGATCATGTGAATTCTCAAGATACCTTACTAATTACTTGGCCCCATCAACACTAATTCCACTCTTAGTGATGGGGCTTGTTAATAATACTTTCTTGTCTTCGCTTCTTCCCACTTGTAGTTTCAGAGAGCAGGTATCAGAGAAATATACCTAAAGATAAATGTCACATCGTGAGCATTTCAGCGTACTTTGTACCTAGTAACCTAGTTTCTGTTTCAGAATTTTGCTTCTGATGAAGTTTTGTGGCCTTTTCCTGTAGGCTCAGCCGATACCATCTTCTGTGCCAGCACCAGAAGTGTCAACTGGTGTTAAGTTCCAGGTTGGTGATCTTGTTTGGTCCAAGGTGGGAACCTATCCTTGGTGGCCTTGTATGGTTTCAAGTGATCCCCAGCTCGAGGTTCATACCAAAATTAACACAAGAGGTAAGAAAAGGTGTAGAGATGTTAAGTAAAACCAGACTGACAGTAAAGAGGAAAAAGGAATATAGAATGTTGTATATGGATATAAAAATGTGTAGATAACATATAATCTGACACAAAAATACAAGTGTGTGTTTATCGGTTTTTAATAACTGCTGAAACAACTGTGATTATCTTAATTGACCAAATAGTTTGTTTTCCTTTATGGCACCCTGTATTTGTTTATAATTTCCTTCGCATTTTTTAAAATATGTGTGTGTGTGTGTGTGTGTGTGTGTGTATTTATATATTTGTTTGCTTATTTGAAACAGTAACAGACAGAGAGCTTCCATCCACTGATTCACTCCCCGAATGTCTGCCGCAGCCTTGGCTACAGCTGGCTGCAGCCAGGAGCCTGGAACGTCATTGGGGTTGCCCACATGGGTGGCAGGGGCCCAAGCGCTAGAGCCCTCATCGGCTGCCTCTCAGGAGTCCTTAGGACGAAGCTGGATCAGAAACAGTGTGGGAGGTGACCATCCCAACGGCAGCTGAGTTCGCCCCGCAATGCCAGCTGCTGTACTGGTTTTTTTCAAAGACCTTCATCTGACCTTTTGTATTTTTCCTAAAGAAAGTGTATGAATAAGCAATAACATGTCCTGCATGCACTGGGTAGGTATTTGGGCCAAGCCATTGAACATTCAGATTTCATTGTTGACTTCTTTCAGGAATAATGTTGTTGCTAAATTCAAAGGATTTAATGCCAAAAAAGCAAACCAGTCCCGGGCAGCCAGACTCGTTTGTTTTTGGGCTGTGAAGCCGTGTAGAGGATGAGGAGGTTGTAGATGGACCCTCCGAAAGCCAACGCATGGTAGTCGGTACAGCATTTGGTCAGGCAGGCCTTGCGTGAGATGGATAGACACACCATCTGATTTCCGGAGAAACTTCCACAGCTCTGGAACTTTGTTCTTCCCAGCATAATCGTATGTGGGAGAACTGGCGGTCAGTTTAGTTGGAGTAACGAATATAACAGACAACGCTTCTGTGGAAACCACTGGCTTTAATCCCTGTAGGGAACAGGTGTCCAAAATCCTGCTTCCTGAAGTCACTGCCTGCGCAACCGCCCTAGAGAAGCAATCATTTGTTTTTCTAACCCAAAAACGTTTCATCCTGATACTTGTATATGATGCATTTTTCCCTCTGACCCATTTTTAAGGTTTACTTTTATTTCAAAGGCAGATTTACAGAAAGAGAGGGAGACACAGGGAGTGGGACGTGGAGGGAGAGAGAGGGAGAAAGAAAATAATCTTCCATCTGCCAATTCACTCCCCAAGTGTCTGTAAAGGATGGAGTTGGCCAATCTGAAACTTGGAGCCTGGAATTTCTTCCATGTTTCCCAGGGATAGGTACGGAGATCTACGACTTGGGCCATCTTTCACTGCTTTCTCAGGCACATTCACTGGGAGCTGCATCAGAAATGGAGTAGTGGGACTCGAACTGTGAATGTTGGCATCTCAGGCTGAAGCTTAACCTACGATGCCTTAGTGCAGGCGCCTCTGATTCTTTTTTCAATTTGTCACATTTTTATTGGGCTATTCCTGAGTGTGATATGATATAAAGTATATCTTGAGTCTACCTGTGTGACCTAGAATCTTCCTTAGGAATGTTGGTAAAAGATAAAAATAGATATATCCTAACTTTTCTCTACTGGTGGGGGGGGGTTGATAAAAAATGGTGTGGATTAGATTCCCAGCATTTTAACATTAGGAGTATGCTTAGTAGCAGTTGGACCACTGGTTGTCTCTCTCCTTTGTAAAAGTCTTGGCGATCCTGCTTCCACATTGTTGTTGGTCAGGTATTGTGATACACAGAGAAAAGACAGGAAGATCTTCCACCCGGTTCTTCACTCCCCAAGCGGCCACAATAGCTGGAGCTGAGCTGAGCTGAAGCCAGGAACCTGGAGCTCTTTCCAGTCTCCCACGTGGGTGCAGGGTCACAGGGCTTTGGGCCATCCTCGACTGCTTTCCCAGGCCACAAGCAGGGAGCTGGATGGGAAGTGGAGCTGCCGGGATTAGAACCAGCGCCCATATGGGATCCCAAGGGATGCAAGAGCAGGATTTAGCCACTAGGCTGTCCCGCTAGGTCTGCCTTTCATCCCCCTACCCCAAGTTTTATTTTACTTGAAGGGCAGAATTAGAAATAGATGAAGCTAGGAAGGAACTCTTTCTCTGTACACATTATAATTAATGGGTAATTAAGTCAATATTTTTACTGGGGATTTTAAATACTGTCCATAATGCCTGTTGTTATTTTAAACCATATGAATTTTTGTTTGAAAATTAAATTGATTTTATTGACTTTTACATGTTCTTGGAGAAATCATTTCCATATAAAAGTTTGCCATTTAATATGGATTTATTCACATTTTTATTTTGCACACATGTTTTTAAATATTTGGAAGACACATGATTTTTCATTTCAGTAGGACTTGTGCATGATTACAGTCGCTAAACTGACACACTATTAAAAAACTAAGAATGCCCAAAACAAACAAACAGAAACAAAACTAAAACTAAGAATGCAGCTTTAGGCCGATTTAAATTGCAAATATAGCACCCTTCTTGTATGATTTTTCCAAGTCCCTGCTGTGAGCTTACTGAAGTATTACCCAGAGTGTGCTGCTTGTTTTGTTATAGAAAAAAAAATTGCAAGTAAAAAGGTCAGTACTATTCAAGGTGTTCACTTCAAAATCCCATGATCCCCAAGGTCAGACTGTGTGTTCCCCTGTCACTCACAGCACAGTGTTATTGATTAATGATCCCCTGCCCACCAGCACCAGCTTAGTCACGACCCAGGGTACTGTGCTAATTAAAATGAGAGTATGGCCTGGACTGGGATCCCATATGGACACTGGTTCTGATCTTGGCAGCTCTACTTCCCATCCAGCTCCCTGCTTGTGTCCTGGGAAAGCAGTCAAGGACGGCCCAAAGCCTTGGGACCCTGCACACATGTGGGAGACCTGGAAGAAGTTCCTGGTTCCTGGCTTCAGATATGTGCAGCACCAACCATCGTGCTCACTTGGAGAGTAAATCATCAGAAAGAGGATCTTCCCCTCTGTTTCTCCTCCTCTCTGTATATCTGACTTTGTAAATAAATAAATAAATAAATAAATCTTTTTTTTTTTTAAATGAGAGTGAATTAAAGCATTTCAGTCATTGAGTTCATTTATAATTTGTCCTTAGATGATAGTTTCCTTAAATGTAAAACTAAGGTCTTTTTTTTTACTTTAAAATCTGGTATATATGTTTGCATTTTTAAAAAGATTGATTTATTTTTATTGGAAAAGTCAGATTTATAGAAAGAAGGAGAGAGAAAGATCTTCCATGCGCTGGTCCACTCCCCCAAATGACGACAATGAGCTGCTCTGAAGCCACAAGCCAGGAGCTTCTTCAGGGTCTCCCACGCAAGTGCAGGGTCTCAAGGCCTTGGGCCGTCGTTGGCTGCTTTCCCAGGCCACAAGCAGGGAGCTGGGTAGGAAGTGGAGCATCTGGGACACAAACTGTTAACTGTAAGGGATCCTAGCAATTGTGCACTGAGGATTAGCCAAATGAGCCATCCCGCCCGCCTTTGATCAATCTTTAATTATAATTAGATTTATACTGTCTCTGTGCCAGCTGATATGGAAATAAATTGTGTATATTTCTCTTATAGACTGTTTTTCATATGATATATTAATTTGGCTTCAGAGGTATTTCTCACATAATCTCCCATTAATATCAGTTAAAATAAGGTTCGTCACATCTGACATAAAAAATATAATATGGCTACGTGTCAGCCTAAGCCCATAGTTCATGTTTCCTCATCAACATCCACTTGTTGTCTTTCTTTACCTGAGTCCTCTGGAACAGTGCCTGCATTTTTCTGTTGATTTGTCTACAGAACAACACTTTTTGAGTTGTCTTTACTAAAGAAGCAGCTTTGGAGGGTCCCAGCATGGACATGCCAGCTACAAATCTGGTACTTTATGAGTGCCAGTTTGCATCCTGGCTGTTCCACTTCCCGCCTTGCTCCTTAGTAACGAATCTTAGAAGGCAGCAGCAGAAGGCCCAGTACTTGGGGCCTTGCCACCTATGTGGGAGCCAAGAGGAAACTCTGGGCTCCTGGTTTCAGCCTGGCCCGCCCTGGTCATTACTGTCGTTTGGGGAGTCAGCCAGTAAATTGAAGGCCTTACTGTTTCCATTCCCCACTCCTCTGTAACTCTGCCTTTCAGATAAATACATCTTTAAGCATTGCTGTCATTAGTTCAGTTTTCGTTCCTGTCATACAATGGGCTAATATTTCTGTGAAATACAGAAGCAGGTTAATTACTTTTGATCCTGTGTCTGACTGTCCTGACAGAGTCCCAATGCTACCATAGCTTCTGAGCGATCCAGCACCTGCGTGGACTTGGCTGCAGGCGGACTGTTCCTCAGACTCCCACCTTCACAGCAGCAGCCATTCTCATTCTCAGATGGTTTACTTGTAAAAGCTGAGGACTCCAAAGAGGCTTTTGTTTATATTGGTTACACCTGTTACTATTTGTTTTATTTTAGAAATTAGAGCTGAGGAAAGTTTAAAACTATTAACTAATTTATTTTAAAGCAACAAACTGTGATATGTTGTCACACACTACATTTTGATGGAAAACTTTTATCAAAAAATGAATGATTGAGAGTGGGCATTGTGGCCCAGTAATGTCAGCCACCACTTGGGACACTGTGCTTTCCTATCAGAGTGCTGGTTTGAGTCCACGCTACTGCAGTTCTACTCTGGCTCTAGATGGCCCACGTGCTTGGGTTCCTGCCTCGGGTCGGAGACCAGACAGAGCTCCTGGCTCCTGGCTCCTGGCTCCTGGCTCCTGGCTCCTGGTTCCTGGCTCCTGGTTCCTGGCTCCAGGTTTTGATCTGGTCCAGTCAGCTCCAGCTTTGTGGATGTTTCGAAAATGAACGAGCAGATGGAAGGTCTCTCTGTCTCTGTCATTCTGCCTTTCAAATGAATAAGTCCTTGAAAGATATTCATGAGAATGGTATTAATTTACATTTTTTGGACAATCTTTAAATGTCTAGCTTAAATGAAGATGCTGGATTCTAATATGTGCTTCTGCATTCTGTCTCTGTTACGATTTGTTGCTGTGGTTGTGAAGATGACCCTGCCTCACACAGACCTGTAGTTGGAAAAGGGAAGAGTATTGTAATAGTCATTTCAGATCACTGTGGATGTATTTCTTTGGTGTTTCTACAGAGCTCAACAAGAGTTAGGTTAGTTACAGTGTGGAGTCTGAAACCCTATCAATGACCTTTTGTGCTTTATTATGTTAAAATCCATCAGTTCTCTCATATGCTTTAGGTCTTTCACTTATGGTTTGTTGCAAGATGCATTGGCCAGTTAAAAACTGCTTACCGAGTCAGACAAATTTCCCAAGTGTTGACATGTTTTTCCAAAGATACCTTTTTAAAAAAATTATCATTTTATTAGCACCACGCTTTAACCAACTGAACTAACTGGCTAGTTCAAAAATTATCATTTTATGATACAGTACCATAGGCCTTGGGATTTCCCTTACCCTACTCCAAGTCCCCTCCCCTTGTCTCAGTTCCCCTATATTGTTACTATAGTATATTTCCTCGTAAACAAAGATACTTTAAAAAATCATATTAATGTCACCACTTGTTGCTCAGAAAATGATTCCTGGTAAGCTGGCAGACTCAGAAGCAAAGATACGCTCTTCAGAATTTTGATTTTGTTTAAGAGATCCTGTTTGTTATTGTCAACCACAAAGTGTTGTTTTCCTTAAGGTAATAAAATTAAAAATTTGCTTCTGGAAATACCTGCCAGATTCTTAATTTTGAATAACCACCATTCTTGCAGTTATACTTTCTAGAGAAAATGGTGCTACATGAAAAAGTGGTCCTAAAAATACTTTGCTGCCCAGCCACACAGCTATCCCAATTTTAGTATGCAAAAGCATTTTGTTCATTCTTGCCATTTCATCTCAGCATTAAAGCGATAGATATATCCAAGGCTAGAGATTTTGTGAAATTACGAGTTTCTGCTGGTCCATCAGGATGCTAAGTAAAGCTAGCTGCTGCTTCCAACAGCCAGTGCAAGGATGTAAGGAACGCAGCGACACTGGTGCCGGCTCAAGCCTGGAGGTTGTGTTTGTTCACACTGAGATGCCAGCAGTCTTTCTCAGGCATTTCTTGTGGACAAATGTTAACTTACTGAAAAAGACAAATAAAAACCTGACATTCTTATGACGATACTTGGGCCTGAACGGTGCAGGGGCCTCACTGCTCCATCCGCCGACCTGTGTACCACACGGTTACACAGCTAGAAAAGCAGCTTGTAAGCACTTGGACTTCAGAAATCCAAGAAAACTTGTTTTATGTTTGCGAAACTACTTGAGGCGAGTAAAAATAAATTGTTCAGTCAGGCTAGTAAATAAGATAATTGGCAGAATTTCTGCTTTTCTGTCTCTTAAAACTCCCTGTTGCTAATTTTAGTCATTTGGAATTATTTTTACAATAGCTGTTAGTTTTGTCATTAGTAAGAATTGTAGTATGTCTTTTTGACAGTCCAGAATGTAAAGATTTGAATGAGAGTTAATACTGGAACCTGTGCTAGGGTATCTTTTGGCAGTCTGTGTGCATGCTTATGTTCTAAAATGTTTACAAAGATTTTTTTTACTTTACAGGTGCCCGGGAATATCATGTCCAGTTTTTCAGCAACCAGCCAGAGCGGGCCTGGGTTCATGAAAAGCGAGTGCGGGAGTATAAAGGTCATAAACAGTATGAAGAGCTACTGGCCGAGGCAACTAAACAAGCCAGCAATCACTCTGAGAAACAAAAGGTAACCAGCAAGTAGTGTTACTAATCTGGTTTTCTAAAAGTATTTGGTGATTTCTACTGTGAGACGAGTATTCTAGCTTAGTGGCTAGAGTTCTCACCTTGCACACATTGGGGTCACATATGGGCGCCGGTTCTAATCCCAGTGGCCCTGCTTCCCATCCAGCTCCCTGCCTGTGGCCTGGGAAAGCAGTTGAGGACGGCCCAAAGCCTTGGGACCCTGATCTGTGTGGGAGACCCGGGAGAAGCTCCCGGCTCCTGGCTCTGGATCAGCTAGGCTCCAGCTGTTGTGGCTGTTTGGGGAGCGAATCTTCAGACGGAAGATCTTCCTCTCTCTCTCTCTCCTTCTCTGTATATCTGACTTTGCAATAAAAATAAATAAACTTTAAAAAAATTAAAATGATAAATAAAAGCCAAGTCTTGGGGCCTGTGCTGTTGTTCAGTGAATTAGGACACTGACTGCCACATCAGTGTGCCCTATGGGGCCAGTTTGAGTCCTGGCTGCTCCGTTCCTGATCTAGCACCCTGCTAATGTGCCTGGGAAAGCAGCACATGATGACTCACATCCTTGGACCCCTGCACCCGTGGGAGACCCAGAAGAAGGTCTTAGGTCCTGGTTTTTCCTGGCCAGACTTAGCCATTTTAGCCACTTGGGGAGAGAACCAGCAGATGGAAGATCTCTGTCTCTCTCTGTCTCTCTCTGTCTCTCTGTAACTGTGCCATTTAAATAAATAAAGTCTTAAAAAGCCAAGTCTTATCATAGGATTTGCATTTACTTTATCAGGCTTAGATTCCTCAGGTTGATACCTGGATGTACACTATTCCATCTCATAGTTCCATTAACTAATTTCTAGTTGCTTTAATCAAGCCATCTGTGTATTTCTTAATCGCTTCAATGATCTCATGTACTTGTATCCAGCTTCTTTGGTCACCTCACATACTGATTTACAGAGTAATTTCTTACATCTTGTGCCAATATCAAATCTTGTGATTAACCTTGGACACAGAGACATATGGAAACTATGATTCAGATTTATTTTTTCTCTCCATATGCCTGTTCGCCTTTGTTTTGTCAGCTTTCATTTGTTGCTCGAGGCTGTCCTTTCACTTTCTTCTATGCCTTTGCCTTATGGTATTAACGGGCAGTACAGTTCAGCTGCTGGTCCTCTGGCTAAAATAGCTTTGTTATGGTCTCTGTAGCATCCTGTTTCACTCCTGCGCCTAGGTATGGGGGAGAAATGGCAGCTCTGGGAAGTGTCCTTTTTATTTGTCTAAATGGCAGAGATACACAGAAAGAGACACATAGATTTCTCCCGTCCATTGGTTCACCCCCCAAATGCAGGCGACAGCTGCTTGGGACAGACTGAAGCCAGGTTCTGGGAGCTCATTCCAGGTTCCCCACATGGTGGCCAAGGACCAAATCAACTTGAGGCATTACCTGTTGCCTTCTGGGTTGCTCCTCAGCAGGCAGGAAGCTAGGATCAGAAATGGGGCCAGGCCCTGAAGAGGTGTCTTCACTGCCGTACCAAGTGCATGCCCTTAAGGAGTCCTTTTTTTTTTTTTAAGAATTATTTCTACTTATTTGAAAGTCAGTTTGTACAGAGAGAAGGACAGAAAAAGAGATTTTTCATTCTCTGGGTTACTCCCCAAATGACTACAGTGGTGGAGTTGAGCCGATCCAAAATCAGGAGTCAGGAGCTTCTTCCGAGTCTCCCACGTGGGCATAGGGCCCAAAGACTTGAGCCATCCTCAGCTGCTTTCCCAGACCATTAGCAGGGAGCTGGATTGAAAGCAGAACAGCCAGGACTCAAACTGGTGCTCACGTGGGGTACCAATGCCACAGTGAAGGATTAGCCTGCCTTGTTACCATGCTGGCCCCTTGGGGTGTTATGTTAATGTTAGTGTTTGTACCCCTCGTTTTCACTATCTTTGTGACTGATGTGAGAGGGATGACTCCTTCTTTGGGGACTCTTCAGCAGAATGATCATCAAAGGAGAGAGAGAATAAAGCCAGTAGACTTGCATATCGTGGAATAGAGTAATGCTAATTTATCAAAGTTATGGAGGTAAAACATTCCACCTGTGAAAAGGTGATAGAATCACATGGGAAATGCATACTAATTTTGTTGTACTTATTAGATTAAAGCGTGTCACATGCATACTGAGTGCCCCTTCCTGTATCCGTTTCACAGATCAGGAAACCTCGGCCTCAGAGAGAACGTGCTCAGTGGGACATTGGCATTGCCCATGCAGAGAAAGCCTTGAAAATGACTCGAGAAGAAAGAATAGAACAGTACACTTTCATCTACATTGATAAACAGCCAGAAGACCAATCAAAGAAGAATGCTGCCTCCAAAGCCGAAGTTAAAAAACCCCGCAAGCCAAGATCTGTCCCCAACACTCAGCCAGAACAGCCCAGTGCAGGGGAGGTGGCCTCCTCACACTCAAGTACTGAGAACCGGAGGCAAAGCCAGCGGAGGCACGCCAGTGTGGAGGAGGAGGAGCCGCCCCCAGTCAAGATAGCCTGGAAGACAGCAGCAGCCAGGAAGTCCTTACCAGCTTCCATCACCATGCACAAGGGGAGTCTGGATTTGCAAAAGTGCAACATGTCCCCAGTTGTGAAAATTGAACCAGTGTTTGCTCTTCAGAATGCCACAGGAGACGGGAAATTTATCGATCAGTTTGTTTATTCAACAAAGGTATCTGCTTTTTCCATGGGGTTTTCTGTGGGACAGTGTTTTGAAAGTAGTGAACCGGGGCTTCTCAAAAAACAATAGAATGAGAACAGAATTTAAACATCCTTTGTATCCATTACTTACGAAACATACAGTTTATTCTGTGGGGGAAAAAAAACACACAGGAAAAAGGGCTATGTTTTTCTTTTTTCTCCCCTCTTTTGTAATATTCCCATCTGTAATACATTAATCTTGACTTGGCAGCCAAAATTGAGCTTAGCTTCTGGAAGTCAATGGAAAAAAACTGGGCACTTTGTTTCTAGTTTGTAGAGTTAGTTTCTCTTAGCTGCAAAGTGTGCTTCTTATTAAAATCAATTCTGTTGGTTATCTGAGTTAGGCATCCTTATAAAAGCCGATGTAATCCTTGTACCTGGTGACTTGGTTGGCTGTGTTGGCAATTTTGTTAGGATATCTGCCTGCTGTTTAAAGAAACCCATAGTTTGGGTAACGGGAGTGAAGTTGCCTTTACACACTGAATCCAGGTACCTGGACCTCTGCTCTGGTTAGAACACTTATATTTTGTCTCAAGATGTTTACCTTCTTTCCTAATACTGCTAGCATTTACTCCGTAGGCCTTAACACCCTGGATCTCAATCCATACCACAGCCTTGAGGGGTACATACCACATCTAACTTACAGATTTCAGACTGAGTTAAAGAATTCTGCACCTGCTTTTCCCCCCATTGAAGTCATCTGCACACTAACATAGATAATGGATTGTAGGTATGCCCCAGGAGCTGATGGATTTTTCCAGAGAGGCATCAAGGGTTCTCTGTCAGCCTGTTTCTGCTCAGAGGTTCAAGTTGGACAACAAACTGCAGCTCCACGTGTAAATGGATGACATCTCTTCTGTATGCGGATTGCCTTTATTCTTGGAGATAGTTTTATCTGCTGCCAGATGAAGGAATCAAACTGTCTCATACATTTCCCCCTCAAAAGAATGCTATTTGAAAAAATTTTTAAATAAAACTGATTTTAAAAAAGAGAGAGACTTCAAAAACACATACATATGTATAAATCCTTGCTTCACTTCACATTCCTTTGTATTAAAAATTCTTAAAGTGAGACCTAAATGAACTGGACCTGCCTTTTGTCTGTTCTAAATTGCCCGTTGGGTCACGTTTTGGTGACCATGAATGACATTCCTATATCCAAGCATATTCCCAAGACACGCTGTGCAGTGCCATGCTTTACCACATGGAAATGCTGCATGTAAATGAAGAGGCTCTTCAGAGAACACTTTGTGTTTGATAGGAAATAAGTGATACATGTTTATTTTTAGTGAGTCTTATCACTTGGATTTGAATAGTTTTTCCCTACATGACCTATTGTGTATTTGAAAATAAACCTGATGATTCTGAAAAGGGACAAGATAAGTCCGCTGTAACAAGAAACCGCATGAAATGCAGTGAAATACAATTTTGTAACCTAGTAAGCACTGTTTTGTTTTGGTTTTTTTTTTTATTTGCCTTATTTTAAAGGGAATTGGTAACAAAACAGAAATAAGTGTCCGAGGGCAAGAGAAGCTTATAATTTCTACACCAAACCAGAAAAGTGAAAAGCCAGCGCAGAATGTATCATCTCCTGAAGCAACAGCTGGTGCTGCAGGTGAGTGTGAATGCCGAGTGCACAGGCCATTCCAGAAGGTCGCAGTTCTGTTCTGCTCTCAACATGGGACTCATGGTTCTAAGAAACTTTTAGTTAGCAAAAGTAAATTCGGGCCCGGTGTGATAGAGTAATGGCTTAAGTCCTCGCCTTGAAGGTTCCGGGATCCCATATTGGTACCAGTTCTAAACCTGGCAGCTCCACTTCCTATCCAGCTCCCTGCTTGTGGCCCGGGAAAGCAGTCCAGGACTGCTCAAGGCTTTGAGACCCTGCACCCACGTGGGAGACCTGGAAGAGACTCCTGGCTTCTGATTGGCTCAGCTCCAGCCATTGCGGTCACTTGGGGAATGAATCATTGGATGGAAGATCTTCCTCTCTGTCTTTCCTCCTCTATATATCTGCCTTTCCAATAAAAAGAAATAAATCTTTTTTTAAAAAGTAAATTATATTTTAATAATCTTATTATGAAAGCAATTGTTCTAATAGGAAGGAATAGTTTGACTAGGGAGCTTAATTCATAGCCACAGAACATTTATTGTATTTGGTAATTGGACTTTAAAAAGAAAAAAAAACTTTTCTATGTATTTCTCTTTTATTTGAAAAGAAGCAGTCAGGGGGAGAGATTGGCCTCCTGGCTGACAACCAGAGCTGGATCAGAGTGAAGCCAAATCTCTCACTTGGTGTCAGGGACCCAGTCATTGTCAGGTGCTGCTTCCCGGGGTGCACGGGGATGGGAAGCTGGATCTGAAGCAGGTGGGGACACCTGCTGGGCAGTGTGGTGTCCCTGGCACTGTCTCCGCATGAAGGACTTGGGCTCATAGGACAGCCTTACCGTTCCCTTCCTTTTCCAGCTACTGAAAACAAGTTGGGAGGTAGCAGTGTTCTTCATTCCCAGGTCACGAGGTGTGAGTAGCTAGGGAGCCCAGGGCCCAACCATCTTAATGTAACCTGTCCTCTGGTTAACAGGCACTGTGAGTTAAAATCAGGCGGCATGACTCACGTTTAACAGGGAAATGCCTCTGTTTAATAAGGCTGTGCCTTGCAACTGTTTAAAGAAGCTTTTGTAGGACATTGATTCACTAAGGGTTCAGTTCGAACTGAATGTGTTTGGTTTATTTCACAGCATAACGTCAGTTTTGTTTCTGTAGGAGTGTTTCATACAGCCATCCAGGAAAGAGCTAGGTATTAAACTAGCTTGGTCATTTAGAGTCTCAGTTTTCAAGAAAGCAGATTATTTTTGTTGTTGTTGTTTTTCTGCATGTGCTAAGTGTGTAGCAGAAAAGAAGAGGAAATGACTCTGTCCTGCTCTCCTTACCGTGACCCAGCTAGCTGGATTTCTCCCGCACTGCCCAGCTCAGTAGGTGTTCTGTAGTTCAGTTCCATTCTCACACCGTCCACCTGAAGCTGGAATTAGTCCCACAAGACTGATCTTATTTCAGACGCCAGTGGCAAGCCTGGGTCTTCTGAGCTTCCAACTCAGCAGCTCTAAAGGAGGGGGGCTCCCTCAAGGACCCACTCCTTGGAATTACTCCTCTGTGATAGAGGCCCCCGTAACTCAGTAAAGCCCTGTACTTGTTTCCCTGTTTATTATAAAGGATATTATGTTATAAAGGATACTATATGCAATATTGTATATATTATAAAGGTGGGCAGCCAGATGGAAGCTATGGAAATGCAAGGTATAGGGAAGGGTCACACAGCTTCCATTCTATCTATGGAGGTGCTGCTCTGCAGCCACTTCTGAGTTAGCACCCTCAAGTCATCCAAATCCTCAGTGTATGATGTCTTCATTTCTAATTAATTAATTAATTAATTAGAGGTGGGGGTAGATCTTCCACCTGTGGTTTCATTCCCCAAATGGCTGTAAAAAGCTGGACCATGCTGAAGCCAGGAGCCAAGAACTCCATCCGGATCTCCCACAGGATTGGCAAGGCCTAAGCATTTGTGCTGCCTTTTGCTGCTTCCCAGATTCCTTAGCAGGGAACTGGATTGGAAGTGGGGCAGCTGGCACCAGAACCTGTGCTTAACTGGGATGCGGGCCTGCAGAATACACCACCAGTCCCTCAGTTGAGCGTTTTTATGGAGGCCTCACCAGGTAGACATGATGGATTATTAACTCAAGTCTCCAGCCCCCATCTCCTTCTTGTAGGATGAGAGGTGGGGCTGAAAGCTTTGCCTCAGCTTGGTGTTTTTGGTGGCCATCCCCCATCTAGGAGCACTCCAGCACAAAAGACACTCCTCCTACAGGAAACTGGTACTGGGAGTAAGTACTATGTCAGAAGACCAAGTACTGAAATAAGAACACCTGGCATCCCTGCCACTGAGAAAGGCTTTTTAGGAGTTCTGTGGGACAAACCAGAGGGGTAGACATTAAGCATCTGATTCTTATTAATTGTTTAAGCATAGTATCACAGGGACCTAAATGTGTCAGTCTTGAAGTCCTAATGTTGAATTACTAGTACCTCAGGCAAGCATGTAATTAAGTGGCATGAAGGATTAAATATTTTTAAGGAGATTTTAAGTAGAAATCTGATGTATGTATAACAAGACATAAACAAAAAGTCACTCTTCATAAGGTTAGTATTGTGGTACAGCCGCTAGGCCACTGCTTGGGACTCCAGCATCCATATCGGAGCACAGATTCCAGTCTCAGCTCCTGCACTTACAGCTCAGCTGCCCACTAATGTGCCTGGGAATGCAGCAGAAAATGGCGGGTGTGTTTGGACCCCTGCACCCATGTGGGAGACCTGGGTGGAGTTCCTGATCTTCAGCTTGGTCTTGCCTTAGTAGCCATCTGCCGAGTGAACCAACAAATGGAAGATTCTCTCTGTATCTCTCTCTCCCTAATTGCCTTTCAAATAGATGAGTTTCTCTTTGTTTTTTTTTTTTCTTAAGACTTATTTACTTATTAGAAAGGCAGAGTTACAGAGGTGGGGGGAGGGAAGAGAGAGAGAATGAGTCTTCTGTCTGCTGGTTCATGTCCCCAAATGGTCACAAGGACTAGAATTGAGCCAGGCGGAAGTCAGGAGCCAGGAGCTTTGTCTGGGTCTGCCAGGTTGATGTAGGCTCTTGGAACACCTTCCTGGGATATTAGTAGGGAACTAGACTAACTAAACTGCTCACTCACAAATCAAGCTGTGGAATTCTTTGTTTTGACTTTGAGCTTGGGTGAAGGAAGCCATTCATGTACTGCCAAGAGTAATGCAATCAGAAAGTTGCAAATGTCATATGGAAAATTTCACTGAAGTAGCTTTTGTCTGATTCTATAGGTGGTTTTAGTATCCCTCTCTAGTAGCAAGCTAAAGTCAGTTACTGGTTAGAAAGAAGTGGCTGGGAGGTGGCTGGCCGTTCCGCAGCTGTGCTGAGAGTGTAGCTGCCCCTCAGAGCCACGAGCGAAATCACTCCTCAGTCACTGTCTTCTCAAGCTGTGGCCTTCTGGCTTTCCAAAAGAGGGAGACTTCTGAGTTTACTTTTGCAAGATTGTATTGTCTAAGCATCTTACATTTTTTTTTTGCCACTTAACAAATTGATTGATTTGTTTCAACCAATTTTCCATAATTATTTTGAAATATAAACAAATCCCTTGATAATCAAATCAGCAATTAGATTGTAGTCACATTTTTGTGCCATTCCAGCTTTTTCTATCTTGATGACAAAGACCAGTAAAACTTACCTAAGTGCACCAAGCACTACTAGACATTTTATATATAGGATAATTCATTTCTTAAATGGAAATTGCCTGGTAATGATTGAATTTTGAGTCAGTAACTCCTAGTGTTATTTGGTTAGTAAATTTTTTTAAAGACTTATTTATTCATCCATTTGAAAGAGTTATAGGCCGAGAGCGTGCGTGAGAGAGAGCACCCAGCCAGCCCTCCCTCTACTGGATCTCTCTACCCAGATGACCGCAGTGATGGGAGCTGGGCCACTGCAAAGCCAGGAGCTTCATCTGGGTCTCCCACATGGGTGCAGGTGCCCAAGCACTCCCACCACTGCTTGCTGAGGTGCATCAGCAGGATCCTGAATCAGAAGTGGAGCAGCGAGAGCTGAAACCAGCACCCTTATGGGATGCCCATGCGACAGGCAGTGGCTTTACCCAATGTACCACAGCGCTGGCTCTAGTAAATCCTTTTTTTTTTAAGATGTATTCATTTATTTGAAAGAGGAGAAGACACCAGGAGAGTGATTTTATATCCACTGATTTCATTACCCAAGTGGTTGCATGGCCAGGGCTGGAACAGGCTGAAGCCAGGAGCTTTGTCTGAATCTCCCACGTGGGTGGCAGGGAGCCAACCTGTTGCCTGTCCTTCCTCGCTTTTCCTAGGCCTTTAGTGGAGCAAGTGGAGCAGCCAGGACACAAGACAGTGCCCTTGTGGGCTTGCCAACATCTCGGGGGTTTACCAGATACACTATGATGCTGGCCTCAAGTAAACCACTTTTACCTGTGTCTTCAGATTCCTTCAGCCCTTTATTTGTCTTGAAAGCTAGGTCTGCCTCTGCTGTCTTACATTGACTTGTAAAAATGAAATCCCTCTTCTTTGGGTAGAATTGAGGATGTTTTGTGAATCCCAGTCTCAGCTCATTCACCTTTACAGTTTGATCTGTTAAGTAACGTATATGCTGCCAGGTATTTAATAGCTTTTTAATGATACATAATTAAAATTCCAAAGTCAGCAGATAAAAAAGGAAGGGAATTAGGTCAAACCTTAATTACATGAGTGTCAAGCCATCCTTAAATGAGTTTTTGTTTATCTGTTTAAATCGTGTCTTAGGCTCAGTAGAAAAGAAGCAGCAGCGAAGATCGATTCGGACGCGTTCTGAATCAGAGAAATCCACCGAGGCTGTGCCAAAGAAGAAGGTCAAAAAGGAGCAGGTTGGCTTCCTACATGTAGAGTTAAAACACTGTGCTTGTAAACGTGGTGGCTTCCGTTGGTGTCATAAGAGAACCTTTGCCCCATACGGGGTTTCCTTTCTGAATCATCTTCTGCTTCTGTCTCGGTGGCTTCCATCGCCCTGCACCTCTGCTGCAAGCGTTGTCAGGGAAAGCATCTTGGTCTCCGGGCCTGGAGAGCCAGTGGCACGAGACTCTTAAAAGACCTTGAGATTTCTGTTGTGAGTGGAACGATGCCTCGTTTGACAGTTTTTATCTGGAACCATCATTAAGTTCCCTTTGTTTGGAAATTTTGGCGTTTGGTGTAAGCTACTGGTGTGTATGTTTTTATTTTTTAAGCAAATCAAATCAATTTAACTTATATTCTTGTATTAAAAAGCAGGTGATCAGAGGTGATTTGGTTTTGCTGGTGATATCACAGATTTTTTTGGAATGTTATTTTTCCAGTGGGGTGGCATTCCATGAAGCTCAGGGTCAGATAAACATTCATGTAAAGAGGGAATAGGATACTTCTGACTAGAGTGTATTAAAGCAGTAAAATCATGATAGGAATATGTTAAATTATTTTTTCCAAGAAATTTTTAGAAACTGTTCTTTTAACTTTTAGTACTTTTTTAAAAGAGAAAGGGAAAGAATATCTATTTTTATGGCCCAGATACTTGCTAAATAAAGTTTGGATAGAATTAATTCCAAAAAGTGTTGTATTTTAAAAAACATTTAATATGAAAGTGTGAGCTTTTCTATTCAAATTATTGGCCTCATGATTTTAAACTTTCAAACATAATAGCTAACTTTGTGGGTGTTCTGTTATATCACCAGGCATGTAAAACCATTTATCCAGAATAGTTAGCTGCAATTTATATAAGATACTAATTTGCCATTCGTTTATCATATTAGCTCTCATACTTAGGACATCACATTCCCCCAAAATTCCCTAAGTCCTTGCCAATCTATAGTATCCATTATGAAAATGAAGTTATGATTTTGCCACCCAGTTCCCAAATTCAATCTGTGACCAGTTTAAAATCAGTAAGAATAATGAGTGCCAAAAAGAATGGGATCAGTTAAAGCCACTTTGTTATAGTTAGTAGGAGAAAATGTCAGCGATGGTTTTGAGCATTTTGTATTTGTATTATTAATTGTTTCTTATAAAAGCCTCTGTTCTGTTTTTTTACTTAAAAAATTTTTTAAAGAGCATAGAATAATTCTTAAATATTTACAAAATATATTTCAGCATGCGTATTTCATTACATCTTAAACATGAAATTCAATTAATAGCTTAAACAGGAAGTCCTCCGAGTAGCATCCTTTCTCTAATTCCTTGATTCAATCTACAAATTACCATGTGTTTTACATATACATTGGCAGAATAACTTTTGGTTTCACTCTCCTAATGTAGGATCAAGACACTGTTCATAAAACAAGAAAGTGCTTTTTGCAATATCAGAAGCGTACTTTCTTAAGTTTGTGCTAGCAGCTCAAGTATTGAGCTTCCAGCTCTTTGGAACCCTGTAGCACTGTCTGCGGAGAGGGTCCTGATTACCAGCTCCTTAGTTGTGAGTGCAGGCATGGAGGGAGCTTACAGTGGCGTGAATCACATTTTCCCAAGTATCTTAGTAAGTAACCGTTTATCCTGACGTCATTGGGGCAGGAGGGATAGACCACAATGACAGGGCTGCTTGCAGAAACAGCCCCTCTCCTGCCTCACACCCCGATGACAGTGTTCTTGTCCTTGTCACATGCCAAGGGAACGGTGGAGTCCTTGCTGGAGAGTGTGTGGCTGTGTGGTGTCACTTGGTGTTCAGCACAGGCCGCCAGGACCAGCACCATTCCTGCCCATGGAAGTCAGCTCTACCTAGATATATGAATCACTCAGCATTGCTTAGACCAGAGCAAATGTTGTCTTTCCCTCCAGGAACTAATAGTGTGAGAATTCCTGACTAATGCTGTCTTCTTCTGTCCATACAGGTTGAAACAGTTCCTCAGACTACGGTGAAGACTGGATTACAGAAAGGTGAGTTGATATTAAATTGTCGCTTTGCATTTCCTTGATTAAAACCAGTTTTTAAGACTTACTTATTTGTACCTCACATATTTTTGTCTGTCTCTGCAAATCATTGTTGTTGCTCTTCGGTGTGAAATTGCAGTATTTTCCAATACGTGCTCAGTATGTGTGTGTGTATGTTGTGTGTGTGTGTGTGTGTTGTGTGTGTGTGTGTGTGTGTGTGTGTGTGTGTGTGTGGCTTTTCAAGTTGATCTTCTGTATCTCCACATCCAAAGTCTTTATCTGTTTTTGTAAACTGGAGAACACCGTGTAGACTTGATACTGTTTTTATCTTTTCTCCATAAAACTCTGGGGTTTCACTGGCTTATAAACTAGGGATGTGACGAATCCACTTTTTTTGGTATTCGACTGAATACCGAATAGTAGCTATTCATGTTTGTCAAACATGGGCTATGACAAATCAGACAAGACAACCTGATTGGAAAAAAAAAAATTCTTGCCACATTTATTTTGACAGTGCTGTAAAATCTTTTTTTGTAAATTAAAATGATTCATAGCATATTTATGGCCACTATTAGATGACTTTTTGCAAAATAAATTTGAGATATGCACAAAGTTTAAGAAACCTTAAACTTATATCTGTATTTTCTGTGTGCAATTTGACTACAGTACCAACTCCATAGCATGATTTGTGCGTTCTTAGTGAGATCAAACTGTATCTAATGAGCTGTAGTTTACTCTGGGCAAATTGCATTATTTTAAAAATAAATAAATAAATAAATAAAAATAAAAGCACCAGCCTCTCTGCATTCCCGGGGAGAAGTCTGCAGCGATGGTCTCCGTGGAGATCCTCAGCAGCACTGAACAGCCTCTCGGAGGGAACACTGCTTGGCGGAGCTCCAAGAAAAGACATCGCGCTGGCTGCGAGATTAGGAGGCCTGATTGCGTTGTGTTTCCACCATTCCACAGGGTCGGCGGACCGGGGAGTGCAGGGCTCTGTCAGATTCAGTGACAGCTCCGTCTCCGCAGCGATTGAGGAAACTGTGGACTGAGATTCCTGTACAATTCCATCCCAGAAACTCCAGACTTGTAGTCTCCATGCAAGATTTCTTTGTCGGCGGCTCGATAAACAGTTCCTTTGTTTTCAATTTTGATTTTGCCAATCGTGGTTATTGGCAGTTTCCTGCCTGGTTTCTTCTTCAAGATTCTGAACAATTGCTTTACCATTCAAATGATTTTTTTTTTTTTTTTTTTTTGTCTGAGCTGGATGGGTACAACTTAAATCGTGGGTCCAGCCTAAAAAAAAAAAAAAACAACCACCATTTAACTTACACTGATCAATTCCAACATGGACTGTTTTTGTTTTTTGTTTTTGTGGGTTTTTTTTGTTGTTGTCGTTGTTGTTTTTAAATAAAAGCATCATTAAATGCACATCTACAGGGTTTTGCCAAACAGCCCAAACTGTATACATTACAATCATTAAAAGCTCTTATTTTTTTTAAATATTAGTGCCGTTATCATGGAGAACAGCATGGCAGCTGCCTGTGGCTGCCTGTCATTTTTCTAGCATTTTCAGAACTCATCGGAAATGGCGGTACCTGTGTTTCCCTTCGAAAGCCTCTCAGTGCAGCACTCCTGTTCCTCTGTTAGAACTCCTTGTTAATCCAGTGATCTCTTAGGCCAAGGAAACATTCTGTGGTGGTGTTCTGGGTCCATACACCAGCAATGAAGGAGATAGATTTGTGTACTTATGTTTTTTAAATCAGCGTTCACACGGGCAGACACCCTCATTTCTAGCTATCAGGAAACACGCAGTGGAAAAACGTAGTGAATGGGATGTGATGACGAGGTCCCAGTGCTCTGAGCAGTCCACCGAGGCCCGCACCCTCCAGCACAGAACACGGCCGGGCCCAGAGTGCCACGCTCGCTCAGCCTCTTGCGGATCTTCCCGGCCTCGGGAGACTCGTCTCTCCCCGCCGGCCTCTTCTGGACTGCACACCTCCACCATAGCTTGCTGGGCTGATCTAGATGTCTGTCTGTTGTATGGAAATTTTGGGGGAAAAAAAAAATCCAAAACACAAACTGTGGGTTGAAATATTAACCGTCTCCTTGGTTCCTTGGTGTTCACCGTGCCTGATCTGCACATTTCATCGTGGCTGTTTCTGTAGAGCCTATAACTGCATTAGCCCGAGAGATTGTTGCTTTGTAACTTTTTGCACTATTGTTTTGGCTGAATTTGTATTACACACAGTTTTAAAAAAAAAATTCCACACTATTCTCTGCCTTTTTTTTTTATTTTTTTCATGTTTGTTCCTTCCCTCACCAATCCACACAGAGGCCCGTCATCCAGCTCTTCGTGACTTGACTGCACTTGAACACCGATTGCCCATTTCCAACCCCCCAGTGTGCCTCGCACATGGCATGACACGTGTAGATGTGCCACAGCACTTGTTATTGGTCACAATAAATACCACTTCGCCAAGGAAATCTCAGATGAACAATTAATGAACATCCAAAATTTATCTGGGGGGGCAGTAATCGACTGAATTGCAAATTTTGGGGGAAAATGGCACTATCCGTGTACGAATCGAATACAAATCAAAGATTTGTCACATCCCTAATAAAAACAAGATGGAGATGTCTCTGCAACCATATTTGTAAGCTACACAATGTGTTGGGTTTTATGTCTTCCCCCTCCAAATTGAATGGTTCTTTGAATTGCTCCAAATCAATCCTCTATTTCTACAGTTTTGGTAGAATTTATTTTTCGGTTTGAACTTGGGCTCTGTTGACTGCAAATAGCTTTAGCGCAGGAGAACTGAATTAAATGTCTTAATAGAGCGGCTGTAAATTCAATCCCTAGCTGCCAGGAGGGCAGAAGCTTATGAAGTTCTGACCCATGACGTCAGTGTTACAAAGAGAGCTGTGCTTTTTCTTCCCACACCAAACATGAGTTTGAGGAAAGAAAATATTCTCCCACCAGGAAAAAAAAAAACAAAAAACAAAATTTAAGCACTATTATGGGATTAATTTCAGTGTGTTGTATTAAGGTGCCAGCGAGATTTCAGATTCCTGTAAACCTCTAAAGAAAAGGAGTCGCGCCTCAACTGATGTAGAAATGACTAGCTCAGCATACAGAGACACATCTGACTCCGATTCTAGAGGACTGTGTGATCTGCAGGTGAGTACGTCCATGGGTCTGGGGACTACATTTCTTTCATTTATTGACTTCGCCAAGCCAGAGTAACATGCTTGTAGATGGTGGATTATTTTGGGAAGGGAGATTTCTAAGATACCCACAGGAAAGAAAAATCAAGCTTATTTGCTAACATATGAGCATCTTAATTTTGTTAAATCTCTTACATAGCTGAAATATGGTTCGTTTGTTTCTTTAGTTCAACGACAGTTGTCCCCTAAACAGTGTACATAGCAGTATCCATAGATCTTTAGAAAGAAAGGAAGAACAGAAAGTGTTTGTGTCAGGATCTGTTTAAGTAAGTCTGCCTAGGCTTTTCATTGCTTTTGACTCTATGGGAATGCTGGTGTGTTTTTCTGAAGATTGTGCTGTGTCTTCCCTGTAGGTGGGCTTTGGGAAGCAAGTAGACAGCCCTTCAGCCACTGCAGACGCAGAGGTGTCTGATGTGCAGTCCGTGGACTCCAGCTTGTCCAGAAGAGGCGTTAGCACGAGTAAGAAGGACAGTGTTTGTCAGGTAGGCGGGCAGCGGAGCCCAGGGCTCGAAACACTTGCTGTCCTGTTTTGCCCGTGATAGACCTGACCTCCTGTTGGAGAGGGCAATGCTGCCGCTAGGCTTCAAAATATAAAATCTCTTTGTGGCTCTTCCCTGTCTGAGTAGCAGAGTGTGATGTTCAAGTGCATGTGCCCTCATGGTGATATGCTTTTACAGATTTGAGGCAATTAGCAGATGACTCACTACAAAAACACCGGAAGTTTACTTTGTATGAACTTTTAAAATGTATTTCTACCCTTTTTAAAAAGAACTTCCGGGCTGGATGTGGTAGCCTAGTGGCTAAAGTCCTCACCTTACATGTGCCAGGATCCCATATGGGTGATGGTTCATATCCCAACTGTTTCAATTGCCATCCAGTTCCCTGCTCCAGGCCTAGGAAAGCAGTCAAGGGCGACTCAAGGCCTTGGGAATCCTGCACCCACGTGGGAGACCTCAAAGAAGCTCTGGGCTCCTAGCCTCAGATCAGCTCAGCTCTGGCGTTTTGGCCCACTTAGGGAGTTAACCATTGGACAGAAGATCTTTCTTTTTGTGTCTCCTTCTCTCTGTCAAGCTGACTTTCCAATGAAAATCAATCTTAAAAAAAAAAAAAATACTGCTTTGCCATGAGAAGAGAAGTTAAAACATGCAGATTCCAAAGAAGGAATTAGAAAAGGTCAAGTATGAGGCCTTGGGTTTGGATAGCAGGTTGAGTGTGGAAATGGGTAGGCATTTCAGCAGTTCTCAGGCAGAGCGTCCAGCGCTGGCACTATCAGCATGGTCAGGATGCTTGGTAAGAACGCAGACTCAGGCCCCACACAAAGTCATTGCCTTGCACTTGCTGGGATCCCATATGGGCACCAGTTCTAATCCCAGCTGCTCCACTTCCCATCCAGCTCCCTGCTTGTGGACTGGAAAGGCAGTTAAGGACGGCCCAAAGCCTTGTGACCCTGCACCCACGTGGGAGACCCAGAAGAGGCTCCTGAGTCCTGCCTTTGGATCAACACAGCTCTGGCTGTTGCAGCTGCATGGGGGAGTGAATCAACAGGCAAAAGATGTGCCTCTCTGTCTCTCCTCTCCGTATATTTGACTTTGCAATACAAATAAATGAATTTTGTTAAAGAAAAAAAAGCAGAATGCAGACTCTTGGGCCACCCCCATGCCTACCAAGTCAAACTTCCGGTGACTGGTACCTTCTGCCACTTGAGAACCACTGCTTTTTGCCTTGTTTCAGATCTGTGAAAGCTCTGGTGACTCTCTGATTCCTTGTGAGGGAGAGTGCTGCAAACACTTCCACCCAGAGTGCCTGGGGCTGACCTCACTGCCGGATGGGAAGTTCATCTGTGTGGAATGTCAGACCGGTAAGTTGGCTCATGGGGACAGGTGTGCAGGCAGGGCAGCACCTCCAGGGCATCTAGAGTGCCTGGGGCTGACCTCACTGCCACTGTGTGGAATGTCAGACCGGTAAGCTGGCTCATGGGGACAGGTGTGCAGGCAGGGCAGTACCGCCAGGGCATCTAGTTATCTCATCGTTTCTGTCTGGCTTTCCTCGTGCTTGCCACACACATTATGACACGCATGGTGCATGGCCTTGGCTAGGCTTCCGTAGGTCCAGACAGTACCCGGAGTTCCTCCTACAGCTGCCTTTCCCGTGAAATGTATCAGACTGTCAAGAATTTGTGTTTTATTGAACAAGTTATATGAAGGATGTTTATCTGTTAATGTGTTTATTTGTTAGATGGGTTTGAGATGTTTTGGCAACCAATAAATTAATATAAAATCTTGTTACTTTAATAATCCAGGATAAGTGTCAACCAAGGCTATAACCAGAGTCAGTTTATTTTAGTGGAAAGGAAGAACTACTGAAGGTTTCGTTTGAAACGTGTAAATTCATTTATTTCTTATCCTGCCCTATATACGCTACCACCTAGCAACATAATCCCTGCAGAAATTTTTAAACTAGGTTAATATTCTACATGGAGATAAGATTCTGGTTAAAATCAAGGCAATCAGGAAATGCTTATTTAATCTGTAACAATATAGAAAGTGAAAATTGATTGGCATGGGTTTTAAAAACTGCTTATTTTAGTTTGAACAGGAAGTAGAGAGAGAAAAACCTTCCATCTGGTAATTTGTTCTCCAGGTGTCCACGGTTGCTGCTACAGCTCACTGGTTTTTGTTTTGTTTTGTTTTTTTGTCAGGATGCTTTTTGTTTATTTTGCTTTCATAATATATTTTCATTTTGGAACTTGGAAGAGGTGTGCTCTTGGTTTCCTACATTCTTTACTATTGACTGTCTAAAGCATTGACACTGCAGTCACTTATATAACCCACCTGACCCCTTTTAGTGCTGAAGTATGCAGCCCCTAATTTAAATTATTGATGGGAAGGACCATGGATTTCTGGTTGGCTTTTTTTAAATAAGATTTATTTATTATTGTTTTAAAGATTTATTTATTTTATTACAAAGGCTGATTTACAGAGAGAAAGACAGAAAGATTTTCTGTCTGCTGGTTCATTCCCCACGTGACCGTATTGGCCAGAGCTGAGTTGATCAGGAGCCAGGAGCTTCTCCTGGGTCTCCCACACAGGTGCAGGATCCCATGGCTTTGGGCCATCCTCTTCTGCTTTCCCAGGGCGCAGGCAGAGATCTGGATGGGAAGTGGAGCAGGTGGGACACAAGCTGGTGCTCATACAGGATCCTGGGCATGCAAGACGAGAATTTAGCTGCTGAGCCCCTGTGTATCAGTGTTAAAACACTGATGAGTAGGCATTTAGCCTGCTGGTAAATGCCCTTCAGGGTGCATGCATTCCACCTCAGGGCAGCTGTGTCCAAATCCTAGCTCTACTGCTGAATCCAGTGTCCTGTTAACATACGCCTGAGGCGGATGGGGGCTGTGCACTGGCATCCCTCCCACCATGGGGGAGACCTGAACTGGGATCATCATTCTTGGCGTCAACCTTTCCTGGACTGGTCTGGCCTGGCCTCAGCTCCTCTGGGCACTTGGAGAGCAAATCAGTGGGTGGATCCAGCTGGCTGTTTCTCTCTTTGCCTTTCACATGAAATAAAATCAAATAGAAAATTTAAAAATATGCTGTGGACTTCCCTTCTGACTGCATTTCTGTCAGTTGAGATCAAAGAATTGTTAGAGAAGATTTTGCTTTCTGATTTCTGAGTTTGCTGCTAAGGCACATTTATTAAGCCAGTGTGCTACAGGAATACATACAGACAAGCACCCCAATGGAGGAGAACTGAAAGCCCAGAAATAATTAACTCACGTCTGTGGCCAAATGGTTTTCATCAAGGGTGTAATGACCAATCCGCAGGAGGAAGGATAGTATTTTCAACATGTATGCTGGAAAAAAATGAATGTTTACATGCAAAAGAACACAAGGAACCGTTAACAATAAAGAATTAAATGAGTAAGGGACTGAAATATGAGCTAAAACAATCAAGGTCTTAGGAGGAGATGTAGAGGAAACATCATGACATCAGCTTTGACATCAGAGGCACAGACAGCGAAAGGAATAATGCAGAAGTGAGGTGATGAGAGAAAATATTTGCAAATCGTGTCTGATAGGGGGTTAATGCCCAGGAAATATAGAAAATTCTTTGAATTCTACAACAAAGAGCCAAGGTCAAAATTACATAAAGAAGTTGAACAGACATTTCTACAGAGAGGAGCTACAGATGACCAGTAGATATGTGAGAGCATGCTCATCGTAGTAATGAGAGACACACAAATCAACACCTCAGCAGTCTCCCCTTCCCACTTACCAGGATAACATGTGCTTACTGTGTACAGTATATAGGATATAAAAGCACATGAGGGCAAGGATCAGAAGAAATTGGAACCTTGCACGTTGTCGGTGGGAATCTAAAAATGGCACAGCAGCTGTTGTAAACAACGTGACGTTTTCTCAAAAAAAGTAAATGGAATCACCGTGTGATCCAGCAGTTTCCCTCTGGGTCCGTAAACCAAAAGGAACTGAAAGCAAGGATTCTAACAGGTACTTGAACACACGTGTTGGTAGCAGCATGATGTCCAATACTGAAAAGGTAGAAACAATCCAGATAGCTGCCAGAAGATGAAGGAATAAACCAACTGTGCTATGCGCATGCGAAGAAATGTTATGCAGCTTTGCGTGAAATTCCAGGATAGGTTATGAAGCATGGTGAAGCTTGAAAACTGTGCATTGAGAGGAAGAAGTCACAAAAGGACAAGTGATGTGTGCGTCCATTCAAAGGAAACACTTAGAGTGACCACATTCTTAGAAAGTACAGCAGTTACCAGAGAAACAGAAGAAATGGGGAGTTGTTTAATATGCAGTCGATAATAAGTTTAGAAGACAATAGTAATGATTGCCCAACAACCCGAGGATATGAAATGTTCCTGAGCTATACACTTACAAATTGCCACACTGTTAAACTTCTTCATGTTTTGTATTTTTACCACAACTATAAAATAAATTAAGTGCTTTTGATTTGATTATTCTGAAGTATTTGGAATAAGAACTTTTTCCAATCATGATTTGATCTTATTTATGCACTTCTCTTTTTTATCAAAAGAAAAACACTTTAGATGAAAAACAGTATTACAGAACATATGCCTAATAAGTTGTTACACTACCACTTTATGTTATTCAAGACATAAGTAATTTCTGGAAGGAAAGCATTTTCATTCACCCTTTTGATTAAAATGTGCAACAAGTTCCATGACAATCAGTTTTGCTTACTACTTACTATTTTTATTTCAAGAAGTGTTTTATTTATTTGAAAAGCCAAGTAAATAAAGAAAGCTTCCACCTGCTTTCATGTCATTCACTCCCAAATCTGGAACTGTGTTCCCTTGTGGGGAGGAGGACCCCAACTACTTAGACTGTCTTCTAGCTCTTCCTACATGCATCAGCAGGGAGATAAATTAGAAGCAGAATAGCTGGGACTTGAACCAGTATAGGATGCTGGCACTGAAGCTGGTGCCTTAACTCACTACACCATCACCTTGAACCCTGAATTACTCTTCTTTTTTTTTTAAGACTTATTTATTTTTTATTGGAAAGTCAGATTTATACAGAGAGAGAGACAGAAAGATGTTCTATCTGCTGATTCACTCCACAAGTGGCCACAGTGGACCTAAGCCAATCCAAAGCCAGGAGCCAGGAGCTTTTTCAGGATTTCCCATGTGGGTGCTGGGTCCCAAGGCTTTAGGCCATCCTGTATTGCTCCTGGCTTCAGCTCAGCTCTGCTCTGGCCATTGTGGCCAGTTGGAGAATGAACCAATGACTGGAACATCTTCCTCTCTGAATCTCCTTCTCACTGTAAATCTGCCTTTCCAATAAAAACAAATCTTTAAAAAAACGTTACCATCATATTTGTGTGCTTAAATGTAATTTGAAATTAATATATACAACAGGATAATAGTAACCCTACTATGCTTTTTTTCTACAGTAAAGGTAGTGAGAAAAGTGTTGTAAAGTGTTCATTCTAAAGAAATTATAGAACAGCCAATTTATAAAAGTTAAATACTTTAGGCCCTGGCATGGTAGCCTAGTGGCTAAAGTCCTTCACCTTGAATGCACTAGGATCCCATATGGGCACTGGTTCATCTCCCAGCTGCTCCAGTTTCCTTCCAGCTCCCTGCTTGTGGCCTGGGAAAGCAGAGGAGCACGGCCCAAAACATTAGGACCTTGCACCTGTATAGGAGACCCAGAAGAGGCTTCAGCCTCCTGGCTTCAGATGGGCTCAGCTCCAGATTTTGTGGCCACTGGGGCGGGGCGGGGAGTGAACCAGTGAATGGAAGATATTCCTCTTACTCTCTTCCTCTCTGTATATCTGAACCAATAAAAAATAATAATAATAATAAGCCTTTTGTAAAATAAATGGGCAAAAGGCTATCCAAAGATGACATCAAATATCCAAATGGCCAGTAAACATTTGACGAATTTCTTTCAGTTTATGGTTAACAACTGGACTTTTTGTTTCTGTGTATTTAATGGCTAGTGCGTCTTGTCTGTATTTTACAGAATTATGTGTTCTTATAATTGTTCAGTATTTTAAAATCACTTCTAATGTAAGTAACACATAAAACACATTGTTATAAACACAAGTGTAGTTCAAGCCGATGGGCATCACTCTTAACTGCAGGCCTCCTTTGGTTCCAGGCCTCAGAGTGCAGTCATCGGTATGAGTTTGGTGTATAACCCTATAAGCCTTTTTGTGTGTGTCCGTATAACATGTTTTGTATGTGTTATAATAAAATATTTTGAACTGTTCTCTGCAGGAGCTCATTTTTTGTGAAATACAGATCCGTTGGGGTTAGTCAATTTAATTTTGTGCTGTTGAATGGCTTGCAGCTGTTTGCCACTAAACACAGCGCTGTTATCAGCTCCCTTTGACATGGGTGGGTCTTCCCTCACGGGCAAATCACTAGTGGAAATTCCAAGCCATAGGAAAGAAACTTTTTAAGTTTTAAGATGTATTGCTTGGTCCTTTCAGTTCAACACAGCAGAATATACTGTATCTGTTTCCTTATGCCTTGTCCACATTTTGTGTTACTCAGCTGTGTTTTTTGCTGTCACATGCCTTGTTTGATTGGTGTTTATCTGATTACTAGTGAAGAGCGTCTTTTCATATTTTTTGTTTAATCTTTCTGCTGCCTGTAAATTACATGTTCAGAAACCTGATTTTTCCATTCATTACTTTTATAAACACGTGTGTCTTTTCACTGCATGTGAACTGTTTGTTTTATAGTCCTTGGTTATTTTTGTTGCGTGTTTTGCTACATTCGTCTTTACTTGCTACTCTTTTCTATTTCTATCATAATTGGCATTGTTTTTTCTCCTTTAAATATTTGACAGATTTGTCTGTGGAACCATCTGGGCCTACAATGTTCTTTGTTGGAAGGTTTTTAAATTATGATCTCAATTTCTGTTAATAGTTTGTAGAACTATTCTTATTCTGGGCTTCCTTTTGTATTCCTGTCAGTGGGCTCTGTTTTTCTAGGAATCTATCTATTCATCTCACTTTTCAAATATTCGGAATATTTGGTAGTATACTTTAACCTTTTTTTTTTTCCAAGATTTTATTTATTTTTTATTGGAAAGTCAGATATACAGAGAGGAGGAGACAGAGGAAGATCTTCCGTCTGCTGATTCACTCCCCAAGAGACCGCAACAGCCAGTGCTGCTGTGCCAATCCAAAGCCAGGAGCCAGGAGCTTCTCCTGGGTCTCCCACGCAGGTGCGAGGTCCCAAGGCCTTGGGCTGTCCACCTCTTTCCCAGGCCACAAGCAGGGAACTGGATGGGAAGTGGAGCTGCCTGGATTAGAACCGGCACCGCTGAGGCCTCCCAGCGCATGCAAGGTGAAGGACTTTAGCCGCTAAGCTACCATAATGGGATTTTTAAAGATTTATTTATTTATTTTAAAGACAAAAGTGTGAACTACCTCTTTCATTCGCTGGTTCACTCCCTCGATGACCAGTACTGGGCCAACATGATGCCAGAAGCTCCATCTAGTTCTCTGACGTGGGTGCAGCAGGAAGCCCAGGCATTGGAGCCAGCGTGCACTGCTTTCCCAGGCACGTGAACAAGGGGCTATATCAGAAGTGGAGCAGAAGCCATGATTCACATCAGTCTCATGTGGGATGCTCGCACTGCAGGGGCAGCCTCACCTGCTGTTCCACAGCCCCTGTCCCAAGTGTTAACTTTTTCACTTCGTTTTAGAAGCACGTTTTCACGCAGTATAAAAATCTGACTTGGTAATTATTTTCCTTCAGCTGTTTGTAGATAAGTTCCATTGTTCTTTCAGTTTCTGTCTTTCAGTAGACCTCTCAAAGTAATTATCTTTCCTTTGGGAAATTTCGAAGATTTTGTTTGTCCTTGATTTTTTACAGGTCAAATATAGAGACCCAGTCATACTTTTCTACCTTGTGCACTACAATTATGAGTTTTTGTTTAGTGTTTTTTTTTCATCCCGAAATCCTCAGTGATTCTATCTAGCAGAATCTTTCTTTTGTAATTGCTTTTATTTATTCTTATGCGGAAGAACTCACCTCTCTCTGTTCTCAAGAGTTACAAATTTACTATTCTGAGTTTTCTGTGGAAGTGACTTTGAAAATTCAGATTGTCGGGCCCGGCACGGTGGCGCAAGTGGTTAAGGTCCTCGTCTTGCACGCCCGGGATCCCATATGGGCTCAGGTTCTATCCCGGCAGCCCCGCTTCCCTTCCAGCTCCCTGCCTGTGGCCCGGGAAAGCAGTCGAGGACAGCCCAAAGCTTTGGGACCCTGCACCCGCGTGGGAGACCCAGAAGAGGTTCCTGGCTTAGGATCAGCATAGCATCGGCCGTTGCGCTCACTTGAGGAGTGAATCATCGGATGGAAGATCTTCCTCTCTGTCTCTCCTCTCTGTATATCCGCCTTTCCAGTAAAAAAATAATAAAAATAAATCTTTTAAAAAAAAAAAAGAAAATTCAGATTGTCTTAGTGTTGTATCTCCCACTGACAATGATTCCAGCAAGATTAAACCCTTGAAGGTAGCTGTCTGCGTGAACTGCCGTTACTCTGTGTGAAGTCCTTAGGGGTCCTAGGGAGGCCCCTGCAGAAGCAGCTCTCTGATGGTTTGCCTCCATCAGCTTTGACTCTCTTCCTCACCCACATTCCAGGACAGCACCCGTGTTTCTCCTGCAAGGTGTCCGGAAAGGATGTGAAGCGCTGTTCTGTGGGTGCCTGTGGAAAATTCTACCATGAAGCCTGTGTCCGCAAATTCCCCACTGCCATCTTTGAGTCCAAAGGATTCCGCTGTCCCCAGCACTGCTGCTCTGCCTGCTGCGTGGAGAAAGATATCCACAAAGCGAGTAAAGGTAAAATGGGGCTAGTGGAAGATGCTCCACCTTGAGCGGTGGTGGTGTGGGTCTCAGGGCAGTAGCAATGCATGCAGTACATACATCTTTATGAACAATCTCAAGCATCCTCACCCCCTGTTTATCTGTAGGTTTACTCTTCAGCCACAATGCATAGCATGTTAAGTAAAGACCTTCGTAGAGGCCAGTGATTAAGCCTTTACTTGGAATGGCAGCATCGCATACTGGAGTTCCAGTTTAAGTTCCTGCTACTTCTCTTCCGTTCTAGCTCCCTGCTCATGTGCCTGGAAAGGAGCATATGATGGCCCAAGTTGCTGCCGCCCATACAGGAGACCCAGCTGGAGTTCCTGGCTCCTGGCTTTAGCCCGACCCAGAGCTGGCTAGTATAGCCATTTGGTGGTGGAGCTCTCTTTCATATGCTATTTCTTCCCCTCTCTGTTACCTGCCTTTAATTGAGGAAGGACGGAAGAGTGGGAGGGAATCTTTTATTTTATTTTTTTTTTTTTTAAAGATTTATTTTTATTATTTTTTCATTGGAAAGGCGGATATACAGAGAGGAGAGACCGAGAGGAAGATCTTCCGTCCGATGATTCACTCCCCAAGTGAGCGCAACGGGCCGATACTATGCCGATCCGAAGCCAGGAGCCTCTTCCAGGTCTCCCACGCGGGTGCAGGGTCCCAAAGCCTTGGGCTGTCCTCGACTGCCTTCCCAGGCCACAGGCAGGGAGCTGGAAGGGAAGCGGGGCTGCCGGGATCAGAACCGGTGCCCATATGGGATCCCGGGCGTGCAAGGCGAGGACCTTTAACCACTTGCGCCACCGCGCCGGGCCCGAGGGAATCTTTTAAAGAAAAGTCCCTTGGGCAAGTGGCACATAAGACATCACCATCTCAGTAGCACTGGAGCGGAAAACTTTATTTTTGTGATGTCTAAATTACACAAACGAAATGATTAAGCCTGCATTTGTTTGAAAAAATTTGTTTTCATTTAAAAGACGAACTTCACAGAGAGTTCCTCCATCTCCTGGCTTACTGCCTCAGTTGCTACAACAGCCAGACCTGAGCAGATCTGAAACCAGGAGCTTCTGGGTGGCTTTGGGCCATCTTCCACCGCTTTCCCAGGCCACAAGCAGGGAGCTGGATGGGAAGTGGAGCAGCTGGGACATGAACCTGTGCCTACATGGGATGCTGTTGCCACAGGTAGAAGACTAGCCTGCACCTCAGTTTAAGGACCACATAGATTTGGGGTGACAAAGGTAGACTGGTGAAGAAGAAAATGTTTTTCTTTTAGGAGTGGCATTGGATGGCAACCCGAAACAGTCCAGCTACACAAGTCTCATTTCATCTTCAGCTGATGCCTTGTCATATAGAATTCCCTTTTGATTTGTCTCTGAACAGGCCGCATGATGAAGTGTCTGCGGTGTCCCGTTGCCTACCACTCTGGAGATGCTTGTGTTGCGGCCGGAAGCATGTTTGTGTCCTCCTACATTCTCATCTGTAGTAATCATTCCAAACGGAGCAGCAGTTCTTCCTCTGCTGTAAATGTAGGCTTTTGTTTCGTTTGTGCCAGAGGTGAGTTCATGGACGTATTTCCAGGCTAACATAGAGTCTCGCCGTTGGACATCCCAGGCCGTCCAGGGCTGCACTGACCTGTTGGTCTGAGAGCAATGAGCGTGCCCAGTTCCCAGTCCTTCGGTGTCCTTAAAAACTCATGTTACTGGTGTAGGAGTCCTTCTGCAAGTCAAGTCTGCAGGTTCATAAGGAGTAGTCAGTTCCTGTCTGCTCTGCAAACGGGTCTTTTATTCAGTGTAGATCCTTCCCATGTCCTGGGCTGTAACCCAGACCTTTCAGCCCGTCGCGATTTCCCTCGGAAGGCAAGGCTGGTACGTCTACTTCTCAGGGGTTTGTGGTGTAGTTCATCAGAATACTATGGTGTGGAATGAGGAAGGCCTCGTGGGACACAGCAAGCCAGCAGGTCAGGCTTTCTTACATGCCAGCTATTGATCCTCAGGTAAACGAGCAACTGATCAGCTATGTTAAATAGAACTCTTTCTTAAGCCAACTGATCCTCCCAACACTGCTTTTTTTTTTTTAAGATTTATTTATTTATTTTATTACAAAGTCAGATATACAGAGAGGAGAGACAGAGAGGAAGCTGTTCCATCCGATGACCACAACAGCCCGTGCTCTGCCGATCCAAAGCCAGGAGCCCGGAACTTCTTCCGGGTCTCCCACGCAGGTGCAGGGTCCCAAGGCTTTGGGCCATCCTCGACTGCTTTCCCAGGCCACAAGCAGGGAGCTGGATGGGAAGTGGGGCTGCTGGGATTAGAACCGGCTCCCATATGGGATCCCGGCGATCAAGGCGAGGACTTTAGCCGCTAGGCCATGGCGCCGGGCCCCCAACACTGCTTTTAAGAAAAGTTTTCTATTTGACAAGTTTCAAAGGCATATCAGGCCTATGGGATTATATTTAGACTATACTGAGGATGAAGGTACATTTTTTTTTTTCAGTTGCTTTTTGCTTTCCCACCCCCTTCCTTGGGAAAGTTACTTTAATTTGGTGAAAGTTCCATAAAAATACATTTAAAATAGTCCTGGGGGTGTGATAAATTTTTATTTTGCTTTTGCATCTCTCATTATAAAAAATACCTTGGAAGCAGTGGGCAGTGAGCAACTAACTGGGTGTTAATCCTCTTGGGACCAGCAAGGTCCAGCAGAGCAGCCCGAGCTCTGCAGGCATCGGGGCTGGCTGCCCTCCTCTGGGGACAGTGGTAACTCTCCTGCCCTGATAGTCACTGGAGGAGGTTGGAAACGTCTCATGGCAAATAATGAACAACCAGAAAGGGGTCAGTACACCACTCTCCTTTCCGCTTCCGTAAGAGTCACGGGTTATGACAGCATGAAGTCTCTCAGTGCTTGGTACACTCCTTCCATTCTGCCGTCTCTCGTCTCTTCTGCTGCCAGGATGTAAGTGTGCAGAGCTCAGCCAACAGTGTACATAGCAAGTTTATACAACTATTCGTGTTGGCATACTTGGATGCCAACTTTAGCAACTTAAAACCAACTAGTACCAGTCGATTAACCAGTATGTTCTTTTGGTCTGTTTCATGCAATAATTGGGACGACATTGAAACATGTTTTTAGCGTAAGACAGGTAGAGAATGGGCTACCCGTAGAAACTCTAGCCACTCTGTTAGTTGTAATATATAAGTCTTGATGGAAGACTTAATGGTAATGTAAAGTGACAAGGGAGTCCTACTTTAACAGAATGTGCATTTACCCCTTGTCAATTCGACAGTTATTCTGAATGTTTGTAATCATATGCCAATGCCTAGTTAGACATTATTTAATTCTTATATATGTAGATTAAAATTACCTTGTTTTAAAAAGGCTTAACTGCAAAATTAAAAACCTGTACACAAAAAGGAGTCACTAATCATTTATGCTTTGTTTATTGGAAAGTTTAGCTTATTTTGCTTGTCTCTTGCCTTGTAACAGTATTTTTCATGCTACACAGGATTTTTCTTTAATTCCTTGGTTAGTGGCTATTTAATCCTCGCGCAAGTTTGTGAGTCTTTATAGATGGAGGACTGCGGAAATCATGTTAGATATGCTTTGAGACCAAGCGAATGTTAGCTGTCCCTCCTGCCTGCTTGTGAGAGGTGTATTTCAGAGCCTTCTCTCCCAGCTGGGGCAGGGATCTGGAACTGTTTTTGACCAAGGGCCATTTAGATATTTATCATATCCTTCATGGGCTATACTAAATTGTCAACTTAAAACTTGGCCTTCTGTTAATGTATTGAATTTTGAGTTCTGCATTTTGAGTTGGGAAAGACCAAGTGATTTGTAGATTTTACACAGTCTGTGAACGAGGCATTCCCCACCCTGATTCAGTAAGTTACTTAACATGCTGTGCCTTTCTTTGTAATGGGACTTAACGTGGAGAACGTAGGTTAGGATTTTATTTTCTTTTCAACATACCAACAGCAGCTTACTTTGTGTATTGGATTCCTCCAACTCTGCATGACAATGTATTTGAATAAATTTTACAGTGGCTTTAAGAAATTATTTCCCTTCTTTCTATGGCTAAGAATGCTAAATCAAGATTAAATAATTCACCTTAAGGTCACAGAAATTAACTGGAGGAGATAGCCTTTTTGCCTGGTCTTTGTTATTTCAGAGCTAATGTTTTTCAACTATGCCATGTCACTCTATTAAATGTATGCAAGTCATTTTGAGGCGCAGGCATTCCGTATTGAAGTCCCTGGGTTTGATTCCCAACTCTGGCACCTGACGCCAGCTTCCCGTCAGTGCCAACCAGGGGAGATGGCAGTGATGGCCCACGTTGTTGAGTTCCTGCTGCCAACGCGGAGACCTGGAGTGTGTTCCACAACTCTGGGAGTATGTGTGGCCTCTCAGCCTCATAAATAAACTTTAAAAAAAAAGAAAAAAAGTGTTTTTAAAGAAATCTGGTTTGACATTACACAGTTGCATGAGAATGGTCTTAGCACCAATTTCAAGTTTTCTTCTATCATCTGGACAAAGAATATTTCTCAATCCCGTATCTGTGCAGGTTAGCATTCGTATAGCCAGTAATGAGAAAAGTAGATGGTTAACCCTTTTAAAAACAAAGCTCTTCCCCCATCCCCTGCAGAATGTTCTCTAAATGAAACTACTACTATCATGAATTCCAGTGTGAATCCTGGATTATTAAAAACTGAACAGTTACCAAGAGAGGTTTTCCTAGCACCCAGCTCTCTGTAGTATGGCCTTCTCTGGCAGAAGCAGGAGGAGAGAACGGAGGGCACAGGTGAGCCTGGTACATCCTATCCTTGCCTCCAGTTAGAGGAGGTGTGTTTGGGAAACCCAAGCTGTTAGTCGTTTTAGACCATGGCAGGAAAAGTTAAAGTGGTTTGCGTCGCTTCAGAAAATTGCAATTCCCCTAAGTCACGAACCATAATAAGAGAAAAGTTTCATCTTCTGGCACAGAAAGCTAGAATTTATCGAAATGTTTCTCAGGATATGAATGGGGAAGAAGACTCACTTCTACCTCTGTGTGCTACTTGATTTATTGAAGGTGGATCAGGGCCCAGCGCCTACTATGCTTTGTAAATGATTCTTATCCATAGCTAGTAAGTGTTGTCATTGTGTCCCTTGGGTCGTCATCTTAGGCCTTGTAAGTGGGAAGGAATGCAGCTTTGTTTTCCTTAGACGTCTTCATTGGGACTCCACATTCGGAGTTTCTCCTGTGCAGTGTGCAGGTTTCCACGTGGAGATAAGGCACTGAGTAGCTCAGACTCCTCAGGCCCTGTTGAGCATTCCTGTCGGATCCTTCTCTTTCTTCAGACTCTCTCTTGTCCCCCGCCCCCCCGTCCCCCGTCCCTGGCTGTAAAGCACAGCTGCATAGTAGGTGTTGGGTTACTTTTCCTCATGGAATCATGGGTAGTTTCATTGCAGCTCATCTCTTTCTGTTTGTTTCGTATAGGGCTGATAGTTCAGGACCATTCAGACCCCATGTTCAGTTCATATGCCTATAAGTCCCACTACCTTCTGAATGAATCAAACCGTGCTGAGTTGATGAAATTACCTATGATTCCTTCTTCGTCAGCTTCCAAAAAGAAATGTGAGAAAGGTAATAATCACAATAGTTTAAGTTTTATTTTTGCATTTCCTTTTTTTTTTTTTTTCCTCAAAATGAAGGGGGGAAGTGCCTGCCTGTCAAGCACCATCTGTTGCTCTTGGTAAACTCTGCCTTGTTGGTTGTGACTGTGTCTTCATCTGGCTGCGAAATCGTTAAGAAGGGCTTAAAATAATTCCATTACTACAAATTTATACTTAAATCTTGAATGAATTTTCACTCATTTTTTCTATGTAGGTTATCAAAATAGAAAGAATAGGGTGCTGTTGACTCTAGCAGAATATTTCTCTATCTTTTGCCTGATCTGGGACTATCACTTGTGTTAAAACAGGGTAGAGAGAGTCTGAGCTGTCACTCTGTGTAACAACATAGAAGGAAATAAAAGCATCGATTCTAAAAAGTTTGATTTTAGATTAATTCTATCATTTTGTTAAGATGCCGTAAAAGCACCTTGCCCCTGTCTTGGGAGACGCTGGTTGAAAGCTAGGGTGGGGAGAGGCTCCCCAAGTACCAGATGTTGGAAGACAGTAACTTATCCTCAGAGAACCAAAGCTGATTATTTATAGTCTCCCTGTTAATTTCATCTGTGAAAAAAATTATCTTACATTTACTTTCCTCTGCTTTTTACGTTTACCTTTGCTCTGTTGAATCATGGTAAATGATTTTACAACCTTATTTGGAGGGAGGGGCTATTATCCCAGAGGGGATGGTCAGTGCCCGTGGGAAGGTGAGGCCTGGCCTGTGTACATCCCCGTTCTGATCAGCGAGGGCCAGGTGCAGGATCTTTAAAGGACCATTCACTCACAGCTGACATAGACATATATGGCTAGATATACCAGGTGCATCTTTTTTCCTTCTTTGTGTTGCCTCTTTGATGTATTTGCTGTTTGTCACACATCTGAAGTGGCAGCTCCGGTTGGAAGAAAGTATAAGTCCGCTAGTTGATTGAAAACCTTGGCTTTTGAGTACGTACACCTGTTTTCCATTGGAATGTGAGAATGTCACCTTATTGGTGTTACTGCTTGCTTCCAAAACAAAGATGAACCTCAGTCCAGTTGAGCCGATAGATTTACTTAGTTTACCTGAAGCATTTTAGGAGATATTTTTCTGCTGGCACCTTTATAAAATTAGATTAATTATGGCTGACTTTGTTTGTGGTACTCATTATTAACCTTGACATGAACTGAAATTATTTTGAGCCCTCTGTTTGCTTTAGCTTGAACCATCTTTCTCTTGCATCCCAAAGCAGTTTTCTTGCATAGCACCAACATGAGTCATATTTTCTTTCTATTCCCCTGTGTATTTTCAACATCTTTATCATGATGATTTTCACTGATGATTCCGGCTCTGTATTTCCTCTGAAATTAAGACTTAAAATCAAGAAGTATTCTGTGATGCTGACTCTAAGGACGGTCCACCTGACCTCCGTGGCCGTGCTGGTCATCATGGGTTCTGTAGAGCTGTTTGCAGACAGCATACTGCATGCCAACTGCTCCTCTCATGGAAAACAAATCAACTTTGGACTTTGAGTCTACAGAACTTCCTCTCAACGTAGAGCACTCAGGCATTTAATGTCTACATTGAAAAGTTGACCCAGTGAATCCTTACTGAGATCTGCAGCCAAAGAACATTCTGATCATTGAAGTTAGCAGAGGAAATACAGCGATTTAACTCATCGCTGAATGTGTATGGATTTTCTTTTTGTTTTTACGTTAACCAGTTAGCAGTTTGGAAGTCTCCATAGGGGCATGATTTTCTAGATCGTTGATAGCAAGCCTGCAGAAGGTTGGAGCTGTAATAGGTAAAGTTGCATTCGGAGCTCTTAACCCTTTGCTTTGAGACCGTAATCTCAGCACACTCATGTGTTATAGACTGGATTTTCTGAAGGAAAGATGTTTGTTTTTTGCACTAAACGCCTTCACAATGTTTCATCTTGAGTGTTCAATGCTCTTGGAGAGTTGTGAAAGTGGGCATCAGGAATGTCCTAGCCCCCCACCCCACCAGATCTGTTGACTTCTTCGTATTTAAAAGTATTGTTTTGTCTGTCACACCTCTTGTGGTCTCAGTAAGAAGTCATTTTGTGCATTTAAAGAAGAAAGTTTGCTAGGCAACTTGGAGGAAGCTCCCCGGGAAGGGTGCCTGCCACCCCAGCCATCACTTGGCTTTGTGCTATAGAGCAGTGGTCTCAGTGCAAAGTCAGGACGGGCTGAGTAAGCCAAGCTTCGGGACGATTTCAGGAAGTCTAACAGAATCACACGTTTTGTGCAAAATAACACTGTGTGAGTTTCTTTATATTTGGCTCTGATTTCAACCATTTGTCATATGGCACTAGTTTTGGTATTGACCAGAATCTCTGATAATATCTTTGGCTTAATAAAAACAGAAATTGTTACTTTCTCAATGCAGATATTTTTAATTTTGGGGGATTGCTAAAATAGTGGAAGACGTGAATTCTTACACAAGGAGAACTTGACCCTTGATGATGGAGAAGTTACAAACCACTGCTGTATAGCTCGTTTGGTTTCCTTTATTTTCACTGAACAGGGAATGGTTATCTAATCACCGATTTGAGAATCTTCATTACTTTTTTTTTTCTTTCTTTTTTTGACGTTCTTTTATGGAAAGACAAAAACTACTGTTGAAGCTGCTGGCTCTTTTTGTTCTGGTTGATATTATCATGAAGGGATTTAGTTGACTATGGCACTGGATTGAAATACAAAGAACTGTTGCTTGCTTCGCTGGGACGGGCCCCTTGAACAGCCTTGCTCTCCGCCTGCTCAGCCTCAGGATTGTGTGCAGCTGATCTGTCGGATGCTGAGAGCTTTCTCTGCTCAGGCGCTGGCTCCAGAGCTCACTTTGGGGCGGAGTGGAGGCCAGTGAGGTCTTTGACACTCCCCAAGAGCTCTTGAGTTCTAGCCACTGAAGCCGTGAAAAATAATCAGAGCGCTCCTTCCCTTTCTATTTTAATCCATCGCTATAGGTAGGACTCCATCCCTTTGTCCTTTTCCCCCCAGTCTGAGTCAGAGCTATCATGCCTGTGAGACAGCATTCCTGACTTGCCGGTTCTCGGTGATTGAGGCCGTGTGTTTGTTTCAAGGTGGAAGATTGCTCTGCTGTGAGTCGTGTCCCGCCTCCTTCCACCCGGAGTGCCTGAGCATAGACATGCCCGAAGGCTGCTGGAACTGTAACGACTGCAAAGCCGGCAAGAAGCTGCACTACAAGCAGATTGTGTGGGTCAAGTTGGGAAACTACAGGCAAGTTTTCTCAGAAACACAGAGGAAGTATGCAGTCAGTGTTGAGGCTGAGTTCTGAACCTGGGTGCAGGGCGGCTGAGAGGTGGGCACACCTGCCTCCTTGAAAAGGGAAAAGAAAGGAAACGTGTTTGCGACTGGAGCTTTAGGGGATTGCGAAAGTGATGTCATGGTTGATTCTGTTCTTTGAAATCCATTGATGGTTGTTATTCTGCACCAATTAAACTATTTTAGATTTTGGAATGAAAGATCACGTGGACAGTGAAGGTAATGTTTTCTTTGTGGCTTTGTTAGATTTTTACTGATTTGTAATAAGGTTGAGTTTATATCTTGGCCAGAATAGCTTTCTTTATCCTGAATCTGGTCTGTTCAATTATAGCTAGAAGCATTAAACTATGTGTGAAGAGTGAGAAAGCTCAAAGATTATTGTATCAAGATGCCTTAATCACTTAAGGGAGTGAAGTAAGTAGAATATGTGATTCCCATTATTTTAATAAAACTCTCCTTTAAGGCTTTAACTTTTTATTGAAACAGTATATTGATATATTTATAAAATTACATTTTGAGGCAAGTATTTGTCATTTTTCTTTTTTCTTTTTGTGTTTCCTTAATATATCTGATATAAAAGGAGATTTTAAGGGAGAAGCCCAACCCAGTCTCCCACCCACCCCAGGTCCCACATGTGGGGCATGCTCCAAGGGTCTTGCTCAGGTGGTTTTGATAGTTCAACAGTTCGGAATTGCTGCCACTCTCTCCACTCCAAGCACGATGCGGTCGTTGGAGAATCCACTGATTGACATAGTCCATCATATAGTCTCCATTTGCCCAGTATTTTCATTGCTAAAATATAGCTGAGGTGGTTGATTGACTTGTTCTGTCCTCTGTCATTTGATGGTTAGCATTCTGAGTCTGAAAGCTCAATTGGGGGGGGATCCTCAAAGAAATTTTGTCTGAGGTGTTCCCTGACCAGATTCTTATAAGTACTAGCAAGAACAGGGCCTGGCACAGTCCATCGCCCCAATCAGCTGGTGGTTGCAGTTGCTGGATTGGTTCTGTTTCCAGCCCCGACATCCACTGGAACCAAGGGGTATTTGCAGTCCAGCCTGGTTCTGCCCAGTACTTACTCAGCCCTCGCATAAACCAGTAGGAGCTGCAGCCCAGCCGGAGTGACCCACAATAGCCCCGACCATGCCCGCCCCCTACCCTGGTTTGCCAGTATGTGTGGCAGACTATTCCAGTCTGTCCCACATCCCAATTGGCTCTCATCCATGTCAATGGGTATTAAAACCTTATTCCATCTAACCAGCTCTACTGTCCAGCCTTCACGGATATTGTTGGGTGCGTTTCTGTCTAGCCACCGCAGTCTCTGTCCTAGTTTTCATGTCCTCTTGTGGGGAGTAGTAACCCAAGAGAGAGGATCCCACTCTTTCCCTCCCAGGCCACTCCCACTCCCAGTTATGCACTCTCCAGGTAGTTCTGTGGTTTAACTTGACAGAACTAGCCCCCAGTGCCAGCTTCTGCCAGCTGATACTGTGGCTAAGCTCGAACCAACCCTCACCCACTCTAATTGTAGATAATTGTAGATTGCACCAGTAGGAACAGTAAGCCCAGCCTGGTTTTTCCCTGATCTAGGCCACATGAGGCGCACAGGTGTTGTAGCCCTGCCTAGTCTGGTCCACCCCCATCTCAACTCACACTCTCCAGTGAGAGTAGCTGTTCGGCAAGGGAACTACCTCTTATTCCCCTGCCGTTTCTGCCCCCTCCCTTGCTGGTTCTCACGTGTGCTGGTTGGGTGCTGTAATCACATCTGGCACAGGCAACCTCACCTTGGCATTCCATGTTGTGTACTGCTTTTGTCTCGACCAAACCTGGCTTGACCCACACTCTGTTCTGGCGTTTGGATTTGCCAGTGGATGACCTGAACTGATTCAGCCTGGTCTGCCCCCGACCCATGCAAAATGTATGCCAGTGGGACACTTTCCATGACCTCTTGGCTGTTTCCTTCCATGTTTCTTGAGCTTACCTGCAGGGTCTGTGTCCTGCCAGAGGAATTGCCTGGGCTCCTCCATCAGAACCCCTCCAAGTGCCAAATTTTGCGCATACTAATGGGTCCATGAGCCAGCCCTACTCACTTCACCTCCTATCCTAGCAGGAACACTGGCTTTTCCTAACTGGCTTTCAACCCATTCTGGTTCTTGCTGTTGGATGTTTCAGCCCAGCCATGGTTGGTCCATACCCACATATGGCTTACACATGGTTCAGTTGGGGTTGAGACCTAGCCTAGTCCATCGCACATCTGCCCTGGTTTTCCAGGACACCAGAAGGTTTTGCAATCTGGCCCAGCCTGGTACGTCTTCTCCCAGTCCACACTTGTGCCAAGGGAGGCTACAACTGCATCCTGATCAGAACGCGGCCCCATTCCAGCTTGTGCACCCCTTGGTGGGACCCTCCACCCAGCTAGGGTGTCCCCTTAGCCCCCCAACCAGGCCTGTTCCCAGCTATAGATCACACACATGCCAGTGGTTGCTCTGACTCAGCTTGGCACAGCCCCTCACCTGTCCCAACCCCTGCCTAAGACACTGCGGCTCAGCATCCATGGCTCACGCAGACCAGTTGGTGCAGAAACCTAGCTGGGCATGTCCTGTACTCCAGCCTGGTTTCCAATGTTACTTGTGGGCTAAGGTTTGCTCAGTACTGCCTGGTGCGCCTGTTCCATCTCCTTTTCATACATTGACGGGCCGTTGGTGCTACTTTGCCCAGCCTGTCCAACCCCCAGGTCCGGCCCACCCCACACCCCACTCAGGATGCACACTCGAGTACCACTGCCCCGACTAGTCCAGACTGCCGTCGGTTCTCCCATCTGTGATCAATGGCAGGCTCCCCGGTCACACCTAGCTTAGTCCACCATGACCCCATCTCTTGAAGTAATCTGTGGAGCTAGAATTTCCACAGGGTTTGGCCCACAAACCTCCCACAGAACCTTCCCCCCGGATATGGTTCTCTAGCGTGTTTGTTAATGTCATGGTCCTGCTTAATGTGACTGGTCTCCACTGAGTCAGTTCTGTTTCCAGCCCTGTCATCCACTTGGACCAATGGGTATTATGGTCCAGCTCAATCCTACCCACTTAATACTCAGTCCTCGTGCAAACCAGTGGGAGCTGCAGCCCAGCTAGGGCGACTCCCCATCACCCCCACCAGGCCTGCTCCCTTGCCTAGTTCCTATGCATGCCCGTATGTACTGCAGGCTTGTTCAGTCTGTCCCACCTCCCGTTAAGCTCTGTACTTATCAATGGGCACTGAAGCCTAGTACGACCCAATGAGCCTACTATCCTGCCCACACACATACTGGCAGGTGCCTTTTTGTTTAGCAACCCTGCCCCTGTCCTGGTTTTTGTGCTCTCCAGTGGGAGTAGTTACCCACGAGGGAGGTGCCCACTTTCTCCCTACTAGGCCACTCCAACTTCTGGATTGCACACTCTCCAAGTGGTTCTGGCATTTAACTTAACAGAATTTGCCCCCGGTGCCAGTCTCTGCCATCTGATGACAAAGCCCTAACAACACTTGCCCACTCTAATTTTGCTTGCACCATTCAAAACAGCCCAATCAGGCCCTTCCCCGATCTAGCTTACATGAGGTCCACAGGTGTTCCCCTCACCTGTCTCAGCCTTTGCCTTCAATGCTGTGGCATAGTATCCCCGCCTCCCGTAGACCAGTTGTTGTAAGAGCCTGGGTTGGAATGACATGTGCTCCATCCTGATTTCTGTTCTTTTTATTTTGGGTTGAAATTTGACCCTGCCCAGTCTGCCCCCTTCCAATTGCAGCTCGGCCCACTCCACATTCTGATTTAGGATGCTCCTTCGGGTGATGCTGCCTTGACCTGCCCAGAATGCTATTGGCTCCTTTACCCATAAGTGATGGCAGGTGCCATGGTCACTCCTAGCTTAGCCCCTCGCCACCCCAGCCTGCAAGCTAACCTGCGGGACTTGCATTTCCACAGGGTTAGGCCCACACTTCCCCCATAGAGTTTACCCCCTGACCAAATTCTCTCTCACGCTAGTAAGTGTCTTGACCCTGCCAAATGTGACCAGTCCACTGTTCCACCACCCAGTCAAGTTATGGTGCCCAGCTAGACAGGCCCCCATCCCTAGCTTTGGTGTGGACCGGTGTGTGGCAGACAGTGAACTCTATGCTAATAGCCATTCTCAGGATTCCTAATTTGGCTGGGATTTCAGTCTGGCTCAAATAGATCTTATGGGCGCTCCTCTTCAAACCTTCAGGTCTCAGTCCCACGCTTGCCCTAAAGTTTCATGTCCCTGTTACTGGGAATCACCAGGAATTCATGTCTCACCTACACTAAAACTGGCCTTATTCATGAATGTCCCCAAACAGCTGTTTCATATCATAAAAACCCCAGAGCTCGCCACTGGACAGCCAGCATTCAAAGCCTGGCACCATTTGGTGCACTGGCCGCCCAAAGCCAAGGACTCAGCCACTGCCTTGCAGCAGTGGCTTTGGCCTGAGTCCCCCTTTGTCATTTTTCTAAGAAAATAAATACAACCAGAGCCAGCATTCACTGCGCCAGCACAAGTTCAAGTTCCTGCTGCTCCAGTTTCCATCCAGCTCCCTGCTTGTGGCCTGGAAAAGCAGCCAAGGATGGCCCAAAACCTTTGGACCCTGCACCCGTGTGGGAGACCCAGAAGAAGTTCTGGCTTCAAACCCCGCAACCCTGGCCATTAGAGCCATTTGTGGAGTGAACCAGCAGATGAAGATTTTCTCTCTCTGTCTCTTTCTCCTTGTCTTTTCCTCTTTCTGTCTCTGTAACTCTGCCTTTCAAATAAATAAATAAATAAATCCTTAAAAAAAAAAACTGAAAAGAAATATTATAATAAAACAAGCCGGGAGGGCCTGATGCAGTGGCCTAACAGCTAAAGTCCTCACCTTGAATGTGCCGGGATCCCATATGGGCGCTGGTTTTAATCCCATCAGCCCTGCTTCCTTCCAGCTCCCTGGTTGAGCCTGGGAGGGCAGTCGAGAGCAGCCCAAAGCCTTGGGATCCTGCACCCGCCTGGGAGACCCTGAAAAGGCTCTTGGCTCCTGGCTTCGGATCGGTTCCGCCTTTGTCATCATTTGGGGAGTGAACCATGGGACAGAAGATCTTCCTCTCTGTCTCTCTCCTCTCTGTATATTTGACTTTGCAATAAAAATAAATGAATCTTTAAAAAAAAAAAAAAAAGAATAGACACTTTAAAGTGTCACTGTTTATTCTTGTAGTTACAGTGGCCAAGTCCTATTTCACAATAGCTGGGTTTAGTCCCTAGCTGTGGCTGCTAGTTCCAGCTTGTTGGTGCAGACCTGGGACTGCCTCTCCCATGAGGGATTCAGATGACACTCAGCCCTGGTCAATACAGACGGCTGGGGGCTCTCTCTGTGTGTCTCACGCTTTCTCTTAGTTTGCTTTTTGATTAATAAGAACATCAGTATTACACAGAGAGGGAGATGGAGAGAAATGGCTTTTATCTGCCGCCTCCCTTCCCAGATGGCTGCAGTGCCTGGGGCTTGGCGGGGCTGAAGCCAGCAGCCAAGTTTCTTCTGGGTTTCCCAGGTGGGGGTCTGGGGCACAGATACCCCGTGCCGTGTTCTGCTGCCTTCCCAGGCACATTATCCAGGAGCTGAATCAGAAGTGGAGCCCCAGGACTCAACAGGTGTCACAGGCAGCAATGCCAGCCCCTCCTCTCTATTAAAAAAAAAATTTTTTTTAAGCAGCATGACTAGAATTGTGACTAAAATACCCTTACATAAAATGGCAGGTGCATTATAATTTTTCTAAGATAGCTGATGCTGTTTCCTCAGGTTCGGATGGCTTGCTTCCCTATCTAACTGTAGAGACTTCACGTTCAGCTGGAATCAGCCACATCGAGGTCGAGAAAAGGTTCTCCTCTTGTTTTGTTGCGTTTTAAGCATAGGATTACTAGCCTACGAGTCCTAAAGAACGATTTCCCAGATTGATTTATTCATTCAATTTAGATTTACAGAGAGGAAGATAGAGATGTTGCATTCGCTGGTTCACTTCCCAAATGGCCACAATGGCTGGAGCTGAGCTGGTCCAAAACCAGGAGCCAGGAGCTTCTTCTGGATCTCCTACACAGATGCAGGTACCCAAGCACTTGGACCATTGACTACGAACCGGATCACAAGTAGAGCACCTGTGACATGAATTGGCTCCCTCACAGAGATGCTGGCACCTCAGGCAGAGGATTAGTTTGCTGAGCCTGGGAGCCAGCCCCCCAGTTTAGATACAAAGTTTCATACTGTGGTGGGAAGATATTAAACTCTCAAAACCAAATGTCAAACTGAGAACAGGTATCTGGTGTTAGACATTGATTAAGAGGATAAAAGTACCTTTACAGGAAAGAACACGAAGAAATGAACTCAAACAACAAATAGAAAATAAACGAAGACTGTACTGGGCCCTGTACTTGCAAGTACACACAAGAATCTGGTCTGGGATCACCTCAGACAAAGTTTCTTTGGGGATCCCCCCAGTCGGACTGCCAAACTCAGAACCCTAACTATGAAAAGACAGAGAGAACAAATTGATCAACTACCCCAGCCATATCTTGGCAGTGAAAAATCGGGCAAAAGGAGACTCTAAGGTGTACTATGTCAATGAGTGGGTTCTTCAGTGACTTCATCATGCTTGGAATGGTGAGATTGGCAGCAATTCGTAACAGTTGAACTATCAAAACCACTTGAGCAAGGCCCTCAGAGCACGTCCCACATGTGGGACCTAGGGTGGGTGGGAGACTGGGTGGGACTTCTCTTCTCGCTTTACCCCAGATACAGGGAAAAAAAAGTGGAAATAATAGTCTCTCCCACTTTTCTATAGCCCTTGAACCTTTTTACCCTAATTAACTATGAAAAGACTGAAAAAATAAAAAAAGAGAGAGATGGATAAATACAACTTTAGAATTACTAGCATCACATGATTATCCATTGATTTCACAATAAAATACAGACTCTTCAGGCCCAGTGACGTGGCCTAGCGGTTAAAGTCCTTGGCTTGAACTCACTGTATGGGCACTGGTTCTAATCCCGGCAGCTCTACTTCCCATCCGGCTCCCTGCTTGTGGCCTGGAAAGGCAGCTGAGAACAGCCCAGCCAGGAGCTTTTCCAGGTCTCCCACGCAGGTGCAGGGTCCCAAAGCTTTGGGCCGTCCTCAGTTGCTTTCCCAGGCCACAGGCAGGGAGCTGGATGGGAAGTGGGGCTGCCGGGATTAGAACAAGCGCCCAAATGGGATCCCAGTGTGTTCAAGGCAAGGACTTTAACCACTACACTATCACACCTGGCCCAAGATTGATTTTGTTAATTTGAAAGGCAGTTTTTGGAGAGAGGGGAGAGAGGAAAAAACAATAATAGAGAAAAACGGAGAAAAACCTTCCACCTACTGAATTCCTCCCCAAATGACCACAGTGGCGGAAACTGGGGAAATCCAAAGCCAGAGCCAGAAGCTTCTTATAAATCTCCCATGCAGGTGCAGGGTCCCAAGGCGCTGGGCCCCGTCCTCTACTGCTTTCCTAGGCCACAAGCAGGGACCTGGAAGGGGAAGTGGAGCAGCCGGGATATGAGCAGGTGCCCATAGAGAATCTGGCAGATGCAAGGCAAGGACTTACCCACCAGACCTCCCCAGGTTCCTGAATCTTAGATGACACCATGGTACCCTTCCGAGCCATGCTCTGCAGCGTTAATGAAGAGTCCAGCGACGTTACCATTTATCTCATCAACAGTGTGATTCTTTGTCCAGTGGTTCTATTGGGCATGTGGAGAAGAGAACCCTGAGAAGCTTGTGAAGTGTGTCTGCTTTTCCGTGTGGTCCTAGAGGCTCACACAAGTGTCACTGGCCCTTAGTTCCCCACAAGGCCTGCTGTAAAAACTGCTTGGAAGTGTCCATGCAGCCTGCAGGTGGATGGGATCCTTTCATGACAGGACACTGGGGCAGTCACAATGGCATCCTGCACCCAGCCCGTGTTTACTGTCCTCTAAGATGAATTAGGTTCTGCAATGACAGCTGATAAGACCGAACACATTTTGAGCAAGAGATACAGAGCCTGGTTGATTTGAGATTCAGAAAATGCTGAGTTGAATGTATAGCATCCAGTTTGTTCTCAAAATGATTTTATTAACTACCAGAAGCAAACTTTTTGACCTTGATACACAATCTTGCATTAAGTACGTCACATTTGGTAGAAAACATGACTTTTCCAGGATCCAGTTCCGGTTTGAAATTTAGCAGGTGGCACCACAGTCCTCATCTTGGGTAGTGCTGTTTGACCGTCATGACTTGATTTTCGGGGTTTATGCAAGCATCAAATGTTATTAAAGAAAGAAACCAGGTCAGTTCAGGGTCTGCTTTGCTGAGTTTCTACTCCTTATTGTGTCCACTAGTATATTAAGTGATAAATAACATGTGATTTCGGCGGATTAGGGATGAAGCAGGATATGTTGTGTTTTGAAGATCTAGGCAGTAGGTGCAGTGTGCAGAACCCCCCTGTTGACTCTTTCAAATCCTGTGAGGACTAGCAGTATGTAGCATCCAGGGTCTGAGACTGCTTTTGTTTATAGATGGTGGCCGGCAGAGATCTGCAACCCCAGGTCTGTGCCCCTCAACATCCAGGGACTGAAACACGACCTGGGGGACTTCCCTGTGTTCTTCTTTGGATCCCATGACTACTACTGGGTGCACCAGGGCAGAGTCTTCCCATACGTGGAAGGAGACCGAAGCTTTGCTGAGGGACAGACCAGCATCAACAAAACCTTCAAGAAAGGTATGCCTGGGTGAGCCACAGCTGCAGAGCTGAGCCCTCGACCCGCATGTCAGCTTCCCCCAGACACTCTGCCCCAGGTGGTTGCATTCTGCGGTCATGTTACTACCAGGTCCCCTGTGCTGTGTGTGAAAGCAGTTCCAGCTGAGATGCCTCCGAAGGCAGACATTGTTCTGGGAACGGTGGTGTAAAATCCCCTTGCCACAAGGAGAGGGCAAGCCTCCCATGAACAGCCTCACCAGTGCTTTTGCTGTGAGTTGCTGGGAAGTTTGGCGTCCTGAATAAGAACAAGCTAAGCCTCTGTCAGCCGCAGGGAGCAGCGCTGCTCTCAGGTGCCCCACACACATCTCTGCTCCCTGCAGCTGGGATTCTCTGCAGGCTGGCACATGTAGGCGGGGTTCTGGTGGCACATGCAGGCTGCGTTCTGGTAGCACATGCAGCCTGGCACATGCAGGCTGGGTTCTGGTAGCACATGCAGCCTGGCACATACAGGCTGGGTTCTAGTGGCACATGCAGGCTGGCACATACAGGCTGGGTTCTGGTGGTACATGCAGGCTGGGTTCTGGTAGCACATGCAGCCTGGCACATACAGGCTGGGTTCTGGTAGCACATGCAGGCTGGCACATGCAGGCTGGGTTCTGGTGGCACATGCAGGCTGGGTTCTGATAGCACATGCAGGCTGGGTTCTGGTAGCACATGCAGGCTGGCACATACAGGCGGGGTTCTGATGGCACATGCAGGCTGGGTTCTGGTAGCACATGCAGGCTGGGTTCTGGTAGCACATGCAGCCTGGCACATACAGGCTGGGTTCTGGTAGCACATGCAGGCTGGCACATGCAAGCGGGGTTCTGGTAGCACCTGCAGGCTGGGTTCTGCCTCTCTGGTGCTCTCCCCTGCTTGTAGATGGCCCTTTCCAGAACAGCAGGTGCAGAACCTCAGGCAGGCTGCTGAAGCCATTGCCCTGACAGGACCTGTCTGCTTTTTGGTATTTATATGCTCTCTGTGGTCTTGCAGCACTGGAAGAAGCTGCAAAACGTTTCCAGGAACTGAAAGCACAGAGGGAAAGTAAAGAAGCACTGGAGATTGAAAAAAATTCAAGAAAACCACCTCCGTACAAACACATCAAGGTGAGTCACCCTGAAAACACGGTGTTTCCTGGATCAGATACAGCATGCTCCCCTCCTTTCTGACTCAGGGAAACCTTGGCTCTTTATCACCGGAATCCTAGCCAGCAGGCAGCGCTTCCGCTGGGACCATCGTTAGGCATCAGGGCCGCAATGCCGTGCGGACCATGCCTCTGATGAGGCCCTTCTGACCTGGGATTAGTACAATATGCTCCCTCGAGTATCCCGCAGTGAAGTGAGGGTGTAGTCAGGGCTCCCTCAGGCAGATGGGCTTCCCGTTTCCATCCGAGATATCTCCATCAGCCAGGGGAAGGAGGACGACGCAGGGTAAAAAAGGAAGAATTCACATATCCAGTTCTGATGGGCTTGTCAACTGAAGAAGAAAGAGCTAATATATTCCTGGCTCATTCATGGGGAAGTTGAGGCATGGGGCCCTTGTCAGAGTCGCACTACCAGGCAGGAGCAGTGCAGACGCAGTGTGTAGGCGCTCGTGTTGGATCACTTACCTCTGCCTGCCTCCCTTCTTGGTTGTGCTTGCACTTTCCAGGCCAACAAAGTCATCGGGAAGGTACAGATCCAAGTCGCTGACCTGTCGGAGATCCCCCGCTGTAACTGCAAGCCCGCCGACGAGAACCCGTGTGGCCTGGAGTCCCAGTGCCTCAACAGGATGTTGCAGTATGAGTGCCACCCGCAGGTGTGCCCAGCTGGAGAGCGTTGTCAGAACCAGTGCTTCACGAAGAGGCTCTACCCTGACGCTGAGATCATCAAGACTGAGCGAAGAGGCTGGGGCCTCAGGACCAAGAGGAGCATTAAGAAGGTAGGCCGGGAGCTGGGCAGTGGGCTGGTGGGGGGCAACACACAGGAGCTGACACAACTTCGGGCTGCTTTGATAACAGTATAATTTTAGGGGCAGAAATGTAAAGGGATTTATGGCCCTGTATTGAGACTTTCCCTGTTGAGTGACACTTCTTGAGCAGAGATATGCCAGCAGGAAGAGAATAATAAAATGCACGTAACCATGGAGCTCTGTGATCATTCATAAAAAGGAGAAGGGACTCTGGTCATGTTCTCTTTGACTTTTTTGTTTATTTTTATTAGAAAGGGAGATTTACAGAGAGGAGACACAAAGAAAAATCTTCCATCTGTTCGTTCACTCCCCAAGTGGCTGCTTCGGCTGGAGCTGAACTGATCTGAGGACAGTATCCTGGAGCCTCTTCCGGGTCTCCCACATGGGTGCAGAGTCCCAAGGCTTTGGGTCGTCTTCGACTGCTTTGCCAGACCACAAGCAGGGAGCTGGATGGGAAGTGGAGCAGACAGGATACTAACCAGTGCCCATGTGGGATCCCGGCGTGTAGAGTGAGGATTTCAACACTGATCCATCACACTCGATCGTGTTTATTTTACTTCTAGATAAAATGACTAGAAACTTTTCATGAAAGCAAAGTAGTAAAGTGAAGAAATATATTCCAAGGGGTATGTATTGTGACACAAAGGCTTACGGCACCACTTGTGATGCCAGCATCCCATGCTGGAGTCCGTGGTTCCAGTCCAGACGCCTCTGCTTCTGCTCCAGCTTCGTTGTAATGTGCCTGAGAGGAAGCAGTGATGGCGGAAGTGCTGGGCCCCTGCCGCTCACATGGGAGACCCAGATCAAGCCCTGGATTCCCACCTCTCCCGGCTCTGCCTGTCCTCGGTGCATGGGAAGCAGTGGAGACAGAGGCTAGCCATCTCTGTCACACGGTCCCTCTTGTCATTTTGTTCCCGCAGTCTGCTTCTCAAATCAGTAGGCAAGCACTTAAAAAGAACATACTGGGGTACAAACTAACAAAGCCAAGATTTTACTCCAGCAGAATTCATTAGTCATGAAAACATAACCGAGTCATTTAACCTCCATAAACCTCAGTTTCCTCATCTCTAAAATGGACAGACAGTAATAAGAACAATCTTGCCCTGCACAGTTAGAGACCACTGTAAGTCTCAGATTCTGTATGTAAAAGCGGCTGGAAAAAGTTCAGATCTTCAACATTTACAAACTTTCTGTTTTTATACCTCATGAGAATTTTTCAGAGCAGTTTTTTTAAATATAAAAGTTCATGACCTTTGTAGAAAAAAAAAATTTAATGCAAAAAAAAAATGAAAAAAAATCTAAGTCTCCAGTAAATCCCGATTCAAATGATCTCTGCAAGTTAGTATGCCTCAAAATCTGCTGGAGTCCTGTTAAAACCGTGTTTTGCTGAATTAGATTATATGATACACATGTGATAACATATACTTTATTTATTTTTATATTTATTTACTTGAATGGTAGCGTGGCAGAGAGAGGAAGGGAGAGAAACTGAGTAAGATCTTTCTTTCTCTAGTCCAATCCCCAAAGAGCTGCTAAGGTTTGGGCCAGGCAACATCAAGAGACTGGAGCTGTACCAGGGTCTCCCACACAGGTGGCAGGGGCCCAAGAACTTGGGCCATCTTCCACTGCCTTCCTAGGCATGTCAGCAGGGAGCTGCATCTAAAGTGGAACAACCAAAACTCATATGGGATGCCAGCAATGTAGACAGTGGCTTAGCCTGCCCCAACTCCAGTCCCAGTACCCTGCCTTCATATTAAAAAAAAAAAAAAGTATTTTTCTTACTTGAAAGGCAGAGAGATTTTCTGTCTGTTGGTTTACTCTCCAGATGGCCACAACGGGTAGGGCTAGCTGCGCTGAAGATCAGGGGCTTCATTTTTGGCACATCTGGGATTTGAACCCATGCCCATATAGGATACAGGTGGTGGCTCAACCCACTGCACCACGGCACTGACCAGCAACCTGATTTTAACACAAGCCCCCATCCTCACCCGACAGCCCCTCTCTTTGCCTGGGGCCATCTGCTTTATTGACCTGGGAGGTGTCTTCACTGGAAGAAGGTGAACCCAGTGGGAATTTGAAACTGTTGCTGACATTTTTCCACTTTTAAAAAAATCACTGCTATAATTAATGAAAAATCAAATGCAACAATATCAAATAAGACAAAAAAAGTAGAGGGAAACTTCTTCATTCCTATTCTTGGCCTTTTAAAACTTCTTCTCTGCAACTACAAATAAATGCAAATACTCGTTCATATATTCTGCAGTTTGGGGTGTTTTTAAGCACTAATATTATCACGCTGTTCCTCCGTTTAAATAAAATGAGCACTCTTCTGTGTCAGCATGTACTGAGTTCTCGTTGTTTCCTTGAGTTTCATTAGAATACATGCCTGTTCTCTGATGTGTATGAGACCATTCTTTGTCATCCTTGTGCATCAGTGTGGTTAAGTACATATTTGTCAGGCCGACTGCGTGAGCCTGCTTCTATCCTAAGGCACCTGTAAAACAGTAATGAACATGACTGGAAGGTGTATGTGCTAGAGGACAGAGAATCGATGATAGCAGTGTGGAGAACTGCTAATTGCTCCCTGTGAAAGGGGACAGGGCCTGCCGTCTGGAGCCCGTGGGCTAAGGAATGCAGTAGAAAGCTTGTGGGTCTGCATGGGAGAGGAACCTTCCAGAAGGAAGGGAAAACAAGTACGATGGCCTCAGTGTGCTCCCAGGGGGTGCAGGGAGACCTTGACGCCTGGAGCAGAGTGGTAGAAAAAGGAGCGAGGGAACCAAGAAGGTGAGAGAGGCCGTGTGGGCCGTATGATGTGGAGGACATAGGCTGTGGGTTGGGAAACGTCTGGAGGGTTTTAGAAGCAAAGATTGAATATTGCTTGGTGTATTCGTTTTCTACTGCTGCATAACAATATGACACCCCTCCCCAGGGAGCAAGTGGAGCAGGGTTTATATAGTCAGAGCCCCAGCACTGCTTAGCTGGGTCTTGTACTTTGAGCCTCACTGGTTGCAGACAGGGTGTACCAGGGGCTGGGTTCCCAGGTCCTGGCTCACGGGGAAGGGTCTGCTTCCCTGCTGGCATGGCTCCTGGCAGCACTCTGCTTTGTGGTCGCAGGCCTGAGAGCTTCCGGGGTTTTGTCGTTGTTTCTCTTGCTGTCGGTCTTAGACCTCTCAGCTTCTGAGGGTTTCCACCATAGCTGTTGCTTGCTTGCAACCAGCAAGGCGGAGTCGCTCCTGCAGATAGCGCAGCATGATGTGGTGAACTTACATACCTATACCCTTTTCCTATTCTGTTGGTTAGTAGGCAACCCCAGGTCCTGCCTGCGTTCCAAAAGGGCCAGGCCCATGGTGGCTCAGCAGCTCAGACTGCCTCTCTTCAGACAGCGCGGGCCATGCACCCTTCACAGCTGGGCAGGGAGGGGTTATGAAAAGGGAAAGTCAAGGAAAGTAGACTGACTGCTCCAGGAGAGACGACGGTTACACGGATACACGGATTGTAAGTAAGCACGAAAGAGGTAGCTGAGTTTTTGAGACTTTTTAAAAAAGATTTATTTTCTTATTTGAAAGAGATTTTTACAGAGAGAAGAGAAAGAAGTCTTCCATCCATGCCAGCCCTGTTATATTTTATTTTTTTAAAAGATTTATTTATCTTGGGGTCAGGCACGCAGAGCGGAACTCACTTCATTGGCCAATCTTGGCTGATGAGCGGAGGAAGCAGCCCTTCACCCTCCTCAGCCACTTTTAAGCAGCCATCTTTATTCCACTGGCTGCCCGCCAATGAGCTCTAGGGACTTGGGGGTGATGAAATATTGCCTAGGGACATCCATGAATACAGACTCCATATGTGAAAGTGAGGAATGAATCCTGAGGGACACCTAGCAACAGGGCCAATGTACTGGTTGGTAAGTGAGGGGACAAAGACCTAGCGGTGTGGAGGAAAAGACTGGAGATCTGTATGGGTCAGACTGATCCATCAGCCCACATGGGAGTCCTGAGATGGGCTTGTTAGCACGAAAGCTATGGCTGGAGCCCCTAGCAGACCTAGATCCAAGTACCTGATTGAGTGTTGGAACAGGGGACAGATCACTTTAGGCAGGGCCAGGACACTAACCAGCACACAAGAGAACCAGGCCCAGGGGTAGATGCTGTGAGGGATAAGTGGGTCCAACTCTATGCAAATACAAGTCCCACTGGTGAGCTCAAGAGTTGGGGTAGTGACTGGCTGAACTAGGAGTGAACATGGGACTTGGCAACACTCATGGATACTGGGGCTGAGAATAAGTTGGGTAGGTCCAAGCTGCTGCACCTGCATGTGCATCCTAAAAAGGGTGTAGGGTGGGCCGGCCCACAACATCCAGCAGCTCATACAAAGGCCAAGATAGAGGGGCAGGCTATGCTGGGCAAGGGCCTAGCACCTGCTGGAGCATGTGAGATCTGGGTCTGGGAGTGGGCTGAGTGGGGAAACTGGGAGACTCCTCTACTGGGCCATAGCTCCCACTGGTGAGCATATGTTCTAGACCTAGGGGTCAGGCAAGCTGGGCAAGGCAGCCCCACCTGTTGGCAAATGTGTGGGTTGGTTTTGGAAGGGGCAGACAGGGCAGGGCCGAGCAGTTCTTAGCCCACTGGCAAGTGCAGAAACCAGGCTCAAGTGCAGGTCATGTCAGGCTAGAGTATCACACCTACTGGCTCACATGAGCTATGGATGGGAACAGACTGAGCAGGGCCAGGTTGCAGCACCTGCCAGCAAGAGTTGGGACTGGGCGCTTGCTAGGTCAAGCCAGGCTACAGCATCCGAAGGCAAAGGCTAAGATGGATGGGGGGCTATGCCAGGCTGGGTCAGAGCAACCACTGGCAAGCATGAAAAATGTGGAGGGGAGCAGGCCTGCCTGGGGAGCAAAGGGGATGCCTTGACCGGGTTGTGATCCCCATTGGAGATAGCAAGGGCCAGGGTGGGGACTACGGTCTGGTCTGTATATAGCTACAGAATCCCTCGGCCTGTGTGAGGGCTGGATATGGGATGTGCCAGACAGGGCTAGAATCCAGCACCCACTGGTACTCGTGAGAACCAGGGTAGGTATAGGACAGGCTAGGCCAGGTCTCTGTCCCTGCTGAGCCCTGTGTGAGCTGTGTCTGGGTATGGAGCAGGCTTGGCTGGGCTGTAGCACCCAACAACAAGAACTGGATTGGGTGAGGGCCGGTGAGGAAAGGCCACTGTTCCTGCTAGGACAGGAGGTGGATTAAGTAGGGCTGGCCCATGGACGCACCGGTGTGTGCAAGATCTGGTACTGGCACTGGGAGAGAACTGGATGGAAGAGCCAGGGGAACTCCTCTGCTGGACACGCTCCCTGAAGGTGAGTGCAAGAACCAAGACTGAGAGCAGCCCAAACCAGGTCAAAATATCGTACCCGCTGGCATATACTTGGTATAAGTTGGAGGCAGGCCAGACTGGGTCAGTCCATATCACCAACTGGCAAATCCGAGTGCCAGAACGGACTGTGGGTTAGACTGGGTCAGGGAACAATACCAGCCAGTTCACATGAGGGCCCAGAAAGGGGCTGGCAGAGCTGGGCCAGGCTGTAGCACCCATTGGCAAATGCCAAGGTGAAGAGGCTGTGCCAGACTGGGCCACAGCACTCAATCAGCACATGTGAAACACGGAGGGTGGTGGGGATGGCCCCAGGGAGGGAGCCACAAAGGCCCCCTTGGTGGGCCACTACTCCCACTGGTGAGCATGAGAGCTGGAATGGGGGCAGAGTAGGCCGGGCACGGCCACATCCGATGGCCTACATAGGAGCTGATCAGGAAAAAGCCAGGCTGGGTTGACTATACCCTCTGGTACATGCATAAGTTAGGGTCAGTGTGGATTGATTGGACTTTGCCACAGCATCAGCTGGCAGATGTTGGCACAGGGGCTAAATACTATCAGGTGCAGGAATGGCCTAGACAGATGGTGGCACCCACTGGCACCAGTGGGGATTGGATAGTGGGGATGGTTGGGACAAACTGGGCTTCAGTGCCCATCAACATGTACGAGAGCTGAATGGGATGTGGGACAGACGGGACCAGTCTGCTGTACATACTGACAAACACAGGAACCATGGTAGGGGTGGGCCTGGTTGGGGTTTTGTGGGTCGCTCCAACTAGACTGGAGATCCCACTGGTTTATGTGAAGGCCAAGTATGTAGTGGGCCCATCAGTGTGTGCATAGCCTGATTTGGGTGACAGACAGTGCCAGACCCTTTATTGGTAAATACAAGAATCAGATCTAGGATGGCCTTAGGTGAGGTTTCTTGGGTGATTCCCTACCAACTGAACTGTTAGGCTCAAAACCCTAACCTTGCAGAGAATTGCAGGTTCCATGGGCTGCAAGGGATTGGATGTATCAGAGCTGGGCCTCCTCAGTGGCTCAGCTGGAGCCGAGGACAGCATATCCAAATGCACATGGAGGATATGGCATTACATTGGAGCCTCCAGAGGACACCTGGTACCATGGCAGAGGACAGAGGACAGAGCAAATTGATCAACTGCCCCAGCCAATCATTGGCAGTGAAGATCTGGGCAGATGGAGACACTGAGGTGGACTATAGCAGCCAGTGGATTCGGGACAGATTTCATCGTGACTGTAGTGACAGGATTGCCAGCAATTCAGGACTGTTGAGCTATCAGAACCTCTTGAGAAATTTATGGTTTTGCGAATTTCTGTTTTTCTTCCTGTTGTTGATTCTGTATTGTGACTTTTAATTGAAGAGGGATGTGTGGTGACTGTGTAATGGAGACTATCATGTCCAGATGTGAGGATGCATTTCAGTATGCATCTCTACTTCCAGGTCAAAAATGGACTACTAATGAAACTGTTAGTTGGATCCTGACAGTGGGAGGCTGGACTCTGCCGTTGTGCATGCCCGCAATGATGAACATGTGACTGTTTATGAAGAGCTATGCTGTAGTAATAATATAGGGGAATCGGGGGGGAGGGCCAGTGGAAATAAAAATAAATAAATAAAATTTTAAAATAATAAAAAGCATTTCAAAAGATTTATTTATCTTTATTGGAAAGACAGATCTGATCTACAATCAGAGAAACAGAAAAAGATCTTCGTTCCACTGATTCACTCCTTATGTGGCTTCAAAAGCCAGAGCTGAGCTGATCAGAGGCCAGGAGCCAGGAGCCTTTTCCGGGTCTCCCACATAGGTGTGGGGTCCCAAGGCTTTGAGCCATCCTCTACTGCTCTGCTAGTCCACAAGCAGGGAGCTGGGTGGGAAGTGGTAGCTAAATCTGAAGAGGAACAACCAGGACGTGAAGTAGCACCCATAAGGGATGCCAGTGCTGCAGGCAGCAGCCCTGCCCTCTGTGCCACAACAGCAGTAGCACACATATATATATATATTTTTTTTTTTGTTTTGGGTATTGATGGAGCCATCTAAAATCTTGGTGGTTTAATATTGTAATACCTTTAAATGGTATCCACACTTAACTGTAGAATGTATTCTGAGGTAGTTTTCTAAGCAAATGGTGTCAGGAAGAGAAAAAATGCAGTGTAGATTTTCCTTGCCCTTTGGCAGTGGAAGGATTGCTGCTGACGCACGACCGTGGGCCCTTCACGAAGGAGCTGGCATTGCGGGCCCTGGGGAGCAAGATCACAAAGACTGTGGCAGCACAGAAAGGCTTGGTGTGTTTACAGGAAAGAGGCCAAGTATGGATTCCTGAAGACAAGTGCCAGAATCCAACAGACTTCCTCGTGGGAAGTGCATTCTTTCTCAGAAACATTGTTTTAGTATTAAATATTGGATTACAGCCTTTCTCTTGGAACCGTAGCAGATTTGTAGTATTTTTGAAATTTCTCTAGTTATTTTTGTTCATACTAGAATGCACCATCAGTATCTTTAAATCTACTAAGGAACTCTTTGAGGCTAAATATTTGTCCCTTTCAGGATATCTGAGCTATTTTCCACCTCATTTTCTTTTTCTTCTTTTTCTTTTTTCCACCTCATTTTCGATGGCATCAAGCTTATGAGGCTTTCATGCCTTTTACCTGATGGCACTTTTTCTGCTTTCAACTCATTTCATGGAGTAGAAAACACAAACTATAATAAATGGTCACAGAGCTTTTAAAGCCACAACACCGTTTCTGTGAATTCTTGCTGTAAGTCCCAGTGTAAGTAAAAGGTGAAGGGGCGCTGATTTGTTTGAAATTCTGCCCCTTTGGGTTTCCCTTGCAGGAAATCTGCCCTACGAATGTGAGGCAGGGTGAGTTGCATCACTGAGCAGTGATGCCGTGCAGCCAGGCAGACGTTCCTGGCGCATGGCAGGTGCCAGCCATCAGCTAACTGCTGTGGTTTTTCTCATCCAGCTTGGACAATAAAGTAAGGATAGAGAAAAAGCCAGAGGCCAGTTAACAGAGTGACCACAGCCACTCAGCTGCCACAAGCACGGGGGAGTGCCCTCACTGACGTCCCCAGCTGTACTTAGGGGCTTACTAATCTGCCTTCAGGGACTGGCGCGATGGCTCAGTGGGCTAATCCTCCCCCTGCAAGCATCTGATGGATACGGGTGCTGGGTTCATATTCCAGCTGCTCTGATTCCCATCTAGTTTTATGTTTATGGTCTGGGAAAACAGTAGACGATGGCCCCAGTCCTTGGGAACCTATATCCGCGTGGGAAACCCAGAGGCAGCTCTGGGATCTTGGCTTTACATCTTGGCCAATTGGAAAGTGAACCAGTGGATAGAAGATCTTTTCTCTCTGTCTCTCCTTCTCTCTGTAAACCTGATCTGCCTTCCCAATAAAGACAAGTAATTCTTTTAAAAATAATGACCTGTCTTCATCAACAGAGAAGGCCCTACAAGCACATGTTTGAGAACATTGGCCTGTGTTCTTGGGGACTATTAAAATCAGGAAATGTGACTTAGTGCTTCTCCTCTGGGTAGCTCCATCCTAGGTTCTGGGACACTTGGCGTCAAAGAGGAGGGGTGGGGGTAGGAAGGTAGCCACAGACACAGGGACTGTGGAAAGGGCACCATGAGGATGGCAGGGGCTGGGGGAGAACGGGACAGAAACCTGGCAACATAGCAAACAAGTGTGTGTGTATTTCTCAGTACATTGATACAGTGAACTAGATTGAGTCAGCAATGCTTTTGAGGTGAGGTTAATGATTCTACAACAGAAACACAAAACACTTATCTTTAAAGGAATTTCATGGCACACCTACTCAGACTGCTAACATGAAAAGTAATGACAGCACGCGCGTAGCCCATTTTCCCCAAAGCCAATCCCAGAAGGTGACGGTCTAGATAGGACAGTGTGAGCGGTACCCTCACGGAACTGGAGGACAGTGGGTGGCAGGGCAAGGTCGGGCTGAGCTGCACAAGGATGGAGGACCTGGTGGCAGTAGATCAGTGACCCCAGGATCTCTGGTTAAAGACAGTCTGACTGCGTCCCGGTACACACGCATGCCCACTCTTGTGCCCCTCATGTGGCCTTGGTGAGGTCTGCATGTGGCATGTGATCTGTGGAGTATACCATGCAGCGTCCTGGCTTGGTGTCACCACCGGAGGGCGCTGTGCAAGCGGCACCGAGCTCTCCTCTGTGGGATCTTTGTGCTTCCTGTCAGTATCATTACCTCAAAATAGTGTAACAACTGCAGCCGACAGACCATTTGATGGAGCTACTGGACTTTCCTCTGAGCTGTGACATAGCCGGCAGTGTCGCTGGGACCCTCGGGATGGTCCTGACAGCAGGAAGAGGTAGCAGGTCATCTGTTTTGCAGGCGCTGTTGCAAGAAAGGGATTAAGAACAACCACTTGTTTTTAAAATTGAAGCTGCATTTTAAGGTTCTTTCTCGTTTGTTGTGCACATCATTAAAGAAGGTGCTCAGGTCTGCAGTGCTGTTCATTTCATGCTGCACATCTCTCCACAGGGTGAATTTGTAAACGAATATGTTGGTGAATTAATTGATGAAGAAGAATGCAGACTGCGCATCAAACGAGCGCATGAGAACAGCGTAACTAATTTTTATATGTTAACTGTTACCAAGGTAAAATTGCTTTTTTTTTTTTTATTCTAGTGTCGCGGGTTTAGTTTCTTTTAACTTGATTTTTCTTTGTCAGGCACATTAGAATGATTTGTAGCAGGCACTGTGCTTGCCCGCTGTCATGCACTTCTGATGATGCCCAAGCAGCGATTTCCTGAGGCCTCACACGTGTCGCGTGCGATGGCTGAACGAAGGGATAGCCTGGCTCCTTGGTCACTGAAAGACCGGGGCTGGAGTCTGTCATTCTGTTACTAATGGCCACTAACGTGTGACTTGCCAAAAGCTCTGGTTTGTTCTGTGTGCTGAGGCTTAAATAAATAATGAAGAATAATGAAGAAGGAGTTAGCATAATGAGCGATGTTCTAAGAGACGGGGCAGTGCGCTGCCGACTCAGCCGAGGACCGGGCGCACCAGTGTGACGCGCCCGCGGCTTCCGTAACTTCACCATCGTTTCAACAGCTCTCTGATTGAAAGGAGGAGAAACGGGGGCCCAGACACATGATTTGCTGCATGCCTGGAGGTGGTTTTAAGAGCCAAGAGGGAGCCCCGTGTTCCCCAGTAGCGGCTTTCTCAAACTGGGAGGCAGCACCCTCCCATTGATGAAGTGCTTCCTGAAAATGCATTGCTGGCTTCCAGGATGGCTGGATCTGGCTGGCAGGCCTGGCCTCACGGGGCGCCCGTGCCCTGGAGCCCATGCGGAGCAGGACTCGTGTCTGGGCACCTGGGCGGTCAGCTCTTCTCTGTTTATTGAAGTTTGATGGCAGTAAGAATGGACTAGGTGGTCCCGGAGCTGTGTTCCCCAGCCTCTCCTCAGTAGTTCCCACCCCTCCTGATGCGCTGCCCGTCCTCCAGCTAGTTGCCCTGCTTGCTCAGAGCAGGCAGACTGCCCTCCCACTCCCGACTGGGTATCTCAGCTTGGTGCTCTAGCCAGGAAATATCAGCCTTGACCCCGAGGCCTGTTCACCTTCCAAAAGCAGAGCCCGGCCTCACCCTGGGGGCTTTGGCCACGCTGGTCATCCAAGGCCACGGCCAGCCTCCAGGCAGCACACAGGGGCGCCTGTTGATTGCTGTCCGTCGCACGCCAGCTGGCAGCACCTACAGCCCGGCGTGAGGTGGAGGTGGCTGAGGGGGCTTGCATCCCTCCCGCGGCCACAGCACCCTTCTTTCCATTCTCTCCAAAGGATCGCATCATTGACGCTGGCCCCAAAGGCAATTACTCTCGTTTTATGAACCACAGCTGTAATCCAAACTGCGAAACACAGAAGTGGACGGTGAACGGGGATGTCCGTGTGGGACTGTTTGCCCTCTGCGATATTCCTGCAGGTAAGCGGGTGCCCATTTCCCCGGGGCCCCTCCCCAGCAAGGAAGCTGTCCTGCGAGGGCAGGGAAGCCCTCAGGGGCTCGGCGCCCGGTCTTGGCTCACAGGAGAGCGCGTGTTAGGTGTGGAGTTGAGTATGTGCCGGGGAGAGGTGAAAAGCTCTGTCCTCCGAAGAGAGAGGCGGGCGAGGCTGCGCGCAGGGTCCTCCGGCTCGCCGCGGGCTGCGTCAGGCTGACCGTCCCACTGTGCTGGCTGTCGTCACTAGCCTGTACGAACCTCAGCTGGTTTCTCGGCTTTTTAATTTTTTTTTTTTTTTTTTGCTCTGGCTTTGACTTGGACAGTTCCTGCTGCACTGAGTCAGCCCGCAAGCCGGAGCTATTGCTGTCTTCCCTCACAGCGACATCTGGCTTCTCCATCCTCGTTTATGCTTTAAAAAAAAAAAAAATGGGGCGGGGATTGAGAAGGGAAATGTGGCCAAAACAGACTTCCACTCTGTTTCTAGAACCCACCGTGGATTGTTCTAGCTCAGCTCCACAAACAGGTGTGGGAGCCCTGGCTCTTTAGCGAATATAGGATATTGCGTGAGGAGGATACGAGGCATTGATTACTACAGCTAACACTGTCACAACTCTGTGGTCACTGGGTTATGGTTGGTGCGCTGAGGGACTCACCCACAGGCTTTAGAATAAAGTGAAGAGGGCCCGATGCGGTAGCCTAGCAGTTGAAGTCTTTGCCTTGAACGTGCCAGGATCCCGTATGGGTGCCAGTTGTGATCCTGGCAGCCCCAAGTCCCATCCAGCTCCCTGCTTGTGGCCTGGGAAAGCAGTCAAGGATGGCCCAAAGCCTTGAGACCCATCACCCACGTGGGAGACCTGGAAAAAGATCCAGGTTCCTGGCTTTGGATCAGCTCAGCTCCAGCCACTTGGGGAGTGAACTAGCAGATGGAAGATCTTCTCTGTGTATTTGGCTTTTCAATAAAAAAATAAAACAAATCTTTAAAAACAGAAATAAAGCAAAGAGAGAGCTAAGGGTGAGCTTCGTTTTCTGGAGCCTAGGGTGCCGTGTGTGGGTCCTTGGCACACTCTGGGAGTCCCTGGGGGGAGACGGGGGTTCCTGCCGCAGCACCCCGTTGTCTCCACGCGGGGTTTGGTCGTGTTTTCTCCCTGTCACTGGTTTCAGGGAGAAGTCTTCCTCTAGAATTATGTCTCCCACACCGACCAGGTGTCTCTCTGGTTCTAGGAATGGAGCTGACCTTTAATTACAACCTGGACTGTCTGGGCAACGGCAGGACGGAGTGCCACTGCGGGGCTGCCAACTGCAGCGGCTTCCTCGGGGTGCGGCCCAAGGTCAGTGTGCTGCCGGGCGGGCTGCAGTTGAGCCCGAGCTCAGCCAAAGGCTCTTTAAGGAAACCTTTAAGTTGGGCGGTACGCTAAGAACCTCTGAATGCCAGGTGCTTTAAAATAGTGAATTTTGTCCTGTAGCAGTTACGCCCCCAGGTTGCCTTAGCAGCAAATAGGTTCAAGTTGCTTGAGCTTGCCACCACCTTCCCAGTCAAAAATGAGAAAAAGAAAGCCCCGCTCCCCATCAGCGGGGAGCGCGAAGCAAGCCTGCTTTCCCGCGGCACTTTGAGGGGCGAGGCCTCCTGGCCCCCCTCAGCATGCATCCCTCCCGGGGCGGGGAGCGTGGGGGGCTGCTGGTCCACGTCCGGCTTCACCTGCTGCCGCTGGTCTCTCTCTCTCTGCCAGTCGGCCTGTGCGTCAACAGCTGAGGAGAAGGCCAGGAATGCCAAGCTAAAGCCCAAGAGGCGGAAGCCCAAAGCAGAACCAAAGCAGGCGCATGAAGATTACTGTTTTCAGTGTGGAGACGGGGGAGAGCTGGTCATGTGTGACAAAAAAGACTGTCCCAAAGCGTACCACCTCCTATGCCTTAACCTGACACAGCCGCCCTACGGTAAGGCGGGGCCGGGGCTCAGCCCTCTCCCACGCGTGTTTCGGTGGGTCGGTCTGCCCAGAGCGCTGGGGTCTGGGCGGGCGGGCGGCATCCTCACCTTGCCCACACCCAGAGTGGAGAGTGGGCTGCATTGCCATCCGAGCCTTGGTTTACGCGTTCGGGCGGGTTGCAGGCAGGCAGGCAGGCACTAACTCAGGCCCTTGTCCCTCCACCAGGAAAGTGGGAGTGCCCGTGGCATCAGTGCGACGTGTGCGGGGGCGCCGCCACCTCCTTCTGCGAGTTCTGCCCGCACTCCTTCTGTAAGGAGCACGGCCAGGGGGCCCTGGTGCCGTCAGCCCTGGAAGGCCGCCTCTGCTGCTCCGAGCACGAGCCCGGGGCGCCCGTGTCCGAGGAGTGCTGGGGCAAGATGAAGTGCAGGCGGGAGTCGCAGGAGCAGGTGGAAGAAGCCAGAGAATGAGCGCCCGGTGACGGCGGTGCCAGCCAGGCCCGGGCGCTGCGGAGCCCCAGAGCCACAGCAGCGCTCTGCAGCCCCGGAGCCGGCTCCGCAGGCAGGAGCGGGCGGGTCTCCTTGCTGGTCCTCGGGGTGGGTTGGGGGGATTCTGTGGAGGGTGAAGTTCCCTGGGTTTCTTGGTTTTGTTTTTGTTTTTCCTCGCCTTTTGTTGTGCTTCAAGGCCCCTACAGTTGGGGAAAAAAAAGAGAGGTGTCTTCACTTTTTAAACTAAGAACAAAGAGGAAAGGGTGTCTTGTGAATGAGATGAATTGCAGGTCAAAGACGCGTCGTTCCTTGATTGTATAAAGCAAAAGTAGCCACCTTCCTTTTATTTATTTTCATCTTTAGGACCTCGAAAAGTGTAGTGCAAATAGTCTAACCAGTGTATGTGTGTGTGCGTTTTCGGTAGGCGGCAGAGCGCCCCAGGACCAGTGTGCTAACCTCTATATACCTCTTACTCAACGGGAGCTAGACTAACTTCCACTTCCTCGCCAGTGGTGCAGTCCCAGACAAGGGCTCTGGGGGAGGCTTCAGTCCCGGGGGTCCTGGGACGCGGGACCCCAAAAGGCATCTGTGCGTGTTCTGACCCAGAGGAGCCGCAGGTGCTGACTGCGCATGTGCTCACAGCGTGTTCACGCGGATGTGAGCGTGGAGCTAGAGCGGTCGGTGTGTCATGCGAACCCCCAGAAAGGACAGCCAAAGGGAGCGCACACAGGGCCCCGGCCACGTGGTGCCAGTCTGACCCAGAGCGGGGGCGGGCGTGTTCCCGTGCCTTTCCCTCCAGAGGAAGCATTTCCTCTGTGGACCGACCATTTTCCTGGGAAAACCACGCATGCAAACCGGTTCTGCATCTTTCTAGCTGGGCTCCATCCTGCAGGTGTGTCAGGTAACAACTGGTACCTTCCCCAGTAGGAAGAGCCATCCAAACCCTGTCACCTTAGAGAGTGAGCCGCGATGGTGCCATGCCGCTGGAACCTTTGGAGTGGTTGGTGCAGGAGATGGGCCCACAGAACTCAGCCTCGCGCTGCTGCCTGCCTGTCTGCCTGCCTGCCCGTGCAGGCAGCTGGTAGGGGACGCCAGGCGCTGCTGTGCCAGCACGGGACCCTGCGCACTCTAGCCAGGCCCTCTGCCTCCGGCCCTCCCTGGCCGACCAGCAAGGCAGGGCGCTGTGGTGCCTGTCCTCTGCCCCATGTGCACCTTCCTGTCTGCGACTCCTCTGCACAGAAGGGGGACGGCTGTGCCATGTCCCCCTCGTTTGTGCAAGTACACTCCCCTTACACAGCCTCCACAGCACCCCATCTGACTCCTTCACCCCTGCTCCTGAGCTGCCCTTGGCCAGCTCCCAGCACTTCCTCAGGAGGTGACTGCTGATGGGACACAGCCCCCCAGCAGGCAGAGGGGAAAGCCGCCCGCGCCCCGCACAGCCGACCGCCCCAGGGACAGGACGCCCCGCTCGCCAAAACACTAACCTTTGCTCTCGAGCAATTCTAGAGTCTGATGTCGTTTTGAAAACTAATTTAAGAAAATCTAGGTTTTATCATATTGAAATTTTATTTTCTATATATATACATAGATATATAGATATATATATACACACAAGATCCCTGTTTGGGTTTTTAAATGTACTAACATGAAGGTTTCCTTGACATTCCGCACGTGACTTGCTGAGACAGTATTCCCATGCAGTCTAACCTCGGGCTAAGTTTTGGACTTCGTGCTATTTACTATCTGAGAACTTTTCTATGGTGAGCCAGGGTACCTCCTGTACAGTGCAGATACCTTAGGGCTAAGCGTTTTTATAACAGAACTCTGCTATGTTCTGGGTTTTTTGTTTTTTAATTTTTTTTTTTTGACAACTAATTGAATCGTTCCACCACTTCAGAAACCTAAAGTAGCAAAACAAACAGCTGGTCGCAGCTCTGAGCCTTTGGTGATGTTCTTTAAGGGTCTAAAAAGTGGGTCCCGGTAACACCAGGGCCCTGCTGTGCTGCAGCAGCTGACTGTGGCTCGGCTTGGGGGATGGGGGCGCCCCGCTGCTCGCCCGGGCTCAGCTCCTGTCAGCCACCTTGTAATGTCCCAGTACACGGCAGCATGGAGAGGGGCGGCGCCCTCTGTAGCTGCAGCTCAATTCTTGGCAGGAATAAACAATCCCCAGGGTTTTGGACAGCAGCACAAAGCTCCAGCTGCTGGAGCAGTAGGCGCTGATGAGGAGGTCTTGGGGGCGCTGCCCAGGCCGTGTGCAGTGGAGGGCAGATGGGCTGGCTGCCCCGGGAACGCCAAGGCTGCAGAGTGGGAGCCGACGGCCAGCTGGCAGGTGTTAACTTGCCACTTCCCAAGTTCCCACTCTCAGCCTGGGGCCAGGGTGGACTGAGGTTTGCCTTCGCGGAAACATGCAGAATGCTGTGTTCCAGTCAGGGACGCATCAGGAAGGTGAAGCAAAGTACCTGGGGGTTACAGGGGCTAGGGGACATGGTCCCAGGTGCCAGCCACGGTCATGTCAGCTGTAACTAGAACACACCTGGGACCTGTCTGCCTTTCTGGCTCCGCTCAGTGCCCAGCTCCTTTACCTTCAAGGCAAGGGGCTGGCGGGGCCGACTGCCCGGAACGCCTTCCTTCAAGCCTAGGGCCAGCTCTGCTGTTTGCTCGTGAACAACCTGAAATAGTCATAATTAACAAGTTTCTGTTGTCTGGTGGGCCAGGGGACAGCTCTGCTTGGCCAGCTCGGCAGTGGACTGCCAAGCCAAGGCAAGCTGGAGCTGCAGCCATGTCCAAGTGTGGCGGGGAGGTGGGGGAGCAGGAGGAAGGGGGTGCTCTTGGCTAGGGGAGGGGGGACGCCCACAAGCCCCACAGACATAATGTCACTTTAGCACTGCTGCTGCCTCATCGCGTCCCGGTGGTGGATGTACTTGACAACCTGGAGATTTTTCCCTTTGCTTTCCCTCTCGACTTGAAATGGAGAGTAGAGTATTATGGGAGCCGGCAGTCCGGTCTCTGCCCCTCTTTTCCCTGAACTGAAGGCCACAAACCGCCTCCAGTCCAGCGAGTGCACTTGGGGACAGAAGACAGTGGCCACCTGCCCGACCTCTCCTGTGTGTGTCCCTCTGTCACACCCAACCCCGGCTGCCTCTGGCACTGCTTCTCTCCCTTGTTAATATACACCTGTTCAGAAAAAAAAAAAATGATTGCACTTATGCCACACTCCTGAAATGCTGAGTATAACCCTTGGGTCTCCACGACCCCATTTCCGTTGTGTTTCTTGTTTCCGTTGCTCAAGTGACAAGTCTGGGTGCTTGTGCCCCTGTGTGAAGTTTGGGGGGGTGGGAGGGGGGCAGCCAGAAGGCCCTGGTCTCTGGCAGACTGAGTGTCATAAACATGTATTTGAAAAAGGGACGACAGTCTCGTATTTCGTGCTTGGCCGTCTTAGGGGCCTGTTGCAGGTGCCCCGCAGCAGGCTGTGGCCGCGTGCCCCGGCTGGGCCGTTCCTGAGGCACTTCCTTGTCTTCAAAAGCGGCTGGATGGACCTTCCCTGTAGGGTCAGTGTTGTCAGTCCCGTTTCGTTCCATTCATCCTCTTCCTTCCCCCACGTTGAGGAAATCCTGTTGCCATTAACAACATGCATTGCTCCATGGTGATGGCGACCCATTGACCAGCGTCATCTTTTCGTGTCCAAGCGTGTGTGCATACCTGGACCGACGAGAAGCCCATCTTTCTCTCCCTGAGTGGCAGTGCCCAGCACTCATGGGCACCCCAACCCCATTTCCTGTCCCCCTGTTCTTTATGATGGTGACTTCTGTGTACTTTATGTGTAATCGACTTGGTAGAACCTCGGAATTCTGGCCTAAATCACTCGAGATGCGAGTCTACTAACCTGGCACCAACCCCGCTCACTGGGTGCCCGTGGCTAGAAGCTCTGACACTAAGGGGTTGGTCCGTGTCCGTTTCCCTGGGATGTCCCGCCAGGCGTGACTGTGCAGGCTTCGTGTTGCCGCGGGGAGTTCAAGGTCTGTACTGTGTGAGGGTTTCTGTTGCCTGGCTCCTGTCCCATTGCATAGCGTGACCCGTGTCAAGCCTGGTGACCGTGTACATAGATAGCCTACTGACCCGTCACAGTGTCCTTAGGAATGCTTGTACTATTTAAGCCCGTAATTGATGTGTGTGCTGGTAGGAACATACTTTTTGTACATTCTATTTGCTGAAACGTTGCCCTTTGTTTTCTTAATTTCACCCAATACTTTGGAACTCCAATGTGTTTTTTGCTTCCTTGACGATTAATTCGGAAAAGGTTTTTAATGACATTCCACCAATTTCAGATTTTGCTTGAGATTGACTTCAATAAATTGTCCTTGTATGTTCCAAGTTAAATACATTAACTTTGTCTTAATTTCTTGTTCCAACCCACTGGGCAAGGCGGGGAGCGGGGTCGGGACTTCGTTACTTCCTGGTGCAGCTGCGTGGCGGGGCGCTGGGGTGGCTGTGAGGCGGCAGCTGCAGGGTGCGGGGCATTGCTTAGCCCCCTTGGGTGGAGCGACCTGCGTGGCGGGGCGCTGGGGTGGCTGTGAGGCGGCAGCTGCAGGGTGCAGGGCACTGCTTAGCCCCCTTGGGTGGAGCGACCTGCGTGGCGGGGCGCTGGGGTAGCTGTGAGGTGGCAGCTGCAGGGTGCAGGGCATTGCTTAGCCCCCTTGGGTGGAGCGGCCCAGAGCGGGGCGAGCGCCGCCCTGGCCTGAGTTCAGTTCTCCCAGCGGCCGCCAGGTGGCGCCGGGCGCGCATGCGCGGCTGCCCCAGCTCAGGGTCCGCCCTCCCGGGGCCTGTCACGTAACTAACTGCGCGACATGGGGAAGGTGGCGGCTGCGGCCGAGCTGGGCGTGCGGGTCCTGCTGCTGGCCGCCTTGGTGTGAGGCCCTGCGTGCGGGGCAGCGGGCGGTGGGCGGCGGGTGGCGGGCGGACGGGCTGAGGCCCTGCGTGCGGGGTAGCGGGGTGGGCGGCGGGTGGCGGGCGGCTCCCACGGGCTGAGGCCCTGCGTGTGGGGCGGACCCCGGGGTGCGTGGTGGGCGGTGGGCGGGCGGCTGCTGCTGGCCGCATTGGTGTGAGGCCCTGCATGCGGGGCGGACCCCGGGGCGGGAGGTCGAGCCCCGCGCCTGCTTTGTTCCCCCGCAGGGTCACGGAGCTGCTGCCTCCGTTCCAGAGGCGCATCCAGCCCGAGGAGATGTGGCTGTACCGGAACCCCTACGTGGAAGCCGAGTACTTCCCCGCGGGGCTGGTGTTTGTGCGTGTGCGCCCCCGGCGGGGAGGGCGCGGCGGGGCTGCCGCTCGCGGGGTCTCAGCCGGCCGCCTTCCGCCGCAGGTCATCGCCTTCCTGTCCCCGTTGTCCCTCGTCCTACTGGCCAGGCTGCTCGGGAAGGCGGACGGCGCGGACAGCAGGCAGGCCTGCCTGGGTGAGAGCCGAGCTGGCGCCCCCCTGGCCCGCGCGCCCCCCTGGCCCGTGCGCCCCCCTGGCCCGCGCGGCCCCCTCCGGGTGGGCCCGTGCCGCCCTCCAGCTGTGTCCTCGCTTTGCAGCTGTCAGCCTGGCCCTGGCTCTCAACGGTGTGGTGACTAACACGGTCAAAGTCATCGTGGGGAGGTAGGTGAGCGGCCGTGCCTGGCCCTTCCCGCTCGGCACCCCGCCGGCCTCGGGGTCCGGCGGGTCACCGCGTGGCCAGCAGCCGGGGTGTGCTTGTGTCTCGCAGGCCGCGCCCGGACTTCTTCTACCGCTGCTTCCCCGACGGGCTGGCCCGCGCGGCCTTGGCGTGCACCGGCGACCAGGCCGTGGTGAACGAGGGCCGCAAGAGCTTCCCGAGCGGCCACTCCTCCTGTAGGACCCCCCGGGACCCCCACCCGCGCCCTCCACGGGTTGGCTTTGGGCTGGGAAAGCCATAAGGGTCGGGGTGGGGACCCCCTTGGCGGAAGACCTCCGTGATTTCAGACGAGTCCGTGCCTCGAAGAGGCAGTGAGGATGAGAGCACAGAGGGGTTGCGGGTGGGTGGCGTGGGGAGCACAGGAGCACAGGCTGATCTCCCACGGGGCCCTGCCATACTGGACAGAGCAGTTCCTGCAGGCCCTGGGGCTTTGAGGCGTCCTAGCCTTGACCCTCACCTCGGGAAAGAGGTGAGGAAGACAGAAGAGTCTTAGGAGGCTGCAACAGACCTGTAGCTAGTGCTGCAGTCCGTTCCCACTAGGTCTAACTTGGGGGCCCAGCAGGGCCGGTGAGTGCCCGGGGCGCGGGGCGCTGACCTGCTCACGGCTTGCAGTTGCCTTCGCCGGCCTGGCCTTCGCCGCCTTCTACCTGGCAGGGAAGCTGCACTGCTTCACGGCCCGGGGCTGGGGCCAGTCCTGGCGCCTCTGCGCCTTCCTGGCCCCTCTGCTGCTGGCCTCTGCCATCGCCCTGTCCCGCACCTGCGACTACAAGCACCACTGGCAAGGTGAGCAGCCCCATGCCCTGGGCAGCTTCCGCTGGCGTGGTATTTGGTTTTAAGATTTATTTTAAAGTCAGGATGACTGAGAGGGAGAGACAGTCAAATGCCCCCCAGTGGGCTGGAGCTGAGCAGAACCAAAGCCAGGAGCTTCTTCAGTGTCTCCCACGCATGTGCAGGGCTAAGGACTTGGGCCATTCTGCACTGCTTTCCCATGTGCATTAGCAGGGAGCTGCACGGGAAGTGGAGCAGTCAGACATGAACCGGTGCACATACAGGATCCCAGTGCCACAAGGCAGAGGAATAGAGTGCTAAGCCACCACTTCAGCCCCTCAGCATTTGACCCCAACACTAAATGTTTGTTGAATGAATGCATGCAGAGGGAGGGTCTGGGTTCTGTACCAGATGTATGCGTTTGTAGCCACAGGGATGACTCAATGAACAGTCACCTTTATCTAAAAGAAATGTCCTAACTTGTCCAGTTACTTGAGTCCAAGTTCAAACCTCATCAGTAAGAAAATATCTAAAACAAACTCCACTGGGCCATTTACTGCTGCAGATCAGGCTCACTGTCCTATGATTTTTATTTGGCAGCAGAAATACAAGAAAGGAAAGCTAGAGTAAATAAAGTTGCCTGTTGCAGTAAAGCACACTGCAGACAAGCCCCGGATGCAGCCAACTGGTGCGGGCTGCCCTGCGGCTCTGGGGCACCGCGGGCACGGTCACTGAGCCGGAGCTCCTGGCACGCCTGGACCCTCGGAGCGCGGGCACGGGCTCCACAGCAGCTTTAAGGAACCTGTCACTCGAGTGCCCAGTCCTCCCACAGGCCCCTCAGCTGGGCACCGAGCCTGCCCTGGGGGCCATCTGGACCGGGCGGAGCTTGCTCAGTACTAGCAAGTCGGGGCGGGGGGACCGAGGGCTGCAGCAGCGTGCTCCCCCCGACTGAGGGGCCGTTGCTTCCTCTCCCTGCAGACGTCCTCGTGGGGTCCGTGATCGGGACAACATTCGCCTATGTCTGCTACCGGCAGTACTACCCGCCACTGACACACACACAATGCCACCGGCCGCTCCAGGACATGGCAGGACCGCCAGTGGAGCTGAGGCAGCCCAGCGATGCTCACCGCTTTGATGTTTAGAAGGGCGCAGCTTCCATGGAGCCCAGGTGAGTCTCCCTTCCGGGAGGTCCCAAACCCGACAGCCGTCTGACACGGTACGGGCAACGCCGAGTCTCTGGGGCCGCATCCTCGCTCTGCCAGTACCCAGGTGTCCACGGTGCCTGCCAATAGCCTGGAAGACCTGGATGGAGCTTGGGGCTATTGTGGGCATCCCGGGAGCAGAGCCTGCCTTTCAGATGAAGATGAGCAACGTTTTCAAGTTTCTATTAGAAAATGCCAGGTCATTTGGATCCTCCCGAGGTAGGGCTGAGGGCTCCAGGCAGCCGGGGCTCTGAGGAGGGACATGCAGCACTCGCCCAAGGCACCCTCGTCCGGGGTGTGCTCCGAGCTGATGAGCCCCTCCTGAGGCTTCACAGAGAAGCCTGCATGTAGCTCTACATTATCTTAGATGCCAAAGTGGAAGTTTTTAAGATACATTTTATTGGAAAGGCAGATTGCAGAGAGAGGAAGATCTTCCATCTCCTGTTTAACTCCCCAAGTGGCTGCAGCAGCCAGAGCTGCGCAGATCCAAAACCAGGAGCCAGGAGCCTCTTCTGGGTCTCCCACGTGGGTGCAGGGTCCCAAGGCTTTGGGCTGTCCTGGACTGCTTTCCCAGGCCACAAGCAGGGAGCTGAATGGGAAGTGGAGCAGCCGGGGTATAAACCGGCACCCATATGGGATCCCAGCACATGGAAGGTAAGGACTTAAGTTACTAGGCTACCACACTGAGCCCAATTATTATTATTTTTAATTTATTTATTTTTATTCAAACAGCAGATTTACTGAGAAGGGGAGACAGGGAGATCTTCCATCCAATGGTTCACTTCCCAATGGCTAGAGCCGAGCTGGTCAGGAGCCAGGAACTTCTTCTGGGTCTCCCATGTGGATGCAGGGTCCCAAGGCTTTGGGCCGACCTCAACTGCCTTCCCAGGCCACAAGCAGAGAACTGTATATGAAGTGTAGCAGCCAGGACTCAAACCAGTGCTTGTATGGGATGCCAGCACTTCAGACAGAGCCTTTGTCTACTTTACCACAGTACTGAGCCAGTACTGTGTACTGAGTATTGAGTAACCCAGTACTGAGTACTGGGGTTAATTATTAAACCTAATTACCCGGGCAGGCATTTGACGAAGCAGTTAAGATGCAGCTTGAGACACCTACACACCATTTCCAGAGAGTGTGATGTTGGAGTGCCTGAGCTGGAAACCCAGGTCCCACCTGGAGACCTGAATTAAGTTCTGGGTGCCCTGGCTTCAGGCTGGCCCAGCCCTAGCATTTGGGGGCATTTGGGGAGGGAACAGGAAGGTCGAAGGGTCTGTCTCTGCCTTTCAAAGAAATAAAATATAGAAAGCTTTTAAAAACCTAGTTTCTATTTCCCAGAGTTCAAACCCTTAAAATGCACGGCCTGGGCAACTAAATTTCATACAGTCCTGTTTACTTTCTGAGCAGACAACCCCAGCACTACGCCCTGGCTGGGGCAGGGCCCACTGGTGGCTCTTCTCCTACCAGTGTGCACAGCGTGTCCCAGCACAGCTGACTGGTTTTGCCCCAGTGCAGACACTGTGGTTGACGACAGCAGCAAAGGGAAACGGCCAGTGTGGCCTCTGCCTGCCCACCTGCCAGGGCCGGCCTCGCCTGCATTGGGCCCTGACTGCACTCACGCACTGCCCTCTGTTCAGGACGGTGTGTCCACAGGCGTCCTGCCAGCTGGCTAACACAGGAGCATCATACCAGCACGCCTGTGTCTGGCTTTTCTTGATAGTGTGAGAAAAGGTGCAATTCGGGGATACCAGCAGCCCCGATGCCACAAGAATGTTCTTTCACTTTGAATGGTAAGCAGGGATCTCTTATGAACTGGTTTGTTCCTCAGATGCCTGTAGCAGCTAGGGCAGGGCCAGGCCACAGCCAGGAGCCTAAGGCAGACCTCCCCAGTTCTCAGGCCATCACCAGCTGCTCCCCACGGGAATGCAGGTGAGCAGGAAGCCGGATCGGAAGCAGCGGCGCCAGCTCAGCCGAGGCGCTAATCGGAGGCGAACCCTCTGTACTGTGATCACACTGCCAGTAGGGTGCTGCATGACAGGCTCTCCCTGGTTCATGCTTTCATCTTTCCCTTCAGCGAGTCTGGCATTCAAGTGAAAGGGTGAACACTCGGGTGTTTCTAACACAAAGTCCCAACTGGGACTGAAGCAGCAGGCAAGGCCTGCGCCTGCGGCAGGGAAAGGGACGTGAGGACCAGCTTTAGGCCCCGGCTGCACTTACACTGACTTTAGTCAGACACAGAGCAGGACGACGTGGCGCCTGTGCAGGTTTGTCAGCTGAAGCCACGAAAAACGAGGCGAACTGGTCAGGGTGATTTTCCTTTAGTGTTTACTAAAGTTTTAAATATAATCATGTAAAAAACCAAACTTTTCAAAAGTGCAAAATATTAGAAAGCTAATCAGTACTATTAATCTTCCCATGCAAACAATCTTCTTCGTTGGAGCAAGCTGTGCTAACTGCAGCTGGGAACAGACGACACCACGCCGCCCCAGGTTCAAGAACAGGCTTGGTCACCAGGTTGCAGGAGGTTGCACATGAAATGCATGAAGCTGTGCCGAGAGTGCCCGGCTCCGGTGACGGCTCAGGCCCACGGCTGCCCCGTGCCATGCAAGCTGCCCGTACCAGGAGGGCCACCCTTCCTTGGACCCACACTGGCTCCCTCGCACTCTGGGGGTGTGCTCCCTCTGCTTCGGGACTCTGTTGCTCAGCCTTTGGTTTATGCTTGATTAGTACCAGCTCTGCTGTACCCAGTCACCACCCCTTCCTTGGCCCCTGGGCAGAGCTGCAGGGCCCGCACACGGAGCCTGCGCCCACGTTTACCGCCGGAAGCCCAGCATGGCGTGCAGTAACCTTCCCTTTCCTTCCCCACCACTGCGCAGGGCCCGCCTCAGTGCTTTGGAGATGATGACACGGTTACAGAAACCAAATGCAGCTTGCCTACCGCCACCTGGACGGGGCCATGGGGGCCTGAGAACTGCACGGAGCACCCCAGCTGAAGGCGGCAAGGCAGCCACTGCAGTCTGCAGCCCCGGCACCCCCAGGCCAAAGCTCCCTGACGCTGGGGCTTTTCCTTCCAGAGCCCCCTGCTCAGCCAACGCTGTCTGTTCCCAGAGCCTTTGACATTCTCAGGGGGCAGGTATGGAGGGCAAGGATGCTGACAAAATGTTTTCAAAAAGGACACACAATACCAGCTTCACCAAGTACAAGTGGCAGAGAGCTCCAATTCTGTTTCCTCACAGAGGCACCGCTCAGAGATTCTGTTTACAAGCAGAACAGCTTGAAAAGACTGGGTAACTTCGGCACTGTTGGCTTTCACAATCCCATCCTCAACATAAGACGAAAAGCTATCATCGGATACTCAATGCACAGCCTACCTGCAGCCTCCCAACTGGAACCAGGATCCAGGGACAGGTACACACAGCTAATGTCCTACCACAGGCACAGACCTGCCCGCTTCGGCCCCCCAGCTGGAAGCACAAGGCCCAATGCTCTGTGGCAGCTCCTGGGATGAGCTGTGAGCGAGCACATGCTGCCAGGAGGCTCCAGTCTAGTCCTCACACAGCACCCACAGGACAGCGACGCGGGCTAATGATGCACCCACTTGTCCCTCCCAGAGCCACTCAGAGCGACAGCTCTCGGTGCCCCACAATGCCTCCGAAAGCTCAGGAACCTGCTTTAAAACTTCAACATTTCTCTAAACATAATTTCCTAGGAAAACTTCTACCCAGCCTTAAACAAGTTAGACTCAGAGCAGACTTCCCAGCACCTCAAGTCCTAAGTAATGCAGGGTGGCTACAGCGTCTCGGAAGATGCAGTGCGCCCAACACCAAGCAGAGGATGGCGAGTTCTCTGCGGCCACAGGAAAAGGTAGCGGGTCATCCCTCTGCGCTGTTACTCACATCCAGAGACCCCAGGGGCAGGCGGCAGACAGCATGCAGGAAAGCAAGCAGCTGAGGAGGGAGGCTGCAGCCACAAACAGTGGGCTTCCGGGAAAGGATCCCTCGCGGCTGTCTAGGGGAGAGAGGGAGAGAGGGCAGCAGGCAGTCACAGGGAACGCCAAGGTCACACACGCTCCCCAGGGTCTCATCCCCACGACTGAAGAACAGAAATCTCAGGAGAGGCTGCTTGGAATTAAAATCCTTAATTGTTGCCATGGTAACTCTTCAGCTGTATGAACCTGACTCTGAGCTGAAGTCCTAAAAGTTGGCAGGTGGCATGAGAGAATCCTGGCACTGCAAGGGAGCCACCGCACATGGCCCAGGAACTTCGGATAAGTGATGCCTGGATCCCAGAGACGGCAAGAGAACAGCGCATCCACAAGGAGCCTGGGAACGCCACGGGGCCTCCCAGCACGGTCACCCAGGGGGACTGCGTGCACACGAACATGAGCCACTTACCGGAAGCAGTGCCACGGTGCCAGGCGGGTGAATTCACTGAAAGGGCTGGTCAAGGCAGACGCCCTGGGTCAGGTAGATCTCCTTGAGGACAAGCAACACCGTGTCTTCAGACTCCCTGGAGGGAGAGAAGAGCACAGACTGCAGAGCTGCCACCTGCCCGAGTCCGTCCTTGTCAGCACATCTACTGCCCATCCCAGCTTCCCGACACGGCTGTGACCAGACCGCTCAGCTCTCAGCGGGGATGCGTGCTGTCATTTGTCGTCCATGTGACATGCACCCATCCACAGCTGGGAACTTAACTGGGAGAATAAAGACTACTGCCACACACACAAGGCTCTCGCAGACATTCCCAAAGCTGGGGACTCCCAGACGCCCAACGGTGAACACGTGCTGGTGCGTCCTCACTCAGCAATGAGAAGGCACAAGTGGACGACATACATGACATGGGCGAATCCCGAAGTCACTGCGTTCAAAAAAGCCGCACCAAAAAAAGTAGATATTGTATGACTACCAACAAAAGTTATATGCAAACTCCCCTCCAGTGACAGGAAGGTGTGAGGAGAAAGAGGGATGGCAAGATTATGAAAGGACACGAGGAAGCTTCAAAGTGGAGAAAAGCAGCCGACCTTACCACGTTCCTGACAGGTGTGGACACAGGTGTCTTTCCTGTCTGGCCGTGTCTGCTACCATGGGCAGTGTGTGTACTCTCCCAGGGGCCGCGCCCACTCCGAGCCTTCTCCCCCTCACGGTGCTCGGGGAGACGATGGCAGGAATGGGCATGCGAGGAGCAGGCCAGAGCCCAGAGTGCCCGAGCCGAGCGCTGTCGGTCAGCACACAGCTGAGAGGAGGCCAAGCCCCGGAGCCTCCACAGCGCCAGAGGATCACTGCTTTTTCAAGGATAGTAATACGCTCCCTCACTCACATACGCACACACGTAAGCATAAACAGACTTCCGGAACAAGTTTTAGAAAACACATGTTTGGGAAGGAACAAAAGAGACAATTAACTTTTCATTCGCTGTCTTTGTTCTTCGCACCATGTGAACATCCTAACTGAACTCGCTGTAGCTGCCAGGCCCAGCTGTGCTGCGTGGGCTTGCTGGCCTGGCACCTCCCGCCTTCACAGACACGGCGCCCGCCATTATCCCTTTACTGGGATTTCAGAGAAAAGTCCAGCAGCTTAAAACTTGCAATTTTTAAATATATATCTTTGCACCATCTTCCTTTTCAAATCTCAGTAATTATGTTGTTATACATGAACTTTCAATAAACATTAATCTGTTCTAATCCATTAATTATTTATATTGAACAGCCAGTTCTGCTCTAGCTAATGTTAAGTGCTGTCAAATGGATTTCTTGAGTCTTTGCACTAGCGGTGTGTTTGTTCCCGTGTGCTCACATGCAGCCCAGAGGGCCAAGCAGACACACTCAGCGCCATGAACCGGAAAACCTAAGTTCTTACCTGAACTAGTAATGGTCACTAGCCCGTGCTCCCCTCAACTGCAGCCTCAACAATGTGCTTACCCCAGATGTATGTGAATAATCACTCGATTATGCTGTACTGCAGTCCTCTAAATGCACTGGCCTCCTCTCACTCCATCTATCTCACGCAGGCGACAAGACACTCACCAGTAGCACAGGTGACTCTGCAGAGCAAACAGGTACTCGTTGAAGCTCTCGATGGGCTTCTCCTGCAGCACGTAGTCAATGCGCTGGCCCCCATTGAGCATGCCCACGTTGACGGGCGGGGCTGCTGCTTTTGCCGCCGCCGCTGCCGAGCTGTCCTCTGCACCTGCATCTGTGCAGCAAGGGGCAGGGTAAGAACCCAGGAGCTCCCAGCGCCCAGGGCAGCCCCGAGCCTCTTCCCTGAGGCTGGAGGCACCCACCTCTCTCAGTCAGCTTCCTGCCCCGCCCCTGGAGTGCCTTACACTGTGCCATGCCTGTTGGCCCTTCTCAGTACCTGCACCTCTGATAGCTACATTACTGGCCTTGGCTTTACAAACTAAACGCAACCAGAGATAGATAACTAAAGCAAAAGACTGCAACAATAACCAAGATGGCCCCGCTGGTCCTCAGCAGGAAAGACAGCGGCCCTACACAGACGGACAGGCCTCCGGGAGAAGCAAGGCACTTGGGAGCGCAGGTGCTCGCTGGCAGGGCCTCACGGCCCAGTTGCCAGACTCTGCTTCCCTGGACACTGTTCTGCAAACAATGGCTCTCCGGAACATGCGGCTGGCAGACCACAGAAAAGGTCAGGGCAGCTGCAGGCCTCTATGTCCCACACAAAAAAGGGAAAGAAATGGGCCCAGGAGAGAGAGCAAGGCACACCAGCGCCCCCAGCAGGTAATGCGGTGCTCAGCGTCACTGACCGCAGGGCTTCTCCACACTGGCCTCGGCCTCCGCCTCCACCTCTTCTGCGCTTTCTGAGGCCTGGAGGGCCGGGTAGGGCGCTCTGGTGAAAGACTTCCAGGCCATCCGCAGGGAGCCCAGCAGGTTGTTCTTAAGGTCCATGCTCATCCTGCTCAAGCCCTCCCTCAGCTCTGAAAGACACCAGCAAGCCTGGTGAGCGGGGCCCAGAGTGCCCTGGCTGGCACAGCACATGGGCCTGCTCCGCTGTCCCCAGCCCAGCTTACCCAAGTGCATCCGCTTCCTGCCCTTGTGGTGTGGGATCAGCATTGGTTCAAATTCCACTCCTGGGACCACCATTGGTTCAATCCTATACGCCACAGGATCAAACTACACAGGAAGAATAATGGCTACAATTAACCATGAAGAAAGATCCTGAAACGTCATGATCACCTTTGCTTATTTTAAAATGCTCCGCTGGGGGCCAGTGCTGGGGCGCAGACAGGCGCCTGTTCCAACCCTGGCTGCTCCACTTCCAATCCAACTCCCTGTTAACACACATGGGAAAGCAGCAGCAGACGGCCCCAGTGGGTGGGCCCCTACACCCATGTGACCTGCTGCCCCCCTCTCTGTAACTCTTTCAAATAAGTACATAAGTATTAAAAAAGGAAAAAGGTTTTCTGTCCCTTTCCTTCCAGATCAACACTATTACAGAACAGCCCATCCACACGGCGAGCAGAGCGTGCTCCACCAGAGCAAACACACGGTGCTTACAGGGTGGTAGATATTGAAGAAACCTTTACATGTTGGGAACTTGTAGTTGGGATCAATTCTCTTCAGTCCTCTGACAGTAAGAAACATGCCAATAGGAGATCCGAAGGCAAAGAATATTTCTGGCTTATAGATGAGGCGGGGGTATTTTACCGACACCTGCAGAGGAGGAAGTAAAAGCGTCTCTCACTGCTAAGACCCATCTCTTGCTGCCATGCCAAGGACAGCAGTAAAGCTCCCTGCCCCGAGGATGTGCGGGTACCTGCCCAATGCTGACGTCGGGGCAGTCGCGGGCTCTGTGGGCAGCAGTGGCACTGCAGGACGCCGCCTCTGCGGGGCTGCTTGGCCCGCAGGCTGCCGACAGCGCAGGAGACCTGCTGACACCCTGGAGAATGAGAGAGCTGAGTGAAGTCAGTGCGCAGTAAAACAAGCCAAAGATTGCAGCTCACTACAAGTTTAAAAGAATGCTTAGAAAAGTTTTGTTACAGTTGTCAATTATTCTAAGTGCACCTCCAAACAAGATAAAGCTAGTAAGAATAAGTTAAACTACTGGCATCCCCACACTCGCTAAAATGACGCAAATTGTACCAGCAGTGGAAACCAGAGAGCCCTTCATGAGAAACCAAGCTCACAGGGCAGTCTGGGAAGACGTGCGGGGGAGGCGAGGGTCCTGTGAGTGCTGTGTGCTTGTAACTGAGCAGCCCAGCCCTCCAGAAAGATCTGAGATATGCTGGGAAGCTGGCAAGGGCACTGTGAGCACAGTGGGAGCATCAGAGCCCTGCCCCATCAGGCAGGCCTTAAGGACACTGTGCCCATCCTGAGAAGCCGCTGCCCCCTGGGCACACTGCTGCACACTGAGAGGAAACGTGCGAAGCCGCCGGCTCCACAGAGGCTGTGAGCAGGGAGTGCGTCACAGGCTGGGGATGTGACCTGACCACAAGCTGATCTGGGGACCCTCTTGTGGGTGACGGGAAAGTTCGAGAATCTGACAGTGGCAATGCAATGGTTACAAAACTATGACTGTAAAAACCATCCAGCTGTATATTTTTAAAAGGGTGAATTTTAAGGTACATGATATGAGTTCTGTTCTAAATAACTAACTACTGTTTAAAAAAGGAGGAGACTGGTAGGAGGAATCTGGGGGAGCACTAAAGCTAAGAAGGGTTTAAAGAATGTGGGTAAAGTAAGTGTAGTTCATTTCTACCACATGAGCCCAAGATGCGTCCGCCCTGCTCAGCAGCCCCGGAGCAGACATGCGTCCAGCACGAGGCGGCGCCCTGCCTGCTGAGGACCAACACGTGCCAGCACATACCGCCGAGTCGCTCCTGAAATAGTTCAGTATCTTCTTCCTTGGTCCTAAAGGAATTCCCATTTCCTGAAGATCTTTCTCTGTACACAAAGCCTGGGCACAGCAAACCAAGTATCATTTTTAGGTAAAATACAATCCAACATTCTGCCGCCGAGAAGACCTGAAGCATGCTGTTCTTTGCTTTATATTGTTGTGGCTTCAACAAAGAATTCAGAAAGCAGTAACAGGAGTGCCACCAGGACAGTCACCGAGAGAACAGCACCATCAGAAGCAGGGGTGGGGGCGCAGAGCCATGGCGATGCCTGCTGGACACCTGTGGTCCAGCCCCCTGCTGTCGCGAGCCCTGGAAGCAGCGGGTGAGGCTCGGGCAGCTGGGGCCCTCCACCCATGGGAGACACTCGGACACTGCGCACCCAATCCCGCCGCTGAGGGCATTCGGGGAAGGAAACGACATGGGAGTCCTCTTGACTCTACATTTCAAACAAGTTTAATTCATTGTTTTAAAAAGGAGTGCCAGGTGTTGTGACCTAGAGTGCTTAGACGCCACCTGGGCACAGTCCACACTGGAGCTCTGCTTCAAGCCCCAGCTTCTCGCTCAAGGCCCCCGGGGATAGCGGATACTCGCCCACATGCCGGATTCCTGCCACCCTACAGGAGACCCGCATGGAACTCCTGGCTGCCAGCTGGCCCTGCCCTGGCTTCTGGGAGCCTTGTGGAGGTAAATCAGGATGGAAAATCTGCCCCTCAAATAAATATATCTTTTAAAAAGAGAAAGGGAACAATGTTGGGTTCCAATGACATCAGGACAGAGATAAGCTTTGACTGGCATGCTCGCTGGGCCACCATGGTCCTAGGAGAGCTTACAGCAGGGCAGAGCACAAAGCACCCACAGACACCAGCCACGCCTGCAGCAGTGTGACTCAGGGAACTGCCTTCGCCTCTGACAGGGCTCGCCCTCTCTCTGTACCAGTCATACTGCAGCTGGAACGACGGCTGTGACACTTCATGTGTCGTGAAGGTGGCACGAGGCCCAGGACCACATCTGTCCCCGGGACCACATCTGTCCCCGGAACCACTCATTCCAGGGCATGGTACTGGTTCCTCCTCATCTAAGCATTTGCTAAACATGTGATAAATGAATCAGTGTATCACAAATCCGAAAAAGGAGCAAGCAAAAATGGGACAGCAACCACGAGCAACCAGCAAAAGCAGAGCTCTCCCACGTGTAACACAAACGGAGATGCGTAAGCGCCCGTGGTCGCTGACGCCATCGGAGCCGTGCTGCACGGGCCAGCGTGGCCCTCCCAGGTCCACCAGGTCAACACCAGTGACATCAAAGCAACAAGCGGACATGCTCATGGGTATTCATGACGGTGCCAGAGTGGGACTGCAGAGCCCTCAGCAAGCAGGCTGACAGTACCCAGCGGGGCACACGAGGCTTGGCACAGCACTTTAAGACTTGTGTTTTTACCAGAGCTTCCTTATCTACTTTCTCCTTCTCAAAGACAGGAAACCATTCAGAAAGGTGAAGTTTCTTCAAGTCCTCCTCCAGTGTTGGCGCATCTCCTTGATCCATGGTAACATTTAGCACATCCTAAAAAATAAAATCACAAAACTTGCATCTTTACTGTTAACCACATTTCTCTCAGGACTATGCTGTAATTTCCTCAAAAGCGTACCGTCAATGTCCTGTGTGGTATAACTCAATATAACAGCAATTCACACAGAATATAAATCAAGCTTGCACTCCCAGTGTTTCTGGCCTCAGTGAGGCTGCGTTTTGAAGAGTAAGTAGACTGACGGGGCCCACGTGCCCACCAGCCGGCCACTCAGCTCTTACCAGGGCAGCAGTGCCCAGGACATCAACCGCCTGTGGCACCTCCCCTGCCCTGGAAGGACTCCTGGCGCAACAGGAGCAGCAGGCCAGCCAGCAGAGACACAGTACAACAGAGGATGCTCAGCCGCACGCCGACACTGCACAGCCTGTGCCCGCAGGAAGGCTGTCTGCCTCGACACCCCGGAACTTCCTCCCGCGTCTCCCACCGGGAATCTCTATAAAGCACGTCAACGCGTTCCAACTGCTTCATTTTTCTTACATATCAACCCCGGTGAGCTCAGGGATTCTGTGAGGTGAGACATCCACGGTCGCTTCGGAATATGCGGCTGGCTGTGGGGGCCTATTAATCTACCCTGCTTCTGCCAACCAAGCCAGGCAGTCCACCAGCACTTGACGGAAACTAACACACGTGCACACTGAACCTCACGAGATGGGACTAAACTCAGCGTAAACCAAAAGTCTAAAATCTCAAAATCCTTGCTAAGGAGCACTACAAACACACCTATCTAAATATCTAAATTACCTTGTCACTGTCAATATCCCCCACAGAATCTTTCTGATTTGTTAGGATATCAAACAATATAAGCGAACCTACAAGTAAAATAGAAGAAAGAGGGATAATTTCTGAGCATCAGCACTAAATGGCCATCTTTTATACAAAAATAAGCTGATCATCTAATCAAGCATATCTACACACAGCAGGAAAACCGGGTTCACAGGTCACCACCGTCCTCCCAGCCCCTCCCCGAGTCTCCACAGACCTCTGAACCTGCTACTGCTAAGAGACACTGTGTCCTTAAGATGCCACAGTCTTCTCTGGTCTCAGAGAATTCATTTGTTACCTAAACTATGACCAGCAATGGATACACCCCCTTTGAAATCAGGGTTCCTCTGCAGAAAAAGTGTGTAGATGCGGTTCATTTCCGAGGCCACGGTGTCCACGATCGTCTGGCAGTAGGTGGGGCTGTTGTAGAAGAAAACGTCCAGGATCGTGTCGTTGGTGAAGTGCCGCAGCCGGTTGATGCTGGGCAGGGTTATCCGCTGCAGATCCCTGAGGGCGAAGAGGCAACAGGTCAGCAAGCAAGGCCCCTGGCAGCTCTCCCAGCCTCGCCCACAGGCTGAGCCAGCCACTGCATCAGTGCACACCGTCGCTCTGGGGAAAATCAGAGGATAAAAACCATGTTCACAATCTTGTCTTTTTAAGATTTCCTTATTTTTATTGGAAAGGCAAAATTAGAGAGAAAAACCATCTGCTGGTTCACTCTTCAAATGGCCAGGATGACTAAAGCTGAGCCAACCTGAAGCAAGAAGGTGCAGTGTCGCAAGGCTTTGGGCCAGGCTCTGCTGCTCTCCCAGGCCATTAAGAAAGAGCTATATAGGGCCTGGCAGCATGGCCTAGCGGCTAAAGTCTTTGCCTTGAACGCGCCGGGATCCCATATGGGTGCCGATTCTAATCCCGGCCAACCTGCTTCCCATCCAGCTCCCTGCTTGTGGCCTGGGAAAGCAGTCAAGGACGGCCCAAAACTTTGGGACCCAGCACCTGTGTGGGAGACCCGGAGCAAGTCCCTGGATCCTGGCTTCGGATCTGCACAGCTCTAGCTGTTGCAGTCACTTGCGGAGTGAATCAACAGATGGAAGATCTTCCTCTCTGTCTCTCTTCCTCTCTGTATATCTGACTTTCCAATAAATAAATAAACCTTAAAAAAAAAAAAAAAAAGAGCTGGATAGGAAGCACAACAGCCAGGACACAAACAGGTGCCCATACAGGATGCTGGCACTTGCAGGCAGAGGATTAGCCAATGGACTCATCAAGCCAGCCCCAAATAACATATTTAATGAAGTCAAAGGTATATGATTAGCAAAATTAAGAATGTTAACAAACCCTACAAGACAACTCATTTCATCAATTTGTTAAAACTTCAAGAAAATAATGCATAGTGACAGATCGGTGATTGGGAGCCTCAGATGAAAGCCGTGATGGACTTGAGTTGGTCCCTGTCTACTGTGTGCTGGGGAACTGGCACTGTGGTGCGGTGTGTCAATCCTCAGGCTGTGGTGCTGGCGTCCCACACGTACACTGAGTCCCAGGTGCCTGGGAAATCAGAGAAGATGACCCAAGTGCTCGGGCCTCTGCACGCACATGGGAAACCTGGATGAAATGCTCCTGACCCCGGGGAGTGAACCAGCACTGTGTGTGTGTGTGTGTGTCTCCTCTAAATTCTTCAAACAAATTTTATCAAGTGTATATTTGCATGTATGTATACACAAATAATTTATTAAAACACAAATCGGGATAGTTGATACTACCAGGAAACAAAGAGGAGCAAGGACTCAGTGCAGACCCTCCCTCTCAGCTGTTAGGCCAAGCACGGCCTTGTTTGTCGTCCCCGGGAGAAGTAGCAGGGTTATCACTGTAACCCTCAAGTACAAAGGCTTAGGCCACCACTAGGCACGTCTAGCCACCACTTGCAACACCAACACCCCGTATCTGTTCAAGTCCAGGCTATTCAACTTCCCATCCGGCTCCCTGCCAATGCACCTGGGCAGACAGCCGAGGGCGGCTCAGGGCATGGCGCTGCCACCCAAGCGGGAGACCAGGAAGAGCTGGCGGCTCCCGCCTTCCGCCAGGCCCAGGGCTGGCTCTTGAAGCTGTGTGAGCAGTGAACAAGCAGATGGAAGGTTTCTTTCTCTCTGTCCTCTCACCTTGTCATCCCACCTTTCATATAAATAAATGACTCTTAAAAAAAACTAAGTCCTTTAAAATACTTCAAAATACACAAACCAGAACATTTATAGATTAAATCATGTCTAATATCTGATCCAAAATAGCATGGGGTGTGCAATAGGTAAAGGCACAAAGAGACACATGTGGTAGAAACTGGCCATTGCAAGGGGCTGGGCAATCAAACAGGAGTCACCATCATCCAACAGGTACAATCTAACATGTCCGAAATTCTAATGGAAAGGTTTAAAGAAAAGATAAAGCAAGGCCCAGTGCAGAGTCCCAGCAAGCTAATCTTATCTGCCTACAGCAACGGCAACCATGGGGGTACCAGTCTGTGCCCCAGCCCTCCTACTGCGCCTGGGAAAGCAGCAGAGGACAGATGTTGCCTGGAGAAAGGGAGCTGATCCCTTTGTCACCTGACCTGTGATGACAAAACCTGGGAATTCTAGAAAAAAAAACCCAACATGATCTGCTGTTTTAAAAATTTATTTACTTACTTATTTATTTGTTTTAGATTTACTTATTTTATTTGAAAATCAGAGGTACACAGAAAGAGAGGACAGGCAGAGAGAGAGAGAGAATCTTCCATCCTCTGGTTCACTCTCCAAGACAGCCGTAACGGCCAGAGCTGAGCTAATCCCAAGCCAGGAGTCAGGAGCGTCCTCTGGGTCCCCCAGGTGGATGCAGGGGCCCAAGGCCCTGGGCCATCCTCCACTGCTTCTTGCCACCTGGTGCCCTCAGCTACCAACGTGGGAGGCCTGGGAGGAACTGCCAGCTCCTGGCTTTGGCCAGGCCCACCCCGGCTGTTCTGCGAGTAAGTTAGTAGATGGCAGATCCGCCCGTCTCTGAATCCACCTTTCAGTTAAATCAAGTCAACGGCACCTTTTTTGCAAAGGGAAAAAGATACACTCTTTTCTAGAAAGCTCATAGGTAAACATGCTCCATAAAAATCAACCTGCTCGGGCCTGGCGCGGTGGCGCAAGTGGTTAAGGTCCTCGCCTTGCACGCCCGGGATCCCATATGGGTGTCGGTTCTATCCCGGCAGCCCCGCTTCCCTTCCAGCTCCCTGCCTGTGGCCCGGGAGGGCAGTTGAGGATGGCCCAAAGCTTTGGGACCCTGCACCCGCGTGGCATCAGGCCGTTGCGCTCACTTGGGGAATGAATCATCGGACGGAAGATCTTCCTCTCTGTATATCCGCCTTTCCAATAAAAACATAATAAAAAAAAATAAATCTTTAAAAAAAAAAATCAACCTGCTCTCATCATTGTAAAATTTACGAATTACACAGCTTGAAACTTATAAAAGTCATCACTCAGTCATTGTACCAATTACACTTCAAGTTAAAAATGCTAATGATTCAATTTCCAGAGATTTCGTCCTTTTTAAACTTTGAACAAATATGTAAATGCAATCATAAAAGAAAACCCCACGGTATTTTATACTTCTGGCATCTGAGCCACCGTCTGACCTGCAGGCTACAGGAATCAGGAAGCTGCAGTGAATGCCAACGCCACAGAAACACTGCCAGAAGCTTACCTGCACCTCTGGGCTCCCCGCAACGCTGGGAAAGACAAGAGACTCAGCACTTAACACAGCTCTAAGTCGTAGTTTCTACATTTCCAATTTTGCTTATTCGATGTTTGAGAAGCAGCAGGGGAGGCCCAGCGGAAGCAGGAGGCTGAGCGTTCAACGCAGGGCTTCTGCACAGCACAGGACGGACCCATGTGAGCAGCACGCCCTGCTTCCTGCAGCGCTCACCAGCAGGATGCTGGAATGGGGAAGAGCTGGACCCAAACTCACGCACTCCGACCCAGGACGCAGTGGGGCAAACGCCTGCCCTCTCAAATGGTAAATTCACAATCACATGAAGCAGAAACGGCCATGTACATACTGATCTTACTGGGCAGGCATCTGGCAGTTCAGCTGCAGCTTGGGACACCTGAGCATCTCCTCGGAATGCCTGGGGTTCGAGTCCCAGCTCCGCTGCTGATTCTAGCGGTCTGCCCCTTCGGCCCCGCCAGGACCTCACTGCTACCGCCTCTGGAGGAGTGAGGCACAGCAGAGGATCACCCTCTGTCACTCTTGCCTTCAATTAAATTAAAAACAAAATTACAATCACACGTAACAGTTCAAAGGTGTAAAGTGCAACTCACACATCCACACCAGTGGAATGTAAAGGGCTGTGCCAGTTGACCGGCAGAAATTCCACTCTCCCAATCTGCTGGTTTTCCTGGGCTTTCTTAAAATGTGTCTGTAGCAAGTTCAAGGAAACACTTCGAAAATCATTAACTGGAAGAGAAAACTGATTTAAGCATCAAAATGAAGCAATGAATCCCCATAATTAAAATATAACAAATCATGTCATTATTATACTCTGACCATATTCACTTAGAACACACACTGACTTGAGTTAAACAGCAAATCCCTACTCAGGAAAAAGAAATTGTGAGAGCACTGGGGCGCAGACGACCCTTTACCACACACCTGCGGGGCTGCTGCTGCGCACGGAGGGCTGAGCTGCTGCCTGTGGCACTGGCACACCGCAGCAGGGCACCAGCTGCAGTCCCAGGCGCACAGGGCCCTGTTCCTGACACCGGGAGTCGGGATGGAGCTCCTGGCCCGCCCAGCCTCGGCTGTCAGCAATCAACTGGGAAGTCATTGTTTCAAAATACATAGAATAAATCTTTAAAAAAAAAATACGTATAGGCCCAGGATTGCAGCCTACTGGCGAAAGTCCTTGCCTTGTACGTACCAGGATCCCATGTGGGCACCAGTTCATATCCCAGCTGCTCCGCTTCCCATCCAGCTCCTTGCCTATAGCCTGGGAAAGTAGTGGAGGAAGGCCAAGGCCTTGGGACCCTGTGCCCTCATGGGAGACCCAGAGGAAGTTCCTGGCTCCTGGCTTCGGATTGGCACAGTTCCAGCTGTGCAGCTGTTTGGGGAGTGATACATTCAACTTGCTTTTCTACACAAAACATTTCATCAGAAGAAAAAATAACATCTTAACGTCAAAACTGTCATAGCAACTGTCTCCATCAAATATAAAACAGTACCATAAAAAAAAAAAAAAAAACAGAACTATAACCCCACGTGAATTCACCTTGCAGCCTGGTTCCTACCATGACTGCGCCAGCCAACACATTAAGGAAAAAGGGGTCAGCACTGTGCTACAGTGGGTTAAGCTGCCGTCTCTGATGTCAACATCACATAGGGGCACAATTCATGTCTCAACTGCTCTGCTTTCAATAGAGCTCACAGCTAATGAGCTTGGAAAGGCAGAAGATGGCCCAAGAAAGTGGGCCTGCTGCCCTGTCGGAGACCCAGCCGCAGCTCCGGCCTCTGGCTTCCCTGGCCAGCAGTCGCGGCCATCCAGGGAGTGAACCAGTGGATGAAAGATCTCTCTCATGGTCCTTCCTTCTCTCTGTAACTCTGCCTTTCAAATAAATTAATTTTTTAAAATATTTACTTATTTTTTATTGGAAAGTCAGATATACAGAGAAAAAGATCTTCAATCTGCTGGTTTGCTCAAGTGACCACAAGGGACAGAGCTGCGTCGATCTAAAGCCAGGAACCAGGAGCTTCTTCCAGGTCTCCTGTACAAGTCCAGGGTCCCAAGGCTTTGGGCCGTCCTCGACTGCTTTCCCAGGCTACAAAAGCAGGGAGCTGGATGGGAAGTGGAACAACCAGGACACAAACTGACATCTTTATGGGATCCAGGCAGGGGCAAGGTAAGGACTTTAGCCACTAGGCAACAGTGCCGGGCGCGCAAATAAATTATTTTCAGAAATAAAAAAAGTATACCACTGTTTGAAATTCATATCACACTAATCTTAAGCTTCCAAAATGTAATTTGAACTTAAAACTATGATCCAATAGAATAAGACTCCCTAAATCAAGCAAATATGACTTTCAATACGATCAAGTTAGAGATAACTCTAATTTCATTCTTTAATATTTATTTGTATTTATTCGTTAAGCAAAATTACAAAGAGAGGGAAAGAGAGGTCCTCCTTTTGCCGGTTCTCCCCTCAAATGGCTGCAACGATGAGGACTAAGTCAGGTCAAAGCCAGGAGCCAGACGCTTCTCCCGGGTCTCCCATGTGGGTGCAGGGACCCAAGCACTTGGGACATCTTCCACTGCTTCTCCAAGCACAGTAGCAGACAACCAGATAGGAAGTGGAGCAGCCAGGACTTGAACCAGCGCCCATAAGGGCTGCCACCATCACAGTGACTTTACCCACTACGCCAGAGCAGCCAGCCCTGAAGACTTGAACTTTATAAATCAACTTATACCTATGACTTAAAACTTTAATTATAACATCAAGAGGTGTAATACGGTGTAATCAAACTTCTGCTATCCAATTTAACTCCCTCATCTTTATGACAGTCTCTGAATTTGAAATGGTTAGAAATAAGACAACCACTTCATAAATTCTAGAAGGGCCAGCATGCTGGCACAGCCTCTGTAGCACCAGCATCCCACATGGGTGCTCGTTTGTGTCTGGTTGCTCCACTTCCGATCCAACTCCCCGCTAATGGACGGGGAAGCACTGAGGATGGCCCTTGAGCTCCTGCGCCCGTGGGGGAGACCCACAGGAAACTTTGGCTCCTAGCTTCACGCTGGCCCACCCCAACCATGGCAGCCATTTAGGGGAATGAAGCAGTAGATGAAAGATCATTCTCTCTCTCTCTCTCTCTCTAATTCCAATTTTCATATAAAAAAATTGTCCTCGTCAGTGAAAAAGAAAGAGTCGTGGACACTGGCCCAGATCCACATGGAGGATATGGCAGCACACTGGGCCCTGCAGGGCACATCCGTACCATCCAGAGGACAGAACAAACGGGACAACTACCCCAGCCAAATGAGGACAGCAAATATCTGGGCGAATGGAGACTCTGGGGTCGACGATGTCAGCCAACGGACACTGAAAGCATTCCCTCATCCTTGGATCAGTCAGAGTGACAACATTTCAGGACTATCGAAGCCAGCTGGGCAGAACCCTCGGAGTGTGTGCCACATTGGGACCCTGAGTTGATATGGGGTGGCCGTTCTCTATCCCTGGACACTGGGGTTGCTGGGAGCTAGGTATGGCTTCTCCCCTTATCCCCATCCTACCGTCTCCTGAAACAGGAAGGACCGAGCATTTGGAAACTATGATCACACCCATTTTCCCTAACCCTTGATCCATCTCATTCTGATCAGCTATGTTAACATCATCTAAAATAAAAAATACATATAAACAAATCTTTAAAAATACGACTACTATTATAGGGACTGTTCACTCAGGACACACCAGCCCCTCAGACATCCGGCACAGGGTTAAACCATAGCTGCTGCTGCTGCTGCCCCTGCACCATCAGCACGGCCGGCTGAGGCCCAGCTTCCCACTGCAGCTTCCTGACAACACACACTCCAGACGCAGCACACAATGCTCAAGAAGCTGAGTTGCTGCTGCCCACACGGCAGGCCCCCACGGAGTTCCAGGTGCCCGAGGGAAGCCTGCCCCAGCCCTGGCTACCACAGGCATCCAAGGAGTGAACCAGCAGACGGGAGCTCAGTTTCTGTTCATCTCCATGTCCAATAAATAAAATCAATTAAAAAAAATCTAAGAAAAGAATTATTACTTAAGAATGTACTGAACTAGTCTAAGCAGGGAAGCTTTACTGCCTGCCACCTGTCCTAACTCTTTAAATGTGATGACGCAGCTAAGACAGCAGACCAACGGCCCCGGTTTTATCTAAGCCCACAGGAGCACAAACATCTGCCTCCTGTTATCTGACATGCTTTGCCAACCTACCGCACTGCACGATGCTTCGGAAGCGGAGATCACAGGCTGGCCCAATTCCGTGCACCACAAAAACCAAGTGGTCGATTTGTGAAGGCTCCCCTGTCACAGAGAAAAATTATGACACAGACTTACTCACTTGTCCCGAGACCAGACACAAGGAGCAGACTTTCAACAAGGAGGAGTTACAAAGAAACAGAAAACTACAAACAACACTGGAGTCCTGTACTGACTCGGCTTTATTCCACAGAATTAAACCTGTGGAAAAACAAATCTGGGAGTAATTGAAAATGCACAGAAAACTAGAAGGAAACTGCAGAAGCTCCCACGTGCCTTTTACAGATACTGTTCTTCAACAGCCACATTTTCTCTATTGTCCTCTGCTACCACATTTTTCCAAACCAGCTCAAAATATGGTGCACACACTTGACCTCTTTAGCATTTGAAAATATGACCACACTCTTCTATGAGTGTTTCTTTACATAATGAAAAGACAGAAGCTTCTTCCAACCCTCCCCCGTGAGTACAGGGTCCCAAGGCTGTGGTCACTGCTCTCCCAGGTCCTAGGCAGGGAGCTGGATGGGAACTGGAGCAGCTAGGACACAAATGGGCACCCATATAGGCACCTGCAGGCAGAGTATTCAGCCACTGAGCCATCACTCCAGCCTTTGAAATGTAATCATCTTTTAAAATTACAGTCCGTTGGGCCGGGCACGATGGCTCAATGGCTAAATCCTCACCTTGAAAGCACTAGGATTGTATGTAGGTACCAGTTCATATCCAGCCTGCTCCACTTCCCATCCGGCCCCCTGCTTGTGGCCCGGAAAAGCGGTAGAGGATGGCCAAGAGTCTTGGGACCCTGCCTCCATTTGGGAGACCCAGAAGAGGCTCGAGGCTCCAGGCCTCCTGGGTTCAGACTGGCTTAGTTCCAGCCATTGAGGCCACTTGGGAGTGTACGAGTAGGTGGAAGATCTTTCTCTGTTTCTCTTTCCCTCCATAAATCTGATCTGCCTTTCCAATACAAATAAATCTTTAGAGTGAATCTAAGACTTTCCAATAGTCATCTTCTCTGTAAAAGGAATGTTGTAATCCAGTTAAATATATTGTAAATGCAATCACAAGCGACCTAAGCTACACAGCAGGGGATCAGCCGCACAGTTCTTTCCGAAACTCCGAGGGCAGGAGAACAACCAGGAAGCGATGTCTCGCCACGCAGGTGCAGCCACATTGGTTAGAATTTGGACTAAATCAAACCGCCTGTACTTTGTTCCTTCCGATTAGCAATGCCAAACCTTTCCCATCCTACCACATACTTAGCACATTTCAAAGAGATTTCCACACTCTTAGTACGTGAAGCAATTCTAACCTTAACTCAGAATAAACCCACATAGTTAAAGATGATTTTTTAAGACCTCAGGTGAACAAAATCCACACAAAAGGCCACCATTTAAGAAAGAAACAAGCATATCAAGAAAGAAAATATAAATGGTTAACATTACCACAATGAATGTCTACTGAGATGTTCTCCACCCCTCTCTTCACTGTCCTTGGTCGCCCCTGCTCCGTGGGCGTCGCGCCCCATTCATCAGAGCCCGCCACCGGCTGGTAATGGACCATGAGCTAAAACACAGGAGACCGAAGCTGGAGCCATCGCGCCCTGCAGGTGCCTCTCCACACACCGTGAAGAGCAGCAGCGTGTCTTGCAAAGCAGTCTCCTCCACGGGAGTTTTCCCAAGCAGCTTCCACAGTGTGAGACGCAAGCCCTGACCACTCAGGACAGCGGACGTGTCAACACTGCCCTCCCCGACCCGCGCGCCCTGGGACCTGCGTGGACGGAGCACGCTGCTGCTTTTCTACAGATGCAGTCTTGATGCACACTCGGATGCAGCAGCAGGCGGGCCGAGCCGGGAAGCTGAGGGCTCCTGCCGGCAAGCTGAGCCCCGCAGAGGCCGCCGGGACGGCCCAGCCAGCCCAGCCCCGGGGCCCCTCACCTTGGGATTGTGTAATATGATGATTTCTCTGTTGGGAGACTCCAGCTTCTTCTTCCACTCGTCCAGCGTGACAGCGAGCATGTACGTCTCCTGCCAGAAGCGCACTTCATTAGACTGCCAACAATTCCACTCAACACTGCATTTATTCCTAAGAACACTGGTAAAATTAGCAACTTTCCAAAAGATCACCTGCTCCAATCAATCTATCACATTTACTTTAAAATCTTTTCAAATTACAAAAGGTAAACAGCACAGGACAATGAAAAAAAAATCACTTGTAAATTCTATCATCTAAACTAATTAGCATTCACATTTCTATGTATTTCTCTCAATAAAATAATCTACTTTAACTCAAAACACATTCTAATTTTTGCAATAAGAAAAATAAAATTTTTAAAAAGACCAGAGACTTTTTTTTTTTTAGCAGTCAGATCATTAGACTGGGGCTCACAGTCTAGATATTAACAATAATTTGCTCATTAAAAGAAAAAGTCTTGATTCACATTCAAAGGGACAAGCATGGCGACAGCGCAGGGTAAGTGCAGGCAGCTACCCCGTGTTTGAGTGCTGGTGAGTACAGCTGCTCCAGAGCTCCCCACTGATGCACCAGGGGGGACACGGCGGACCAGTGCGTGGAGCCCACCGCCCAGAGGGCAGACGGCGGCCCAGTGCGTGGAGCCCGCCACCCAGAAGGGAGACCAGCACAGTTCTGGCTTCAGGCTTGGGCCTGGCCCAGATCTGGCTGTCTGGCCATTTGGACAACATATTGGCTGATGCAACATCTTCCTTTCTGTCACTCTTTCAAATAAATAACTTACGTTTAAAAAAAAAAGATTTATTTATTTTTATTGGAAAGTCAGATATACAGAGAGGAGGAAAGACAGAGAGGAAGATCTTCCATCCGATGGTTTACTCGCCAAGTGGCCGCAATGGCTGGAGCTGTGCCGATCCGAAGCCAGGAGCCTGAGTCTCTGCCAGGTCTCCCACACGGGTGCAGGGTCCCAGGGCTTTGGGTCATCCTGGACTGCTTTCCCAGACCACAAGCAGGGAGCTGGAAGGGAAGTGGAGCTGCTCGGATTAGAACCGGCTCCCATATGGGATCCCAGCGAGGACTTTAACTGCTATGCTATCACGCTAGGCCCAACTTCAGTTTTTTCAAAGCATAATACAATTTCCACTGTCTCTTAAAATCTGAAAATGACTTTGGAGGGGGGGGAACTCTTTGATGTGATGCAGATAGAACCACCCCCTCGGGCCGATTTCGTGCTGTGAGAGGAGAGGAGGGTGTGAGAAGAGGGGGTGCGTTGGGGATACCTCTAGCTCCTGGCTGAAGCTCTCCGAGTAGGGGACGTACTTGCTGTCCTTGTCGCCCTTGTAGAACCAGGTGCAGCGCCTCACCTCCGATGCCGGCTCATCCCAGTACACGGCGTAGCGCGTCCTCTCGCCCAGGTGCACGTCGTAGCGGCCCCCGTCGGTGGGCACGATGCCCCCGCAGTCCTTCCCTGGCGGCCAAGGGCACATGAGACCATGCGTTTCCCACCTCCGTGGCACACGCGAAACAATGCCGTGGGCCACAAGAAACGGAGTTTAACTGCCATCTTTCCTACCAACTACAGAGCAAAACCGCTGGAGATTTTAGTGATATGGAAAACAAAACAAAACAAAACTACCCAGGTGGGTATTTTTTTTTTTTTGAGGAAACAGAGTAGTTCCTCTCTAAAAGATGAAAACCACAAGTGTTGTACGTAACATCAGCTTTCTGAACTTGGTGCTTAAAGGACCAGAGAGTAAATGTTTCAGAAAAGCCAACAAGTTTATGCCTCATTTTCCTGCCACGGGCCATCGACCACACACACACACACACACACACACACACACACACAGGTTAGAACATCAAAAATACTGCACCAACTATTCAGAGTTCACAACGACTCTCTTCACTGAGGACCTGATGTCAAACCCCAGTTACATTACTGTAAGGAACTACCGGGCTGCAAAACTCTACAATGCATTTGCGGTTGCCCTCCCTACAAGCACTAACACAGTGGGGGGGAAGCCATGGCCTTCAACGCCAGCACCCCACAAGGCCCTGCTCCAGTCCCAGCTGCTCCACTTCCCACCCAGCGCCCTGCTAACGCCCCGGAGGGCAGCAGAGGACGGGTCAGGTAGTGGGGCTCGAGGTTGGGCCAGCCCCGGCCACTGTGGGTCCCAGATGGAAGAACTCTCTTTCAAATACATTTTTTTTTTTTTAAAGAAAAGTGTCTAGGGCCCGGCGGTGTGGCCTAGCGGATACAGTCCTTGCCTTGAACGCACCGAGATCCCATATGGGCGCCGGTTCTAATCCCGGCGGCTCCATTTCCCATCCAGCTCCCTGCCTGTGGCCTGGGAAAGCAGTCGAGGATGGCTCAAAGCTTTGGGACCGTGCACCTGTGTGGGAGACCCGGAAGAAATTCCTGGATCCTGGCTTCGGATCGGCATAGCATCGGCTGTTGCGCTCACTTGGGGAGTGAATCATCGGACGAAAGATCTTCCTCTCTGTCTCTCCTCCTCTCTGTATATCTGACTTTGCAATAAATAAATAAATCTTTTTTTTAAAAAAAAAGTGTCTACTATAGCTTGAGCCATCCTTTTCACCTTACCAGAGCAGTACGCCTCTTCGAGCTGCTGGGAATCGTCCGAGTTGAAAGGAATCCATGTCTCTTTGGCATCCACAATCTTGCAGTAGAACCAGTGTGGGCAGACGGGCTCGTAAAGGCCGCCGGCGTCCATGTCGAGCAGCTCGAAGGAGCTACATGAGTTTGGTGATGGGGAAGGGTCGGACTGAGACGCCTGCTCCTGCGGGGAATCCACTGCTGACATGTCGCTCCCTGAAGCAAGATAAACCGTTCTGCTATCTGACAATGCTCCTCTCTCTCTCTCTCTCTCTCTCTCTCACACACACACACACACACACACGCACAAACACACACGCACGCGCACACAGCGCGTATGCAGCAGTTTCAGCCAAACAGTAAATAAACCCAAGGTGGGGGGAGGGGCTCCCTAATTTATAATAAAAATCACACAGTTGGATCTGACAGAGAAGGGGGCAGGCAGAGCTTAAACAAAATGTACCCTAACGAGAAAATCGCATGGTTCCGTTCAGCCAGTTACAAAACAAGCCCGGCGTCAGAGCAGAAATACCAGGCCGGGTTGGAACTGAGACATTTACCCCAATTTCCAATCTAAACCCGGGGTGGCCAAGACGTTAGCTCCATCAGCTGACTGCTACCAGCAGGGCTCCCGGTCGGCCAGCACACCACACCACCCACACGAAGCTACTGCCAAGCCACCGTGGGTAAGACGCGACACCCCGTCATTGCCACGGAGCCCCAAGCCTGCTGCCTCCGGGATGTGGTACACGCTGTAGCCGCCCTGCGCACGCGCACACCCACTCACCCGGCCAAGGCCGGGGGCCAAAAGTCACCAAGTGACCTCAAAAGCCTGGGCGACCACGTCCCACCGTGCACGTCCCCCGGGGCAGCGCGCTCCGGCCGCCCCTGCCCCCGCGAGGCGCACGCACCGGGCTCTCCGCACACAGCTGGCGCGCGCCCCGCGGGGTTCGGCCCCAGCGTCCCTCCTGCTTGCAGCCACCCGGGCCGCCCCGAAAGGCATCCCCACCCCGCGACGCGCCGGCCCCCGACCCCAGACCCGCGGCCGCCTCGTCCGGCCCCCGACCCCAGACCCGCGGCCGGCCTCGTCCAGCCCCGCGCGCGGAGCCCCCGCACCTGGCCGCCCCGCCGCCGCTGGCACGCTGCTGGCCCCGCGGCCGAGGGCGAGGCATGTCCCCGCCGCCGGTGCCGCGGGCCGGGGCGGAGCCTGCCGGGCCTGCCGGGCCTGCCGCGGACTGCGGGGCCGCCCACCCTGCCCGCCGGGCGCACGGAGGACGCCGGACACAGGTGAGGAGGCGGCGACGGGGCGGGGCCCGCGGCTGCGGAAAGTGTCGCGAGAAGTGGCGGGCAAGTCGCGCGAGACGGGGCTCGGCCGGAGGCCGGCGGGATGCCGGGGCGCCTCGCCCGGGTCACGCGCCGCCGTCGTCTCAGGTGTGAGGCGAGGGAGAACGTGGGAACGCTGTTAGAGCTGCGGACGGAGCTGGAGGGGTCTTGGGCATCTCTAGACGGAGACCAAGCCCCCTGGAGCTGGGACCGGCCTCTGGGAGGGGCTGGCAAGCCCCCTTGACCTTGGGAGAAGCCCCCTTGACCTTGGGAGAAGCCCCCTTGACCTTGGGAGAAGCCCCTTGACCTTGGGAGAAGCCCCCTGACCTTGGGAGAAGCCCCTTGACCTTGGGAGATGCCCCCTTTCAGGCTGCCGGGGTCTCGGCGAAGCTGCCAAACCCTGATGCCCGGAACGTTCCCGGTCAGGAGGCCGTCGGCTCTCCTCGAGCCTTGCCTCCTGCCAGACCGCAATTCCTCCGCATGCCGACAAGGAAACTTTCGGGAGATTTCAGGGAATGTTTTTGTTTTCGAGCTAGTCAAGCCCTCTTGGAGGCAGGCACACACACACACACACACACACACACACACACACACACACACACACACACACACACACACACACACACACACACACACACACACACACACACACACACACACACACACCGCCATACACACACACACACACACACACACACACACCGCCATACACACACACACACACACACACACACAAAACGCCATCCCCACCGGTTTCTTGTAACCTTCCTGGAAGGTGTACAACACCCACACAAACCGGCTAAGATGATGAGTTAATACGATTCACTCCCACTAATATTTCCTGAGCCCTAAGCGTTTTATAGGTCTAATCCCCTTTAATCTCATGGCAACCCGGCGAAGGAGGCACACGGTTTACCCCTGTGTACACAGAGGTGAGGTGACTCCCCAGCGCACACCCCGCACCTGATCCGGAGTCAGCAGAACCCGAGCTTGCCTGCAGGTTCTCTACCTGTGGATCCCGCAGCCTCACAACGGAAGCCCTAAACAGGATGCCTTGCAAAGCTAAATGTTTACCACTATTTTCTGTCCTCTCTCTTTACAACTCTGCCTTTCAAAAGATTGTTAAAAAAATAATAATCTTTTTTTAAAAAATTAAAAAGTGAAATCATTTTCTTTCATAGAAACTTCCTTATGTAAAAGACCAGATAAATATTTTAGGTTCTGTGACAACTAATCAACTGAAGCAGTTAACAAAGGTAATGAGTTTGACGACAAAATGTGTTATGAAAACCTAGGCATGCAGCTTGAAAATGTTTTCAAGGGTCTTTTGTGGTGGGGTGCAGCCGGCTGATGGCACCCCTAGGCAGCGAGCAGGTGTGGTATTTTAACGAGGACAGGAGGGGCAGGGTACCATAGCCTAGTGACTGAAGTCCTCGCCTTGCATTCAGAGGCCTGTTCGCATCCCGGGAGCCCCGTTGCCCATCTAGCTCCTTGCTTGTGGCCTGGGAAAGTAGTCAAGGATGGTCCAGGGTCTTGGGCCCCTGCACTCGCATGGGAGACTGGGAAACAGGCTCTGAGCTCCTGGCTTCGGATCAGCACAGCTCTGACCATTGCAGCCTTTTAGACAGAAGATCTTTCTCTCTGTCTCTCCTGCTCTCTGTATATCTGCCTTTCCAATAAAAAAAAAAAAAAAATCAAAATTCTTCTAAAAAGCAGTCCCAGTTAAACTTGAGTTCTGAATAAACAACTGAGTTGAAATATGTTGTAAACATTCCACTGAGTCATACTAATATAGTAAAAAGTATTGCTTACCTGTCATTCGAAAATAACTGATAATTCTGTACATTATCTGGCAATATAAGCCTTGGCTTTGCCCCATAGACTAAAGATAAAGCACATACTGCCAAACAGGCACATTTAAGGGTTGGCTGAGAGAAAAATGTGCCCAGACAGCAAAAGCCCTAACTCCTGTGGACGTGAGCTCACAGTTCACCCCTGCAGGCGGGCCCACAGCTCGACAACGCCACACCGACTCTAACGTCCGCCTGCTTTCCTGCCGAATGAAAGGTCACCAAAGTCTCCCTTTCTCACTGTTCAAGTATCCATTCTGAACCCAAAATTGTGAGACAAATAAACCAGTCAGGGAGCATTTTGACAAGATTTATTTATTTGAAAGACAGAATAACAAAGAGAAGGTAAAACAGGAAGGTCTCCCATCTTCTGGTTCAGTCCCCAAATGGCCAGTGTCGTAAAGTCATACTGTATAAAGTACAGGCAAGATCCAGCAGACTTTTACCCAATACTATGTCAATTAATTCCATAATGTTGTATATTGATACTGAGGCCTTGTTGGGGCTTTTAACTGACCGGATCTTTACTCTGTTAGACCTATCTTCAGACCATAGAAGGTCTCCCCAAGAGGCCACTGAACTTATCTGGACAATAAGACGCTGAACTTTATGCTAGGCATGTGTTTGCAAGCAATGAATCTCAACTGAACTTGAACTATGGTTATGCAACAAGGTGGAGGAATCCACCATGGGGGGAGGGGTATGGGAGGGGTGGGGGGAATCCCCAGCGCCTATAAAACTGTACTACATAATACAATGTAAGCAACAATAAAAAAAATATATATATATTAACTCAAAATACAAAAAAAAAAAAAAAAGATCCAGCAGACTTCCGGGAAGTATGTCAAACACAGGAAATATCAAGACTAACTAAGGAAAAAGCAACCTCAGAGGACTTTTGTTGTTTAGAGGAAAACATCATTAAGAAGTTATCATCAACAGAATGGCACAGTGGCGTTACGGGTTAAGCAGCCATCTGCAATGCCAGCACTCCATGTGGGTACTGGTTTGAGCTCTGGCTGTGGCACGTCCAATCCAGCTCCCTGCTAATGCTGTATGAATGCTTTGTGGACTCAGGGCTCATTACTTGTGGTGCCAACATTCCTCATCTGAGCACTGGCTTTGTGTCCAGCTCATCAACTTCCCTGCTAGTAGACGTGGAAACGCAGAGGAGGGGTGGAGAGGAGGGGTGATGTGATGGCTCGGTGGCCAAGTCTCCACCTGCAAATGCTCACCTCCTCTGTGAGCGCCAGTTTGTGTCCCGATTGTCTTACTTCCAATCTAGCTGCCTGTGAATGGCCTGGGAAAGCGGTGGAGGATGGCCCTCAGCATTGGGATCCTGTAACCCCACAGGAGACCCAAAGAGGCTCCTGACTTCAAAACAGCTCAGATCCAGGTGTTGTGGCCATAGAGGGAGTGAACCATCAGATGCCTGATCTCTGTCTCTCCTTCTCTCTGTAAATCTGACTTTCCAATGAAAATAAATCAATATATTTTTAAAAAGGGGGTGGGGTGGGGGAAGCAAAGAAGGATGTCCCCCAAAGCCTTGAGGCCCATGCTCCCATGTGGGAAACCCCAAGAGGCTCCTGGCTGGAGTCTGGCCCAGGCCCAGATATGGCCACTTGGGGCTTGAACCAACAGATGAAATATCTTGCTCTCCATCTCTGTCTCTCTCTCTCTCTGTAACTCATTCAAATAAGTAAAATAAAATTTCAGGAAAAAAAATTATCATTAATATCCTCAGAGATGTAAGATGTTACCACACAATCAAGCAGAATCCCACATGGGAATACAGAAGACATACACAAAAATCCTTATATGTTTAAAAAAATGAGCAAAAAACATTTTCTTAAAGTATGATGAAAGAAATGTAAAATCCAATGAAAAGTTGAAAATCAAACTTGTGTAAATGTCCTAAGAAGTACAACAGAAAGGCAAAACATGGGGGAAAAGAAGAAAACCATGAAAACATTAAAGAACCAGACTATATTCAAAACAATGGTTACTCTAGCAAGTACAAAAAAAAGACACAAAACTGACAGCTTCAGAGGGTTTAAGGACACACATTTCCAGAATTTAAAGTGTCCAGCACAATGGGTAAGCATGCAGCCATCGTTGAACCACGTTAGGAAATGCCAGGACAGAGGGGGAAATAATACCAACATCCAGAAGCAAAACACAGGCTGAACACACAGGGTCATGCGTCGGAACGGCCTCTGCTTTCTCAAAAGCCACACTGCAGTCTGCAACAGGATAATGCTTTCAAAAGCCCTTCGGCAATCCCAACACGGAGTTGTACACCCAGCCAAAATGTCAACTCAGTGGCAGGATAAAGAGAATTATGCTTCATGCACCCACGTTCACGGGGCGGCCAGAGAATCTGTCGTATCAACACACACATACAAAATAAATAAATAGACTAAGAGGAAGACGAGGAGGCAGAAAGACAGGAAAGCAAGAGAAGAGGGAGAGAACGTTCCATCCCCAAGCAGACAGTCTGCACATGAACACAGCAGTCAGCCCTCCAGTCAGAGGCTGCCACGTGAGCAAACGCACATCCGAGCATCTTAGCCGAGCACATAGACACCGATGGCAAGTTGGAGGCAGATTGAGTCATACATACACAAACAAGATAGGTAAGACTAATGATTCATTCCAGCGAAAACAGGAAGCGGTTAGGAGAGAGAAATAATCAGTTCACTGCACATCTGAGATCTGCTTAACATTTATTTATAGAGACAATACTGGAAATGAGGTGACCCACATTAAGCAGATGCAGAAGTTGCCCGGATGGGCCTGACAGCAAGGGCGGAAGAATGCTTCTGAATGCTCCTGCGTAACAGAGATCCGAACAGAACATCGCTAGTTGGCAAATCAAGAAACAAGCAATGGGCCTGGCGGTGTGGCCTAGTGGCTAAGGTCCTTGCCTTGAATGAGCCAGGATCCCATATGGTCGCCGGTTCTTATCCCGGCAGCTCCACTTCCTCTCTCTCTCTCCTCCTCTCTGTATATCTGACTTTGCAATAAAAATAATATTTTAAAAATCTATGAGCTCGGGCCCGGAGCGGTGGCGCAAGTGGTTAAAGGTCCTCGCATTGCATGCCCGGGATCCCATATGGGCGCCGGTTCTAATCCCGGCAGCCCCGCTTCCCTTCCGGCTCCCTGCCTGTGGCCTGGGAAAGCAGTCGAGGATGGCCCAAAGCTTTGGGAACCTGCACCCGCGTGGGAGACCCAAAAGAGGCTCCTGGCTTCGGATCGGCATAGTATCGGCCCGTTGCGCTCACTTGGGGAGTGAATCATCGGACAGAAGATCTTCCTCTCTGTCTCTCCTCTCTATATATCCACCTTTCCAATGAAAAAATAATAAAAATAAATCTTAAAAAAAAAAAAATCTATGAGCTCATGTAGAGTAAAAAAAAAAAAAGAAGCAAGCAGTACAATCATGCCACGCAGAAACGTGGAGACGACTGAAGATGACCGCCTGTAGAGAAGCAAAAATAGGACTGGAATAAGGAAGATGCTTTTATAAAGTCAGTTTGGAACCTCTACAAACAGAAACAAATGCATGCTTTCTTTAAAAAAGGAAAAAGCGGAGGTGAAAACCAGGCCCCTGGGGACCACACGGTGGCATGGCAAGCTGAGCAACGGGCTGAAGCACCAGCATCCCACACAGGGCCGCTGGTCTGAGCCCCCGCTACTCCTCCTCTGCTGCAGCTCCCTGCTAATGCCCCAGAAGCAGGAGCTGGCCCACGTGCTTGGGCCCTGCACCCACGTGGTCTGCAAGGAGTTCCTGACTCCTGGCTTCAGCCATCTGCGAGTGAACCAATGCATGGAATAGCTCTCCCTCGCTCTTTAACTCTGTAAATAAACCTTAAAAAAAAAAGCTCTTTTTAAGTATCCCTACCCCCAAACATGGATCGGAATGCAAATTTCAACCTTTGTTTTTAAGTTTTATATCTGCCTACAATTTAAATTTATATATATATATATGTATATATATATATATATTTTTTTTAAGTAGGGCAGAAACACTGCAGGGCTCCTACCTACAGCCTGACTACCCACATGCTCAGGCTGTCGCTGAGCCGGACCACAGCAAGGAGCAGGAGTACAAGCCAGGCCTCCAGTGCGGATGGCAGGGTCTGCATTGATGGACAGGAGCTGGGGAGCTAGAGCAAAACCTGAGGCCAGAGGGCCCAGTGCAGTGGCCTAGCGGCTACAGTCCTTGCCTTCAATGCACCGGAATTCCATATGGGCACCAGTTCTAATCCCAGTAGCTCCACTTTCCTTCTAGTTCCCTGCTTGTGGCCTGGGAAAGCAGTCAAAAACAGCCCGAAGCCTTGGGATCCTGCATCCGCATGGGAGACCTGGAGGAAGTTCCTGGCTCCTGGTTCCTGGCTTTGGATCGGCTCAGCTCTGGCCGTTGCGCTCACTTGGGGAGTGAATCATCGGATGGAAGATCTTCGTCTCTGTATATCTGACTTTACAATAAACATAAAATAAATCTTCTGAGGCCAGGAACTCCCAATTAGACAGAGTTTAGGTGGGCTAGACATCTGTTCCCCGTCACCTACCTTTAGCAGCACTGTTTACGGCACCATTTGCAAAACCCTGTAATCGGAAGCATATGAGAGAATTCTGCACCAACGGGCAGATAAGCACAACCCGTCCTCGACATACCTCATTAGGACCTACTCGCTGAAATATTTCCAATGATATTTACTTTTGGAAAAATAAATTGCTTATTACAAAGAAAACACCGTTGTATTTATCATGCCAGTTCTTGGTAATTTTATTCAAGATATTCACAAAAAATGATTCTCAAAGTAATATAAATTTAGACATTTTTCAAAAATTCAGATGTGACATTTCAAGAAAATTTGAATTACGACTGAGGTTAATATTCCATCAAAAGCTGAGCCTGTTCTACAAATCACAAGTCCCACTTCAGTTCATTCTGTTTTCTGAGAAAGTTACCAACTTAATTTTCTCTTCTTTATAAGGATATTTGGAATTATTTCAACATGGTTTATATATGTATGTAAGTTCTATTTTCAGTTAACCTGAATGATCTTATAACAAAAAAATATAAATCCTAAAAACAATGATTCTCCCTTAGAGAATTCCACTTAGAATGTAGAAGGAATGAGATTAAAAAAAAAAATTACCAACGCCATTAGAACCCCGCAGTAGCATCCGGCACAGCCAAGTATCCGCCGAGGGGCTGAAGTCTAAGCAGAAACGGGAGCCTTGCGTAATCTCATCTGCATAGTCTCAAAGTCTCTCCGGCAACTCTTCAGCAATCCCAAAGGAAAACACGTCCATTTAGGGCAGAGCATCCCGGCGGACACCGTCTCAGCACACTCACTGAGATGAACGTCACCAGAAATGCTGGATGGCACTGGTAGCCCTGGCGTGACACCATGGCACTGGCGGACACGCGGGGATGGGATGGATTCTGGGACCCAAGAGATCGGGGAAAAGACGGCGAAAAACTCTACTTTTGGGTGATTGATTCTCCACAGTGTTTTATGGTGACAGAAGATATTGACATAAGGGAAAGGTGGGTGAAGCACATTTGGGGACCCGAGTCTACAATTACCTTCAAATGGTTAAAAGTAACTGTTAAAAAGATGCACACATGTGTAAATATGCACATAACATTTCCATATAAAAAAATCAAGACTTCATGGAAATTGGCATCCTCAGAACATGAAATAAGAGTGTCCTCTTCGGAATGAATCATTGTATCGCGGCTGACTTAGCCTGATGGTCCTACCCACCCACAAGGGATAGTTTTGATGTATAAACACAGACTTTTAAAAAATATTTCAAAATAAAAATCCTACAATAAAATTATCAGCATATTATCTTGCAAGATCACACATCTCACGGTAAGACTTATCCCATATTTTTCTTAGACTGTTTTGATTAGTTTAGCTTGGCTTATCAATGGAAAAAAAAATCACTTGGATATCTTAAAAAGTCGTTTTTCTGAAGAGAGAAGCTGCATAGAACTCACCTCAGACGCACAAAGTTGTTTACCTAAGTCTCTTGCACCAGACAATTTCCGGTCACATAAGCAGGGTCAGAGGAAGCACTGTCAGGGTTCCGTCCCTAAATTTGGCTTTCAAATGACTGTAGGCAGGGGTGACAACATCGCTTATGAAGCGGGAAATTCTACCTAATAAACTCTAGGGACATCATGTCTACCTTTTTTTCTTCAAATCTACTTTTAAAAACAAAATTCCCGGGGGCCTGGTGTAGTAGCCTAGCGGTTGAAGTCCTCGACTTGCACACGCCAGAAGCCTTTAGGGGCACTGGTTCTAATCCTGGCAGCCCCACTTCATATCCAGTTCCCTGCTTGTGGCCTGGGAAAGCAGTGGAGGACGGTCCAAAGCCTTGGGACCCTGCACCCATGTGGGAGACCTGGAAGAGGCTTCAGGCTCCTGGGTTCAGATAGGTTCACATTGTGGCCACTTGGGAAGTGAATCAGTGGACAGAAGATCCTTCCTCTCTGTATATCTGACTTTCTAATAAAAATAAATAAATCTTTAAAAAAAAATTGCGCTCTGGCTGACTCATTCCCTGAGCATGAATGCCCTTTTACTGTCAGTGTTTCTGAGAGCGAGCTGAGCCACTCATCAGGCTCCCGATGCTGACAGAGATGGAGCCACAGAGAGGGCAGCTGCCGGCCAATAATTTCGCTACTCTCTGCAATCACCATGCCTGCTCGTTACTGTAGCATTTAATTTTCCATCTGTCCCTATCAGAATCCCCTCTAAGCAAGCAGCAATAGCGAAAACATAATAACATTTGGCAAAGAAAAAATGAAGTGAATGAAGTTTCCACAGACTTGCCCAGTTTTATGTCAATGCCATTTCCAAATGTACCTTGCACTCCTCTGTGTAATTCAGAAGTGGTAAAAAAAAAAAAAACCAAAAAACTAATGATCTGTACAAAAGGGAGACAAACAATTTACCTCAGGAACTCACTATATATTACAATATATTCACATGGTGAAAAGATATATAAATTCATTCAGCACTGCCACTCTCTCTGGCTGTCATAGTTTCTTGAATAATTATATTCAACGTATTACTACAAAATGTACCAAGAAGTAGAGAATAATACTCTATTGGTGAACTGCAAATAACAAAACCGAAGTCCACCGAGGCTAATAGTCTAAGCGGTAATTTTCACATGAACTGTACGCTGTAAGCTGAGTCACACTGAGCAGACGGGACGGGTACTTTAAGGGGCCTGAGAGTCTCAGGCCATCTCCAGTCTCACCAGCAGGGCTGGGGGAAGCCTGTCCCCCAGAGCTGAGCCTCTCCCCGGCTGCCGAGAAGCGGCTTGCATATCTGTCAAGTTTCTGAAGAAGGCATGAAGTCTACTTGGCAATACTGGCAACTCCAGTTTCCTGTTACATTCATTCGTCTGAAAAAAGGAAAACAACTCCTAACTAAATATTCTTCCATTCCTTTGCCAGTTTTTCAAGTTTCCCGTCACACGAAAGCTGGGACACGTTGCTCCTTGTCACTGACAGGCATGTCGAAGACGGTGTGTAGTAACCAAAATCCGGAGTTCTTTGGTTAAATTAGCAACAGGCTTCCACTCTACCCTAAATTCTTTCATAATCCTTTCTTCTCCAATTTTTCCAGTATGGCCTGGATCTTACACACAGCTTCTTTCCTGGCCTGCCGAATGGAGTCCTGGCCCCCAGTCTCAACTGAATCCAGTTCCAAAAGTTCCTTGGTCAACATTTCTTCCAGAAGCCAGTACGCTTTGTCTGTCTTTTTTCCAACAAACTCTTCGACTTCTTGCTCAAGATACTGGACTTTCTCCAGCACATGGATGATTTTTTTGATACTCGGGGGAGTACCTTCATCTGAAGATAAAGACCCTTCAGGCAGTTTCTGACCTTGATCTTGACTGCTGAGATGTTCATGGGGGGCACCGCCGTACATCTGAGGCTCGGCACTATATTGGACTTGCGAATCCAAAAGGTCTGAATTGTCACTGTTCACTGTCCCGGAGGAGTCGTACTGATGATGGACGCTGCAAGGAAAGCTGTGCCGGTTCACGCCATGATCGGACTGGCTATAGGGGAAACAGGAATCCTGGGAGGGGAGAGCATACAGAGGGAAGGAGCCGATTTAATGGGAAAGCAGCACTAGCAGGTTAGCTAGCCACCTCTTCACCTAAACAGAAAGCTGTGGGACAAGATTCCCCACCGTAACCAGTACTGGAATTCCCTCCTTCACCACTTGAGAAGAACACAATTTTGAGGGGATAAAGGAATTGCTTTAGCAGATAAAAAGTAGAGAATTCCAACTGTCTGACAACTGGAACCCACCCTCCGGCAGCAGCCCACCATCACAAACACCTCACAGTTTACCCAGTGTCTCAGTAATGAGTTTAAAATCTCAAGACATAGCTTGAAAAGGAGTGCAGCCTGGGCCTGAGCAATGGCCTAGTGGCTAAATCCTCACCTTGCAAGCACCAGCATCCCATATGGGAACCGGTCTTTGTCCCAGCTGATCCACTTCCCATCCAGCTCCCTGCTTGTGGCCTGGGAAAGCAGTCGAGAACGGCCCAAAGCCTTGGGACTCTGCACCCACGTGGGAGACCCAGAAGAGGCTTCAGGCCGCTTGGGCAGTGAATCAACGGATGGAAGATCTTTCTCTCTTTTTCCTCCTCTTTATATATCTGACTTTCCAATAAAAATAAATAAAATCTTTTTTAAAAAAAGTAATATGGGGCCCGGCGCGGTGGCGCAAGTGGTTAAAGGTCCTCGCCTTGCACGCCCGGGATCCCATATGGGCGCCGCCGGTTCTAATCCCGGCAGCCCCGCTTCCCTTCCAGCTCCCTGCCTGTGGCCCGGGAAAGCAGTCGAGGACAGCCCAAAGCTTTGGGACCCTGCACCCATGTGGGAGACCCGGAAGAGGCTCCTGGCTTCGGATCGGCATAGTATCGGCCCGTTGCACTCACTTGGGGAGTGAATCATCGGACGGAAGATCTTCCTTTCTCTCTCTCCTCTGTGTATATCCGCCTTTCCAATTAAAAAAATAATAAAAATAAATCTTTAAAAAAAAAGTAATATGTATAACCATCAGGGAAGGATGAAAGAAAATATCTGCAAATCAGCTAAAGAAAATATGTCTAGGATAAGGCAAGGGTTCTTATCACTTGATAAAGCACAGACACACCTGAGCAGTGGACTGGAATACACCTTTCAAGAAAAGGTGTGCAGCCAAAAGCAGATGATACTCAAGTCAATGGTTTAATCTGAAATTATACTAAGTTGGGCTCAGTGTGGTAGCATAGTGGCTAAATCCCTTGCCTTGCATGTGCCAGGATCTCAATGGGCGCCAGTCCGTACCCCAACTGTTCCTCTTTCCTTCCATCTCCCTGCTTATGGCCTGGGAAAACAGCAGAGGACGGCCCAAAGCCTTGGGACCCTGCCCCCTGCACCTGGAAGAGCTCCTGGTTTGGCTCAGCTCTGGCCATAATGGCCACTTGGGAAATGTGTTAGCACACAGAAGATCTCTCTGTATCTCCATCTCTCTGTATATCTACCTTTCCAATTAAAAAAAAAATTATATATAACCTATGCTACAGATATTTCACACTGGTTTTTGTCATCTCTCTATACCTTATATGAAGAAGCAAAAATAGAATCATCTTTGTAATTTAACATTCCAACAGTATTATAACAAGGAAAATTAGTATTTTTTTCTTCTTCTTTTTTTTTAAATAAAGGAGATGAAACTAAATCTTCAGTACCAAAAATAGTCTATTAACAGAGAAAGAAAGAAAAGAGGAGCAGCTGAGCTGCAGTAAGTGGAGGATCTGGTCACCACGTTTTCCCACCAGTCCCAGTGCAGCACCGACCAAGCAGGCAGGCCCACCTATTGCACCCTGGGTGCCTGGAGCGACCACCTGTAGCTTTCCTACCTTGGGCTGCTGAGGGGGAGGAGAAGGAGGTGGCTGAGGAGAGCCACTGCTAGGCCATGGTGAAGCATTTTCAGTCATGTAGAGATGCCCAGGTGGTGCTGTGGGCACAGCTGAAGAAGGCCAGGGGTGACGGGCACCCATGCCGTAAGCCCCCGGAGAGGCCCAGGCATCCTCCTGTGGCCGGACGCTCGGGAGCGACTGTGGAGCACTACGATTACCATCCCCATAAGCATAGTGGGGCAGAGTCATTCCGGGGTTCTAGATTGAGAGGAAGAAATATGCTGGTCATTGCTAAAAAAAAAGAAAAATTAAAGAAGTAATGAAAATATTCCAGTATACACAGATAATGAGATGCTACCAACTCTAATTAATCAGTTGCAATAGTTTCACCAAGCCTACACAGACATCGGGGTGCAGCTGGTCAGGCTGCCGCTGGGGACGCCCACCTTGTGGAGGGGCTGGGTAGAGCTCCGGTCACTCTGTGCTCTCAGCTGAGCTCACTGCACTTGGGAGGCAGCTGAGGGTGGCTGAAGTGTTGGAATTCTCACCACCCGTGTTGGTTACCTAGGTCAAGGTTGTGGATAATGCCCTTGATATGGCCCAGCCCTGGCTGCTGCAGGCATTTAGGGAGTGAACCAACACATGGGAGAGCTCTCTCTCAACCAATCAATCTCTCTCAATCAATCAATCAATCAATCAATCTCAATCAATCAATCAATCTCTCTGTCTCTATCTTACAAATGAATAACTAAATTTTACTAAAAAAAAAAAAAAAAGACAAAAGAAAAATGAGGTTCCAAGGGCAAGTGCTGGGTTGTCTGGCCAACAGATCAGTCAGAATGCCTGAGTGTCAGTTCTAGCTCCACACCCTGATCCCAGCTGTGTGCTGATGGAGGGGACTGCAGGCCTGCCACCCACTGCGAGAGGACTGGACGGAGACGGCAGCTCCCGGCTGTGACAGGCACCACAGAGTAAACCACCAGAAGGGAGCTCTCTCACACTTAAACCGAAGGGCCAGTGCTTGTGGCAGCGGCATCGTGTATGTCCACTGGTTTGAGTCCCGACTGCTCCTCTTCCAATCCAACTCCCTGCTAATGTGTCTGGGAAAGGAGTGGAGGATGCACCCAATGCTTGGGCTCCTGCACCCATGGGGGAGACCTGGGAAAAACGCCAGGGTCCATTGTGGCATTTGGGATGTAACTAGCAGATGCAAGATCTCTCTGTCTCTCCCTCTCTTCTGTAACACTGCCTTTCAAACAAATAGATCTTTAAAAAAGAAAAACAACTTAATTTTTGAAAATTTATTTATTTTTTATTGCTAAGCCAGATTTACAGAGAGAAGGAGAGACAGAGAGAAAATTCTCCATCCACTGGTTCACTCCCAAGTGGCCACAAGGACCAGAGCTGAGCCAATCCAAAGCTAGGAGCCAGGAGCTCTTCCAGGTCTCCCACATGGGTGCAGGGTCCCAAGGCATTGGACTGTCCTCAATTGCTTTCCCAGGACACAAGCAGGGTGCTAGAAGATAAGTGGAGCAGCTGGGATATGAACCATCACCCATATGGGAGCCCAGCACATGCAAGGTGAAGACTTTAGCCACTAGGCTACTGGGCCTGGAGTGACAGCCTAATGGTAAATCCTGTCTTACAACCTCCAGGATCCCATATGGGTACCAGTTCATGTCCTGGCTGCTCCATCAGCTCCCACCTGTTGCCTGGGAAAACAGTCAAGGACGGCCCAAAGCCTTGGGACCCTGAACCCATGTGGGAGACCTAGAAGAAGCTCCTCACTCCTGGCTCCAGAGCAGAGATCAGCTCCGGCCTTTGCAGCCACTTAGAGAGTGAACCAATGCATGGAAGATCTTTCTGTCTCTCCTCTCTGTATTTCTGCCTTTCTGGTAAAAATCAAAATAAAATAAACATTAAAAATTTTTTAAAACACATAGAAAATTTCAATTAAAAAAGAGCAACCTGGATCCAAAGCCTCCAGAAGCAAATTTGCCAAAATCAAACATAAAAGGACGAAGGCCTAGAACTCAGTGACGAAGCAGCCAGTATAAACACTACGTATGCTCTGAGGAGGCACAAATCAGGATGCATTACAAGTGAACACAGAAATAACATGACACTCAGAATATTTTAAAAAATAGGGCCCAGCGTGATAACGTAGTGGCTAAAGTCCTCACCTTGAACGTGCCGGGACCCCATATGGGTGCCGGCTCTAATCCCTGCAGCTCCACTTCCCATCCAGCTCCCTGCTTGTGGCCTGGGAAAGCTGTTGAGGACGGCCCAAAGCCTTGGGACCCTGCACCGACGTGGAAGACCTAGGGGAAGCTCTTGGCTCCTGGCTTCAGATTGGCTCAGATCCAGCCATTGCAGACACTTGGGGAGTGAATCATCAGACAGAAGCTCTTCCTGTCTCTCCTCCTCTCTATTTATCTGCCTTTCCAATAAAAACAAATAAATCTTTAAAAATAATATTTATAAAATAGGCATCATAGAGCTAAGGCAAAAGAACACTGGAGCAGTGACTCTCTAAATACTCCCTTTGGTATTTAGGAAATGAAATGTCTATTCATACATCTTTGAGATGCCTCCAGGCAGAATCCATTACGGCATCATTTCCTCAGAGTGTGAAAGGCATCAACAAGAGCACAGCGTCTGGCCTGCCTCTGCAGCCGCGAGAATGTGAACACCTGCAGGGTATTTTTCAATCTTCAATCTAGCAGAAATGGTCACCCTTCCTTTTCCTGTCACCCAACAGGCCGAGAGTTGGAGCTTTTCCCCAACAAGCCATCACTCACCTGAGTAGTAGGGTACCCGGGAACCTGCCCCCGCAGAGTGGTTGCTTCAGTGGGACAGTCCTGCTGGGGATACATCCACCGCGAGACAGGGGACGGGCTGCTGCCAGGTGACCGGTAAGTGCTTGGAAGCTCTGTGGAGTAGCTGGCCTGGGTGTAGCCGGGGCTGTAATAAGCCCCAGCGTAGGAGGCAGTATTTGCCACAGGCCCAGGAGGGTACGGTGGACCATATGCTCCATTTGTGTAAGAATTCAAACTCTGGAAAAAAAAAAAAAAACAAAGTTGAGAGAGAGAAAAAAAAAATGAATGGACAGAAGAGTTGAAAATTCACAGTCTTAAAGCTCAGCCTGGAAAGCTTATGAGGAAAAAATGGATCAATCATGAATGAAAAATATTAAGTACCTGAGCAACTTTTGAGGCACGCTCATTTATTATGATTTTGTGCCCTATTAGAACCCTGGATGCAGCTGAATAGTAGCCAGCATGAAGGAGGAAATGATGAAGCAACAGCCTTAGGGGACACCCTCCAGTGTCTTCCCTGTCCCTGGCTTCGGCCTGGCCCAGCCCTGGCCACTGGCTCATCTGGTTAGAGAACCAGGAGAGCTCACTTTGATCTCGCATTCCCTCTCTGCAATTCTGACTTTCAAACAAATAAATATAAACACAGCAAATATCACAAACCGATCTCACAGGGTTGCTGTCAAAAGTAAAGGACATGACCTCTAGAAGGCCGGGATCTGAGGGTGGGCTTTATGGGCAGCAGGTTAAGCTGCCACTTGCACCATGAGGATCCCACAGCAGAGTGCTAGCCTGAGTCCTGGCTAGTCGCTTTCCCACGCAGCTCCTGGCATGGCATCCTGGCATGCACCTGCTGGCTCCGCCTCTCAGGCCCTGGCCAGCCAGCTAGGGGACCTGTGTCAACTGTGGGCCCCAGGCTTTGCTGCCAGCCTGCCCTGTTGCAGGCTTTGGACAGGTAACCAGCATGTGGAAGACTTCTCTTTCTGTCCTGGCCTTTCAATAGATGAAAGCAAATGAAATACAAGCATTTGAAAATAGCCAATGTCTAGCAAACAATATGCTCAATAAGCAATATTTATCTTAATACCATCTTCATTATTTTATGGTGGAGTTAAGAAATAACCTTAGATCTAACTCCAAAGTCTGTGTGCTTTGTACACCACCATGCTGCTTCCCGGATCACACCAGCCTCAGCTAACAGACACAAATTCCCCTGATACTGCTTATTCTAGTTGAAAAAAAATTCATTCTTGAGCCCAGCACAGTAGCCTAGCACCTAAAATTCTCACCTTGCACATGCCAGGATCCCAGACAGGCACTGGTTCTAATCCTGGCAGCTCCACTTCCTATCCAGTTCCTTGTTTGTGGCCTGGGAGAGCCATCGAGGATGGCCCAAAGCCTTGGGACCCTGAACCAGCATGAGAGACCCAGAAGAAACTCCTGGCTCCTGGCTTTGGATTGGCTCAGCTCCAACAGCTGCGGCCACTTGGGGAGTGAATCAACAGACAGAGGATCTTTCAGTCTCTCCTCCTCTCTATATATCGGACTTTTCAATAAAAACAAATAAATCTTTTTTTTTAAATTCATTCAAGTTTTTATACTGTCATAATGGTAATGTTATTTAAACTTCCTTATATTTTATACATATATGCTTACTTATTTACAAGTGTTACAAAGTCTGGCATAAAGTTCAAAACAGTGCAAGGGGAAACAAAGATGGCTGCATAGTGACCTAATACTCACTGAAACAAAGAAGAAATCACCTCTAGGTTAGCATGTGTTAAGAGTCCGGGCTAGAGCCCCCCGGACATCAGGGTGCAAGCTAATCAACCCCCAGAGAATGACAAAGAGTCTTGCTGGTAATGCAAACAGCAAACCGAGTTTATTGTGCCAGCATGCTGGGGTCAGACTGTACTGGGGCAAGCAGGCCAGCCAAGCAGGGGTCCAAACTCCAACTAGAAAGGCAGATTATATAGGCCCTTTTGGCTGAGAAACACAGCAAAAGTAACAACTTTAGACATGTTCATTTTTATGGCCTTGAGGCGCAAGCAGTCTGCTCTGTTCCCATGCCCATTATCTTTATGGCTCCTCCCATTCTTACACCCTTATCTCCCTCCTGTTCCTGGGACTGGAGAATTGTGCCCCTGCCCTCCTGCACCTGGGTTAGCTGATAGATCACAAGGTTGCAGGCCAGCAAACAACAGATTTATCGCTAACGCGGAATCCTCCCAGAGTCCAGGCGCCTCCTGGCCTAGCAAAGTAGCAGTTTTCTCAGCACACCGCCCAACGAAAACATTCCATTTTAGCATACTAACATTTTACCCACACTCTAACACACGCTACGCTACCATTTTTTTTTAGGATTTATTGATTTATTTATTTCAAAATCAGAGTGACAGAAGAAACACAAAAATGAAGCATCCACCATCACTCTGCTGGCCCATTACCTAAACAGTCACAAAAGCTGGGCCCAGGTTGGCTCAGAGCAAAGGTGCTGGGCTCCACCCGTGTCTGCCACACGGGTAGCAAGGGTGTTGGGCTCCACCTGTGTCTGCCATGTGGGTAGCAAGGGTCAAAGTATTTGAGCCATCTTGTACAGCCTTCTTGGGCACATCAGCAAGCAGCTGCATTAGAAGCAGAGCCAAGTTCTGGACCAGCACTCAGCTATGCGATGCAAGCCTTACAAACAGCAGTTTAACCTGATAAACCACAATGCCCACTCTTACTTTTATGTATGAAAATTTTTCTTAATATTAAGAAAACAAAAACAAAAAACGCCCATGGGCCAGCACCATAGTAAAATACACTAAAACTCCATAAGTAGTACCAGTATCTCATACAGGCACCAGTTCAGGTACCAGCTGCTCCACTTACCATCTAAACTCCTGCTTGTAGCCTCAGAAGGCAGCAGAGAATGGCTCAAGCCCTTGGGTCGCCACAAGCAGAGGAGACCTGGAAAAAGTTCCTGGTTTGGGATTCAGATGAGTCCAGCTCTGTCCACTGTGACCATTAGGGAATGAACTAGTAGATGGAAGATCTGTCTCTCCTTCTAACTCTGCTTTTCAGGCAAAAATAATAAATCCTCACAAAAACCTCCACTGCTGCACTGTGTAACACAGAAAGCACACTCTAAACAAGAATGGAAAAAGGCTGTGACAAGGAAAGTCAATTAAGGGCCTGGTGTGATGGCCCAGCAGCTAAATTTTAACACTGCATGTGCGGAAATCCCATATGGTCGCAGGTTCACATCCCAGCCATCCACTTCCCATCCAGCTCCCTGCTTGTGGCCTGGGAAAGCAGTACAAGATGGCCTAACGCTTTGGGACCCTACACCCATGAGAGAGACCCGGAAGAAGTTCCTGACTCCTGGCATTGACTGGCTCAGCTCCAGTCATTGTGGCCACATGGGGAGTGAACAAGCGATGAAAGATTTTTCTGTCTCTCCTCTAAGTCTGATGTTAAATAAAAACAAACAGATATTTAAAAATATATTAAAAAGTGAATGGTAAGTTTAAAGGTGTGTAAACATAGAAGGAAGAACCTAAGCAGAAACTTACAGAAATAAGAAGCAGGATGGCAGAATCATAGTGTTGCACACCCTTCTTTATTTTCCAAATTTGTAATAATAGTTATTCATGGCTAAATAGTTTATGGTATTTAAAAAATGTCATCTGGTGTGCCTGGAACACACTCGGATTCCAGATGCATGCTGGTTTGCGTTCTGGATGCTCCATTTTCCATTCAGCTTCCTGCTTATGGCTTGGGGCAAACAGTAGCCGATGGCCCAAAGCCTTGCAGCACTGTATCCATGTGAGAGACCTAGAAGAAGCTCCTGGCTCCTGACTTCAGCTCAGCTCAGCTCCAGCTGTTGTAGTTATTTTGGAAGTGAACCAGGAGATGAATGGAAGATCTCTGTCTCACCTTCTCTCTATGAATCTCCCATGCAGGTGCAGGGTCCCAAGGCTTTGGGCCGTCCTCGACTGCTTTCCCAGGCCACAAGCAGGGAGCTGGAGAGTTGAGCAGCCAGGATACGAACTGGTGCCTCTATGGGATCCGAGGAGTGCAAGGTGAGGACTTTAGCCACTAAGCCCAAAGGTTGTAATTTTTTTAATATATGTATTTTTTATCAATTACATTGCATATGTGACAATTTCATAGGCTCTGGGATTCCCCCAACCCCTTCCTGTCCTCTTCCCCCATGGTGGATTCCTCCACCTTCTTGCTGTATTACAATTCAGATTCAGTCAAGATTCTTTCATTGCAAGCATATATCAAGCATAGGGTCCAGCATCTTATTGTCCAGTTAAATTCAACGGTTTTCTTGGGGAGGCCATCTGTGGTCTGAAAGCAGAGCTGGCAGAATATCATCCCGATCAATTTAAAGCCACAACATAACATCAACGACAATTTACAACATTATGGCATTAACTGACATGGTATTGAATAACCAATATGTTAAAAAAAAAAATGGAATATATTTTTAAAAGGAAAGTAACAGCCACTGGCGAGCAAATGGACAAACTGGAACTTGCAGAAAGTGCTGATGGAAGATACAATGCTGCTTTAAAATAGTTTGCCAGAATCTCAAACTGTCAAACACTGAGTTATAATATTACCCAGCAATTTCATTTCCAGGGATATGCTCTAGAGAACTGAAAACGTATTTTCACACACACAAAAAAAATGTACGTCTATAGCAGCATTATTTATCATAGGCAAAAGTTGGAAACAAGCAATGATTATATCTACTGAAGAATGCATATATTAAATGTGGCATATCCAGAGAACCCTATATTATTCGGTCATAGAAAGCAGTAAAGTACATTTGGCAATCTGACAGAAATCAGAAACAAAAGCCACACATAAAAAGACTAGAACAGAGGCAAGCATCTAGCATTGATTAACATGCCCTGGGATGCCCACTTCCGGTCTCAGTGTCCAGTGAGGCCTCTGCCATTGCTTCTTGTTTTAGAGTTGTCTATTTTCACTGGAATGGCAGAATTAGAGAGAGGAGATAGGGAGAGGTCTTCTACCTGCTGGTTAACTCCCCAGGTGGCTGCAATGGCCAGAGCTGAGCTCATCCAAAGGCAGAAGCCAGGAGCTTCTCCCAGATCTCCTTCATGCATGCCGACGCCCGAGGATTTAGGCCATCTTCCACTGCTTTGCCTGAACAGGACCAGGGAGCAGGATGGGGAGTGGAGCAGGCGCTGCTTATGGGGTCCTGGGCAGCACTGCATCCC